AATCCTGCGCAAAAAGTCTCTTATCAAAGCCATATAAGAGACTTCTTGCAATTAGATTCAGGATATGACCTGCACATCGAAGGCGCCGTTCAACAGCATCTAAGCCAAAGTAAGAAGCTATTGACTCGACTGCAGTGTCGTTATTACTTGCGTTGTCAACCATAAACCAGCCAAGATGATCTCCTTGAATTTCGAAGTCTTCAATGACTTTAATCACCTTTGCAGCCACATCTACACCAGAATGTGACTCAGTTTGTTCAGGCACAGCAAGAAGGATTGCTTGAGGCTTATATGACGCATCCAGATAATGCGCAATAATGCCGTTCATTGAACGATGGTTATTCGATGACCAAAGGTCGAAGGCAATATGGATCCGACTGGTAGCCTGATGTAAGTGCTCCACCACCTTCATCTTGTGAAGCTTGTACGCATTGTTAATCCAGCTGATCAATGTGGTGTGATGAGGTACCAACGCTCGATTGTTCAGATACCTGATCAGGTCTCGAAAAGCCTCATTATCCACCTGCCTAAACGCGAGATTGGTATCGACAATCCACCTCACCACCAAGTTTCTGAAGTTATGATTGTCAAATGACGTCGCTAAGTGATTCAAAACTGCCTGCTTTTGCACCGGATCTATATCAAGATCTGATAATGGTGTTGAACCTCGATTCTGCAATTGTACCCAACCACCATCCTCCTTTCTGAACTCCTCGTTATGCCGATTTCGAATATGTTTGGTAACGTTGCTTGTGCCATTCTTAATCGGCCAATGGTGCTTCTGCTTCACCTGTTTTTGGTGGCATTCTAAGCATAGCCAATAATGGTTATTGGTCTCGATTTCTTCGATAAGCACACCACGATCCCATATAGGTGAGTTCAACCGATTTACTGCTCTTCCGATTTGCTTAGTAAAACCAGGCAATCTTGTGAACTCCACCTTAGTATAATCAAATCGCTTCGGTACAAAGGTATCGAGGTCACCGGCGTGTGCTTTCAGGCTTATGTCCTCTGATTGAGTTGGTGGTGATGATACATCTGATATAACAATAGATGCGTCTGCAAGTGATGAGGTGGGACTTGATGGTGAGTGTAGTGGTGACTCAACCACCACTACCTCATTTTTAGGTCTTTCAGGATGACGTCTTGAGGCTCGATTGCTTGCCATGGCGGTATACCACTGTTCATGATTGATGGTACTTGGCTTCAGGACGGGCTTATTATGAGCAAGAGCATAGCACAATGATGACATGATGAAATGCGGTGTGATAAGGCAAGTTTGGCATATGTGATGAGAGGTGGCAGATATGCTCACAATTGGCCTAAGCATTAAGCCACCACTATATAATTGGATCATCCGGATGGATTATCCAAATCCACCGCCCAATTTGGATTGTGGCTTATTGGATAAATCCGAATGGATCTATCCAATTAGATCCACCCAATCAGCACACTGAGCGCACCAGGGTTGCCACTTGGATCGTTGTACTTGTTAGCAATGTAGTTTTGGAAAGGACCAGTCATGCCAAAATAGGCAAATCTTTCACATAGTTCGACAATGGCAACAAGGAATGCGCTATATGGCACTGTGTCGGCAATCTTCCGCAGAGTGCGGCGCTCTGCTGGCGTAGGCTCGTCTTCGTCCCAAGGTTCGAAAGTCTCTTGTTCGGCAAGAGTCGTTCCACCAAAGGGTTGCGCTTTATGGAACGGATCCAGGACTCGTATTCCAGGGAATCTATCTCAATCAGCAAATTCATTTCTTAACATAACAAGTCAGAATGGCTTGGTACTTGCCTGATTGTTTCCTCACTCTTTATTAAAGCAGCAGTGCCATGCAGCATGCTATCCTCCTCACCTTCGACAGCTTCAACAGAAGTGGAACCAGAAGGGTGAGAATCCTCGACTAGATTGACAGCTTCCTGTTGATCGAGCTTATCATAGCGCCATCTCTCCCGCTCAGAGGAGCTCGTGTTCAGAAATCTGACCATCTCGAATACACACGTTGACTAGCGTTAGCTTCTTACGCCTTAGCTGGATATCTGCCACTGTGCGACGTTGCTGTGCTAGATCCGCAGCCTCTTCAACGCTGCTGGCCAGTGTTTCTCGTGGCACATGCCTTAGCGTTCAACGCAAGAGACGACCGAGTGCAATCAGGAGGCTACGGAGTGACGATGATCTCATTGCTTAATGAGGGTTTGCGTCCATGCTGAAAAAGGTGTATCGTGACGGGAAAGCTATTGTTTCACTGTCGCAGAAATCCAAGGCGCCGTCGACTGTTCCCGGAGATTCAGTTCGCTTTGCTCTCTGACACGCGCCGCAAACGACAACGCGGACGAGCCAATCAGAGCGTTGTAGACTTCCGGAATATTCACACCTGTCGACACGGAATCACAACTTCACGGGCCTAGAAAACCTCGACAAAACAAAAGCTAACAACGATTGCAAACGCTCTCGTGGAAGTACTTGAACGTCTCAAATTCTTATCTCGCTGGTTCTAGCTAATCCTGTCGTCCCTTTCACTATTTATTTCGGCCTCATCAGAAATGCAGTATGAGAGATCACTTCGTTTGCTTCTATGCGCCATTCCCGCTAAATGAGAGCCATACGCGTCACGTCCACCATGCTCGTGGTATCGTTCAACACATCATCTCTTACCGCTCACAGAAACAAGCGTAGACCACTAGCAGGTGCACCGATCTGTGCAACCTCGCAAACCTTGCAGACCGTGCCCTTATACTTCGAGTGGTACTTCACACCGTCGTACGGGCAGGAAACGCTTGGCGATCCACCATATATAGGCGTGTGCGATGCGCCGCAGACCTCAAAATCCGCAAACTGATCAAAGTCGATGTCAATAGCATCATTCGGGTTACGTTCGCAAACTGTCTTGATCTTCTTGGCCTGAAAAATAGTTAGTCTACTTCTACCGCATGGGAACACTCAGGTGACTTACTGTCTCCTTGAATTTTGTGTTTGTGCCTTTTTCAATCAGAGAATTGGCGAAACTGAGTGCCGAAGAGAGTTGTTTATTCTTATGCGCAAAGTTCATTGCAGAGAAAAGCGCAAGAGTAACATGTGCTGGCTCCATCTCGGGAATCGTGAAATATGCCGAGAGCTCGAATGCACGCTTCTTAGTTTCATCATCGAAAGATGACACATCCTGGCTGTTGTTTATCAGCTTGCGGCGCTCGAGTTCAACGGTCATGGCCAGGACATATTGAGCGGCTGTGTGAATGAGTTTCTTTGCCTCGTTTACTTCGGCTGTTGACGAGACCGCATTCAAGAGCAGCAAATGCAGAATTTTCCTAAATGTTTGCACGCCATCCTCAAGTTTGTTTGTGCGCATTTGTGTCTTCCCAGCCTGGAACTCAGTGTTGAGAATAGACTCCAGATCGCGCGGAATAATGGGGAGAACCTTTCTCGAATCAGTCTCGTTTACTGTGCGTCGCACGTAGTTAACGAGCGGGGCTAAGCCAGGACTGGCAGGCAAGAATGTTTTCGAGGCCTGATAGATCTCTGCGAAGCGCCATTGGAGTGGCTTGAAGTTGACAGCGCCAACCTGGCGGTTCAGCAGCTGCATTGCTGATTCGTATGAACCAGCAGCAACATGGTCTGCAGCAATTGGCGAGTTTCTAGCCCACAGATCCGCTTCGCTACTTCCAGCACCGGCCTCAACAGCTTCGACATTGACAAAGTCACTCTCTGCCTCTGCTTCAACATCCTCGCCCATATCCCAGCCTTCTGCGTCGCCTTCATCCTCCTCCTCATCATCAAGACCTCCATTCCTGTCAGCAGGAGTTTCTGGCTCAATAAGATCTTCTTCGCCGTATGCATTGGCAGCACCGTCATCATCACCGCCATCTTGGCCAAAGAGTACTTTCTCGAATGCGGTTGACGACGTCGTCTTGGTTGGCCAGTTGGCAAGATATGTTCGAACAGACGCCAATGGGATAGGATTAGGTGTAGCTGTGCTCGGGACGCTGATCTGTTCCTCTGTCAAACCGGAAAGCTCCAATAGAGATGCTGCTTCCTCATCCATTCCGTGCGCTTTTGCAGTGAGATACGCAAGCGGATACAAATCAAGCTCCTTGAACATTTCGATACGATTCTCGATATCCCCAAGATAGAGGCTGTTCTGGAAACGAGCTGTCATGTCGCCACGATGCTCTGCAATCTTTTGCATGCGGTTAAGTTTGTCCCGATCGCCTGTTGAGAGGTACAAGAATGAGAGCTTATCGAAGTAACGCAATTTCTGGTATGTCATCTCGACGATTTGGTGGTTACCATGGGCAAGGGCCTCGTTGCTCAACCGCTGCCACAATTGTGGTCGATCAATCTGCTTCGCCATTTCCACGGCAACATCCAGGTTTCCGCATTCAATAGCAAGATCAAATCGAGTCTGCGGATCTTGGACGAATTGCAGCGCAATTTCACTGTATCCTTTCTTCTGCAAGTAAGAAATGATACTCTGACCGACCAAGCTCGATGTGCGGATGATGTTGAGCATCTCATCATAATTCCGCTTTACCAAGGCAAGTTTGAAACGGTACTCCGTAGGATCGATGGTTATAATCTTCACCTTGGCACTTCGGTCCAGGCAGTAAACATTCCTTCCTTTCACCTTCGCAAGGTAAACAGTTTGTTCAAGAGTTCTGACAATACCATTGTCTCCGTTCATCAGAGTATATTTAATGTGGTTGAGCGTGCTGTACAACAGAACACCGGCATCGTCCCAAGCAGCACTCTTGATCCGGATCGTCTCGTGCAATGTACTGACCTGCTGCAGATTTTTCGTGACAATTGTGACATTGTGTTTGCTGAGTAAAGCAGCATGCAGGCCATCTGTGCTCCAAACGACATACTTGACGCCACTCACTGCAAGCTCTGCAAGCTCCTTCTTCTGTTGAATATCGTAGAGCACAACACTGGTCGGCGTGAGTATAAGTAAGCAGCCTGGCCCACCGAAGTATATGTCCGTGGTACCTGGAGGGGGCTTTATGGTTTTTGTGGTGCTATTTGAGAGATCTTTAATGTCGATCTGTTGATTTTGCTTGCTGAAAACCGCAAAACGATTGCGTGCAACGAAAATAGCCGAATTACCGGAGCCTCTTTTTGTGTCTGTGGGTTCCACAGCTCCACTGGCGTCTCGAGGAAGACTGACGAGTTCATATGAGCCGCCATCTAGACTTGACGTGACTAATACAGCACGCTCCGCTGGGTTGAAAGATAGTGTTCTTGGTGGCTGCCATGGCTGTCCAAATTTCTTAAGCGACAGCATGGATGGACTCTCAGTATTCTTCGTGAAATCGTAAACCCGAACGTGCTTCTCCTTAGTGATGAAGAAAAGTTGATTTTGATAGACAGTTGCAGCAGGTCTTTCCCGCTCAAGCTTGAACACCATAACGCCGTTGTCATGCCCAGCAGCGAAAAGGTTAATCGTAGGATGTGCAGCAAGAACCCAAAAACGATCATTTTCCCGCTTGAAAGACTGCACAGAGGTTCGTTTATTCAGGTCCCACACTCGAATGGTCTTGTCTTCGCCTGCGCTGAGAATGAGATCAAGATGTGGGTGGAACAGACAACAAGATGTGTTCTGGAAATGGCCTCTGCATGTGTCAACCTCCCAAGCCTTCGTCTCGCTCATACGCCAAAGCTTTACCAATCGGTCATCGCCTGCGGAGACAAGCAGCGGGAGTGTTGGGTGGAATGATACCCAATTGACGCCACGGTCATGCCCTTCAAGAACAAATTTGACCACGGCATCCGTGTTGCCAAAAACATCCGCCTGTGCATTCGCTCGTGCCATCTGGTCTTCGAATGACATAGATGTTGGTGCCGAATGCTTCTTTCTTAGCCCAGATATGTCCCACACTCTCACACTTTGGTCCAAACTAGCAGATGCGATAAGGTCCTGCGTTGGATGCCATTGAGCACACATGACATAGTGGTTGTGTCCAGTCAAAGTGCATAGCAAGCTTCTATTCTGCCAATTCCATATGCGTATCGTCTGATCATCGGAGCTGGAGAGAATCCAAGGCATTTCCTGGTGGAAAAACACGGTACGCACATAATCAAGATGGCCTACCAGTGTTGCAATAGACCGTCTTGTCTGTAACGACCATACTTTGATCTTGTAGTCGTCACCGCCAGAGACGAACATAGGTTGAGTTTTGTGAAAATCGACACCGCGAACGGGACCATCATGTTCTTCAAACCGGTCTATCAAGGTACCCATGCGATAGTCCCATACTGTACTTGAATGCTTAGTTTATTCTAGGGAGGTTGAGAGAACACAGTGGGGGGCGGCATACACTGAATCGTGGACGAGTGCAGGGATACTAGAATCCATGGTCTATTATGTGTCAGAATTTGCTGGTTCGAGCATGAGCACACAATCTAGCGCTATTACCGTTTGCTGTGGAAGGCAATGCCTGGCAACTAGGTCAGCACAAAGTGAACGGCACGGGCGAAGGAGGAGGGTATAACCATACCCTTAGCTCGGGACGATTTCGACTCGAACTACAATGCAATTAATACCCAAGCCAGAGAGAAAGCCAAGGATGCAAGCTACCTTGGTAAGCATACTTGGTGACGAAGCCATGGTGGGTGGTTCGGTGAAGCCGCAGCTTCAGCAGCAGAGTAAGGAGCGAATGTGTAACGAGGGGGTGCCCACACAAGAGAAATTATGCGATCGCGAGGATGGGAGCGTCAGATGATGGCATGAAGCAGGACAAATTCATGCTCCTGATTGTGACAGCTTGTTCAGGGCCCCGGTATGTCCAACCGTGTGAAGCTAGCTAGGTAATTCCCACCGTGTTCTCTATATTCGCAGGGCAACAAGGCGATAAGGCACAAATACAGCCTGAGGCCTAGTTTCAGCTTGAAGCCGACCCTGTGGCATCGACTGACGAGCAGGGCCTGGAGGGCCCATCACGTGAGATAACACAATAGCCGCACCACAAACGGCACGACTAACCTGCAGCTTCAGCTCGCCATCGTCACCTCCTTTCTCGACCCGCAACCTCCTAATAATAGACGCTTCATATAACAAGGAAAAGTCTTGCTTTTTTCGCCTCACTAAACAAACTGGCCATCAGCTTGTCCTCAGGAGTTTGATGTGAGGTTAGTTGGCGGCTCTGACAGTACGACTTAGTTCTAAACGCTTATGCGGAGCAGCTCGGGACAAAGGTGCAAGTGTGCCTCATTCTCCTGCACGCTTCTCAATCTCGCAGCGGGACTACACGCTGTCCAGTTTAGAGGACCTTCAACGTGCAGTTTTTTTTCTCTCTCCACACACTGACTCATTCATTCTCATTAGAAACGTACGCACGTTCAGTCCCTCTGTTTCATAGATCTCTCCTGCCATTGGGCCTTTGCCAGCAGCCTCAAATGCAAGCACATCCACATTGCGGACTTGCGTTGCAGCTCGTCGACAAACGGATGTTCGACACATCTCAGTGACCGGGCCCAGAACAGGAAAGGCTAGGCTTGCAGGGCTACCTTGCGTTCTGTCCGCCGTTATATCTCTTTTGATTTGCTCAAGCTTGCACAGCACATTGGTGTGAATTTTCCATGGCCCAATCCTAGGACTATCGCTTCTCACACATCATTGTTTCTTTCACGGTCCGGATATACAAGAAGCTTCGTCGACCTCGTTGCTCCCGTATCACGTCTTCCCTCCTCTCCTCTCTAGCAACCATCTCGCCTTTCCCAGCACTCCACGACTGATAGGGTCAGTTATCCCTCTAGCATGCTGTGTTGTTCAACCTGCCTTCGTGATTTCTCAGCTTTCCCATGAACGGCTGGAGCTGACGTTCCCTCAGAATTCCGTCACGCGAATTCCATTTCGAGTCAAGAGCATCCTCAATTCGTCTTTTGTGTTTTGAAAATGATATTGCTCAGTCACTCAAAATCTGACGTCTCACTACTCGCCTGCTTGTTGGTTTCGTTGGTGCCTTGATCCGATTGACAATTTTGTCCGCCGTTAGTCAAGATCACTGAGTCACAGCTTCACACTATCTAAGCCTCACGGCCTTCAACTGTCACAGCACTTCAAGAAATAATGGAGTTGCGAAATCCCCCCACACAATTTTCCTTTCCTAACCTACAACCAAATTCACCGCCGGCAACGCCGAATTCTACTCAACCGAGAAATACGTTCGGTGCGAGCTATTACTCGTCAGCATATCGTAGACGTCACGGTATAGCTAAATTCGGTCTATCTCCGCCTGATTACATTGCTCCGAAAGGCGAAGGACATCAATTCTCATACACGCCACCCGACAGAGACGGCCCGTCGGATTCAGAATCAGATCCAGTTGATGAAGAGAGTGATACGTCTTCTCAGATTGAACATGAAGTCCTAGCTGTAAGCTCGGAGCAGGACAGCGATGTACTTGAGCGTCGAACTTCTACGATACGATCAATCAACGAGGATACCGACTTCACACTGGAAGAACTCTCCGATGACGACATCGGTCACGATGATCTGGAAGTCATCTACCCTGATCAGACAGAGGATGCTAAAAGTGAGAATGGCTCCAAAGCAAGCGAGTGTGACATCATTGATGCGCTCAAGAACCTAAAATGCAAAGACAAAGAAGAGCTAGCGAGAGCCTTGCAATTCGACGCTGCTCAACGTGAAGCATACCAAAAACGGAAAAAACGGTGGAGCGTAGGCGGTTACAAAAAACGCAGCCACGCACAAAGCGTCGGAAGCCAGTCGTCCGGCCACGAAGATATTGAGCCCTTGGATGACATACACTTACCAGGTGCATCCGCTCGTCGACTGCGACGACGAACGCAGGGACCAGAAGACAGCGAGCCACCAAATCGCACTTCACTCATATTCGACGACCCACCAAAAGAGCTTGAAGAACTTGCAGTAGAAGACCCACCGCCACTTTTGGATTCCGATGGAGAATTATGGTCTGACGATGATGGCGTGGAGGAGATCGAGCTGCTGCTCCCCGCGTGGCTCATGGACCTCGAGTCCAATCCACCAAGTAGGCCCTCCACGGCAGTGTCCGTCGAATCTGCAAGTATCAGCACGCCAGCGATATGACCGCAGGTGGAAGTCCCGATGCTCTCATGTTTCAATACGCACATATCCTCAACAATCGCTCTGATTCACCTCTTTGCATCCAACCGGTCAAAATTCGATTGACCGGTCAATGACGACTTACGATCAGCATATAGACTTAGCGAATCATTGATAAATATGCATGCTTACACATCCTCTCATCCTAGTCCAGTCACAGGGTTCATCTCGATCATTCGTCTCTCTTTTTGCTTGATCACTAACAATCGTATTTGGCCAACTTAGAAGTCGTTCACGTATGTATGCAGGCAAATAAAGCTTGCATTACCGAAAGCGACGCTGACTGCAATGTCTCTGCTATATGAACACGCAGCTACATTGTTTTGCAAATGTGCCACCCCTGCTAAATTTTGTCGCAACAATTACACTGTTCTAAAGGTATCATGGGTTTAGGAGCATACAAAGAACAACCGGAAAGTGCTTCGTGAAACTTAATCCATATAGCTCAAGGCTCATCGAAGATCTGGATCTTGTCCGCGTACTCCCGAATATTAGACCGTATTGTCTCATTAATCAGATCACCCTTGCCACCAGCGATCCTCAGAATCAAAGCATTGAGCCCGGCTCTACCTAGAATATCAACGTGATCTGCCGTGTTCGGGCCACCTCGAGCGGAGAATCTGTCTGGCTCGTGTGGCATCTCGTAGACCTTGACTTGAACACCGGCCGGATTGTATCTCTTGAGTTTCCAACCCTTGGCACACATGTACCCTGCGCTAAGCAGATTCACAGTTCCGTCGCCCTCGCCCATCACAACTCCATGGTCAATATCGTTAATAGTCAATTCAGTGTCTATTGAAGCGTTGACTTTGCTGAAAGGTGAGTTCTCGTCTCGGTAGAAGTACGCTCGTTCGGTAGGTTTCCCAATGCCATAGAAGCAGTAAATTTTGAGGTTGGGAGCAAGTGGCAGCCTTGTCTCCAGCGGGTTTATCCATTTGGCTGGAATTTTCTGGTTGGCCTCAACTTCTTTCCGCGTATGAGCGATACCATGAGAGTAGTTCTGTAAGACCATCGTCTTAAACCAATCTTCAGTTTCGTTCCATAAAAAGGGGAAGGCCTGGGAAACCGTAAGGTTGAAGCGATTTTGTGCTGTGCCATTGACCTCCCTGAAGCGAATGAAGTTGCCATAAGAGACTTCCTGGCCAGGTTGGTCATCCGGAGCCCAGGTCAAGTTACCCCATATAGTTTCACCACCGATTGGCAGCATGCTCGAAATGCCTGGCATAGCACGGAAAATTTCTGCGCGCTCCGACTTGCTCAAAAACTTCTCAAGTCCATACACAGCGAACGTGTTGAGCTGTGCAGTATCTTTCATCTCGCCTGAAAGCAACGCGGTCACACTCTTCAATGCCCCCAACATACAGCCGCTGATGTTGATCCACGAATCCACGTACGTTTCAACCCACGCTGGACCTCCATTTCCGTAGCCCTCGGCCTCAACCCAGTGCAAAAAATAGTATAAGACTTGCGAGCCCATGCTGTGAGACAGCAACACGACCTTCTTGTTCTGTATTCGGTATGCGATTTCGATATGCGATTTTAGTCTCGTGAAAAACTGGTCTCTTCTCTCGTAGTTCAAGTAGCTCATTCGCCAGTCGTATGCTGCCGTGAAAGCATTGGAGGGATCATAACCGATCGTCGCGAGATTCTCCAAAATCTTGTTCCATATCCAATAACCCGTGATGAAGAAATCGGTAGCATCAAAGCCTTGCGCTGCACGCAGCTTAACACCTGGAGGATCAAGACCAGTCTCTTTGTCTAACATGATATGCTTCTTCCATCCTGCTTGATCTAGGACTAATGCGCGCATCATCGTCCAGCTGCCCCACAATCTCTTTCTGAAATACGACCGTGCATCTTCTTCGGTGCTCCAGCTCTCGAGACCAGTCGAAATTACGCCCGGTATCATTATCACTGGATGCGTCGCCTTGACGCCCTCAGCCTTAACCTGTAGTCCAACAGCAAATGAATCATAGCTGACCGCATCTTTCTCGTGCTTCTGCGCGCAAAAATATTAGACTGAAATAACCGAGCTCGTCCTAACATGAATGACTTACCTGGAAATTTTTTGCATCACTCAGAATGCCTGCAGGAAGTACGTCTATTATGCTGTCCAGGTTCAAGTCTGAGAACGCAGCTAGATCAAGCATCTCGTTCTGCTTCGCAAAAAGCGCTGCGATCACTATGCCGAATATGCCTCCCAGCCCGAAAATCCACGCTTTTTGTCGTTTTGAGCCCTTCGGCCTATGAATGATCTCATGGAGTTTTTCAGCCGGCAAGATCCGGAAGTCTGTGTGGTCGTTGGATGGCGTTTGAGGTGCGTCTACATGTGGAGGGCGACTTTCGCTGGGAGCTGAGGAGCTGGCGGCGACATTGCGCCGTCGAAGGATGTTCATGCTGCGTTACAAAAGGGTCATTCGCAAGAGCCTTCGTGAAGATGTGTCGAAAAGAAAAGACATTCGAGTGGAAACGTTTGATGGTGAGCGCGTTGCGACAGTCCAGAAGCCAGTGATCGGACCCGCCATCGTCATTCAGAGCAGGGGTCCATGTGTAGCCAACCTTCAGTCCTTCACATGCTTGGTGAAGTCAAAAATTTCCATCCGCCCGTAACTAGCAGCGCAACAACCAATATCGATGATCGGGCTCATGCGATGACCGAGGAAATCACGCAGCCCAAAAACGAGAAAGGACTGCGATATGTTCAGTATGAGGTTGAGAAGGAGCACATATACCTAAACGCCATCCGGAAGCTGATATCGAGGGATCTATCGGAGCCATACAGCATATATGTGTATCGATACTTTTTAAATCAATGGGGCGATCTTTGTTACATGGTGATTTCCGTCACCTCTATGCAAATTACCTGTGGGCTAACGGCTAAATAAAAGGCACTCGATGCCGAGTCTGACGACCTGCGTGGAGTGGTTGTGTGTAAGCTTGAAGAACATCGGAGTGGAACATATCGAGGTTACATTGCCATGCTTGCTACCGTAAAGGAGTTCAGAGGGCGAGGCATTGCAACTAAACTTGTCGAGATGGCGATCGACAGTATGAAGTCACGAGGAGCCGATGAGGTATTGCTTGCAAAAACGAACCATCTAATCCCAGGGCTGATACCTTGTTAGATCGTTCTTGAAACAGAAGTCAGCAATGAAGGATCATTACGACTTTACGAGCGCCTTGGGTTTCTGCGCAGCAAGCGGTTACACCGGTACTACTTGAATGGCAACACCGCTTTCCGCTTAGTCTTGTATTTGAAAGAAGGAACAGGTCTTAAGAGACCAACTGCTCCACCGATAAATCCTCCATCAGATGCTACTGCTATAGCACCACCATATGAGCCCTATTGCGCACAATGAACCGCTTGGAGCCTTGCCCCCAACTAAATGTCTCCGTTTTGAGTGGAGAAGGCCGCCAAGTCATCACTCGCCTTATTATTAGAGCTTCAAAACTTTCGTCTCATATTCTTATACAATATACAAAGCCAAAGAATCATCTTAAAAATGGTGTAAAAATTGCTACACTAGCGAACAAGATGTTTTCTTATACATCTTACACAAGCTCGAGCATCGAATCCGCTCCATGTGGACACAGAAAGAGAAATCGCACCCATGACTTACGCCCTCAAGATGATTTTTCTCAGCATGCTTTGCTTTGATAGTCTCGTCTACTTCCAATCGACTTCCTCGACACACTAACTGTGGCACGTGCCGGACCGTTCGGCCAGGACCAGAACTTCCCACGCTACGGTAAGCGAACAACTAGCCACTACCGTTGCTTGAATTCCTAAAAAGCAAATCCATCATTCCAACATCGTCTATAAACCGTATCTGTCGTTGCCAAGAGGAGTGAAAAGACCGACTGTACCTATAAAATCGTCCACTAGATCCCTGTCTTATTCATCTCTTCTCCTCAGAACAACTTCATATCTGGCTCTGATTTGTTGCTGTTATTTCCGCACGGGTTCAAAGATTGCCGCCTACATGTCGGATCCGGAGCTGCCAGCGAAGGACGAATCGCCGTCGAAGAGACACAAATTTGGGACCCTCCTGTAAGTGTTTTCCTCGGATGAAGAATTAAGTTCTTATAGGATGATGAGGAAAGAGGGAATTACCAAAGGTGCGCTGAAAAGCAAGATCGCCCTTCAGCACGCTGTCGGTCTGGGGCATAGACCCAATGTTATTCCTGAGGGAGAGGCAGAAACCAGAGGTGTTCCGAGGACTGTCCATATAGGATGGCATCCAGTGGGAGGCGTGGCAGGTAAATGGTTTGCGGAACAGACAAAGTTGGGAAAGTTGATCACCGAAAAGATCGACAAGTATCCGGATCCCACTCAACATTGGGCAGTCCTAATCGGCGACTATGCGCACGAACTGTGGATGGATGAACATCTTGATATCATCTATATCAATGAGAAGATCACGGATCAAGAATGGCACAAGTACGAGGTCGGCCACACGACATTTAATGATGAGGCGCTCCGCCAGGCAGCAGAGATGACTATCTACAATATGCGTCAGATCAAACCAGCGTACAATCTGATCACGAATAACTGCCAGAATTTTGCACTCGCAATGTTAGAAGCGATTCAGATCGGTAAACATCGAGAATTTGGCTCGACGTTTGCCATATATCAACGGGCTACAGGCAAAGGCAAGATCAAAGACTTGTTCCTCGAAGACGAGCCGGAAGTACCGGTGATCATCGAGGCCGAAGGGGACGTACCAAAACCAGTAAGAAAGAATACGGTGCAAGTCGCTGCACAAGTCATGGATGAGAACACGACGAAGCTTGACATGCACCATTCCCTACCGTGATATGCCCGACTCGGTGATCATGTCTTCGGTCCGTTGGGAAGCGGTGTTTATTGTTGTGTTGAATCTATACCCTACTTAGAGACGAAGATTTTGTTGAACGCATTGTTTTCTCATTTCGTACATATCACTATGTTTATTACATTATCAATCTTGTGTCAAGATTAACTTAGCCCGATACACAATACTTCTCTAAGCAAGCTTTACATTCATCCGGCAAATATCTCGCAGTCTTATGCGTGATTGCACATGCCAAACAGATTGACCATTGGTTGTCGCCACCTTGTGTCGCAATCATGTTTCCATTTGCGATCATTCCCGCAGTCTCATCGGAGGTAAATTGGAATTGACTCGTCGACACGTTGCTATCGAAATTATACTTTGCGTTCGGCAACCAGACAATTGTGACCTTGCTAGCATCGTGGCAGCCAAGGAAAATTGCATGCTTATTGAGATTATTGGATACAATAACATCCGGAGTCGGGATCGAGGGCATCTTTGTGAGCTTGCGGTTTTGAGCTTGCTCGTAGGTATGTAGAACCTCAGTGCCGTTCGGCCAGTTATCATCGGTATCCGCGGAATTATCATTGACCAAGATTACGTCAACGTCGCGATATGGTTGAATAAAGGGCCATATGGGATTGTTCTGATTTGCTATCACACATTAGCTTTCCGTACAGAACCCTTGCTCCAATGAATTAACTTACAAACCCCGCCATCAACGAGATATAACTCCTTATCACTCGAGACTAAGGATGACTCGGAGTAACCGTAAAAAGGATTGTTGTATGGAGCGTAGAGATTTCGCCTTGCTGGATCTTGACCCGTCGCTTGCTCAGATACCCGTGCACTCGGTAACGGTGTGAACAGCTGCAGAAATATTCCAATGGCGTTGACCTCAGTCAAGCCGCAGTTCTCTTCAAACTTGGAAGACGAAGTGCCGAGCACGTATCCAAGATTATCATAGTTTTGATAGCATTTGCCTCCTACGGGGTATCCATTGGACATTTCTGTGCCAAGATATGCAGTCTGCGTGAAGGCTCCTATGCCGCTGTCCCAGCTGCCAAACTCGAAAGGAGTGAATTCAAATTGCACAGCATCGTCATGAGGAGTGCAGTCATCACCACTAATTCCTCCAGTCTTTCCTATGGACGTAATGATCGGAAAAGGTATGGCAAAGGACGCAAAGTCCTTGATGGTTGGAACATCTGACAAGCGTGTAGCAACGCCACCGTCAGTACCTTGCAATAGTTGATAAGAGAGGAAACGGCCCCAAGTGTCAGGAATGGTTGGGTCGAACCCAGCGTTCTGCTTGGCCTCAAGGTCTTTTCGAATTTGAGGGCCTTCAGGCGCAAACAAGATGTTTGTCGGAAATATGTCATTCTTCGCCAGTGCCGATGTCCACAGCTCTTTCTGTAACGTAGTGACCTTTGCATCACCAGCGTTCCCAATTAATGACGATAGAAGCCACGATCCCCCAGAAAGCCCAGCATGGTATGTCAAGGCCTGATAAAGCCCGCTCGTAGAAACCGAGCTGTCTGTACCATCCAAAGCTTGTACCACACCTGCTCCGCTAAGCATGGCACGGTATCCACCGCCGCTGTTGGCCAGTGCAATAGTAGGTAATTTTGCAGTATCGAATCTGGCTCCGGTACTGTTCAGCCAGCTACGAAGAGCTTTTGAAGCCGAAATCTTTCGCTGAGCAACATAGTCCGCCTCCTGCTGGGCGATCGAGTTTGCCTGTCGCACGAGAGATCCAGATGGGCATTGTGCAGGTACGGGTGCGTATCCCGCGTCAGATCGAGGCCATTTTGGGTTTGCACGGATGGGAACTGCCCAAAAAGCAGCCAGAATCAATGCTTCGAACCAAATGGTGATCAATGATTGCATTGAATACATGATTGCTTCGTCCTGCTGGACGGAATCGGTCCAGACAAGAAAGAACGATCGAGCTCAGATCGCATCTCTGGGGCGTTGGTGAGATTGTATACCATAATTTCCAGACGGCCATTGCCTGCGTAGATCATCGGCAAGTGCATATTGAGCTCGGTAGACCTCGTAAAACTCTCGGCTGGCATGTAGATCCTCTCAGTATACGTCCAATTTTGAAAACAAATGATCAAATTCAATGCAAGCGAGAGAGAATTTGCATCTTAGAATAGATGCGTATCTGTTGCCAAATCGTCACGGTGTGACGATTTTTGCGCGTTGGAAGCGCTGATCCAGATGTCTAGACGAAACAAGATCCTAGCGTAGATCCGGAGAACGAATCATGTAAACCGTCTGTTTTGCGATTCATTCACAGCTAATTAAAGCGTGCTCGGGCTACCATGTGAAGTAACTGGTTCGAGACTCGGCGCATGGCTGGATTATGTTTTGCTAGTGGCGATAAAACAGTCCACAGTGGATGGGGATGAAACGGCAGAGCAATGTCAACGGAGAATCTGGAGCCTCTTGAATTGGTCATTCGCGGATCGAATGTGTCCTTCACTATCTTTTACCGAGGAACTTTTGTCAGAGCATTTTTCGAAGCTCAGCTCACGCTTGTTCAGAGTATTTGCATAGCTTGATACGTTAAAACATGTTAAGCGCATTGCACACAACGTGGAGAGCTATTATCGAAGAAGCACACCTCTGCTAAGCTCATATCATGAAAGAGCAGATTTATACCGAATGAAGAGCTGGCAACTGTGCATCTGCTTTAAGATAGGTTGTGAGGCCGGAAAAGAGGTTATAACCTAACTAACTTGGTCTGAATGATCAAGCTTTGTCCCGTGACTTGGCGGTTGGTCGCGTCACTGTCTAACTGGACTGTTCGCGTAAGCGTTTCTACGGTGACGATCCTAGTAAACTCCTCCAAACTTTGACCGCTTGCCAGTCTGGCATGTACAACAATGAGCTACTAGGCTCACCTACCGCAGGTTCAGGATAGAATCTGATCCTTCGTCCAGTTCAACACACCTGGGCGATGAGCTCGCCACAAGGCCACCCAGCACAGTCGAAAAGCGCCACCGCGGCCCCTGCATCGGTAAAGAGGGCCAGGATTGTCACAACATCCAGCGGCATCGCCATACCTCAAAAAATTTGGTTTGATCCATGGAACTCTGTCTCTGCCGGACACCAGCGTGCGGAGAATGCACTTGCAGCATCTCCCGGCTGGCGCAGTAGCAGAGAGCTGAAACTTGCCGCGCAGTATCAGGGCGGCCGAGGCGGCGGGAAAAGAGTATACGATACGATAGGCCGCGGCAGTGAAGATTTTGGCGAAGAGGGTGGAAAGGTGAATGGAGCGAAGCGGTTGAGGTTAAAAAATCAACCCACCATAAAAGAATATTTCAGCGCCACCGGATCGCGTTCAACCCTCGACGGTGGAAAGCGGGACGAATTCCCCGCAGAGCACGCACGTAGCGACGACGATCTCGAGAAAGCGATCGAAGCGTCGTTGCGTGGTCAGAGAGCGGGTTCAGATGAACGCGACGAGGCCGGGTCACCCAACGATGTCCGACGCGACGCCGCCAGCAACGATCTAGAAAAAGCAATTATTGAGTCATTGCTGGACCCCAACGCCCTTTTGCCTGCCCCATCTGAGGACGATATGGACGCAATACCGCCGAGCAATCAAGACTGCCGTTATGGCAGTGGCGACAACAAAGAGCACCTTACGAAGCCGAGAGAACCGGATGGTGAGGACACAATGCCTGGTGCGTCCAGGCAAGTCTTTAAGAACCTGGTCTTCTTCATCAACGGTTCCACGGCGCCTCTGGTCTCAGACCACAGGCTCAAGTTCCTGATCTCCGCGCACGGCGGTCGCATATCCCTGGCACACATGCGCAGAACAGTCACCCACGTCATTGTTGGCATCCCGATGGGCCATCCCACCCATGGCAAAGGTGCCGGTGGTGCTCTGGCAAGCGTCAAGATACAACGAGAGATGGCTCGCTCAAGGGGTAAGTGCGTCCACTTTGTCAACGCGCAGTGGGTGCTGGACTGCGTGCAAGCTGGCAAGCGGCTCAACGAGGCGGGATACGAGTGCGTCAGGCTAGGAGGCTCAGGCCAAGGCACCGTCTATGCAACATTCAGAGCAGCGAAGGCGGCCGTGAACAACGGTGCCAATGGTAAAGCTGTCAACATTATTGAGGATGACGAGGTGGACTTGCATTGAACGTAATGAGCATTTATCCAAATAGATGATACCCTAGAGTCAAATGCATTAGGGGTGGTTAACTGTTATTATGATATACATCATTAATACACACCAGCACCTCATGCTGAAGCACCGGACTTTCTGTTCTCAAAAGAGTTGTTTTGCTCTTGAATGGTCGGTCTCTCATTTTTCCGGCTGACTCTCTTCAAGGCTCTGCAAATCGTTGTTCTGCAATATGATGTCAACATCTGCGGCAGCCTCCGGTCACGATTTATCAACCACACGTGTGTCACTGTCTGCAGCCTCCGCAGCTGTCTCTTCTCTCGGTGACTTGCTCTGAGAGCCTTTTTGCTTGTTGAGCATCTTCGATCGCGCCACAAAGATCCCGCGGAACATCGATTTCATTGATTGACGGATTCGCTCTTGATTCTCCGATGGCTTGTTAATGACTTCCAAGCCATATTGCTCCGCTTTAGCCCGTCTAGCATTATAACTAGGGAGTGCTGAACCAACGAGTTCAGTAATATATGATGTAAGTCTCTTCTGGTCATCATATGGATGCTGTCGGCGTGACAAGCCTTCGTATAGTTGCTGCAAGGTTTTCTGGATGTGTTTCCAGCCGTAAGCCTTGCGGCCCAGGTCGTTGCCCGAATCTACGGGGTCTTCGAGACATAGGAGGTAGGGTTGGGAATGGTCGAGGATGCGAAGTGAGGAAGAAGGATCCTGTGCAAACTGCGGGTGGGTGTTTAGTGATAACACTTTCAACATCGATGCCGGCTCGTAGTTATTACTTACCGCTAGTGAGTCTGGAACGTCTGCCGGGTCGAGTTTTGGAGTTATTTCGAACGGATTGGCAGACACGGCATACTTATACGTATCCAGGATTGTCCCGTAAAATTTGAGGACAAATAAGAGATCGAAACCCAGTTTATGCATCTCGGATAATTGGGTGTGGTCGGTCATTTTGGTTGGCTTGTATAGATCAAGTGCAGCGAGGATCATGATCAGGATATTATACGAGCCTAGACCCCCTCTGAAAACATCACTCAGGCCTCTGAGGTCCAACGTGGCCTTCAGTACGGCGTAAAGGTCGAACAGATGCGGCTTCTTTTCGAGGTAGTTTTGTATCAATGCCCGCTGCTTGGACGTGTCATTCGCGCATACTATCTGCACGTCGTAACCGGACGGTTTGTGTTGCATATGCAATAGCGGGTAACGTGCGTGGCGAATGTTGGAAAAAAGGTAATCTGGGTGTCTCAGAAAGGACTCCTGGAGTTTGGACAGAGCATTGTTGTTGGCCATTCTCGTCTTCCAACGTGGGGGAAGAGAGGAGTTCTCCGGCGTCCTGCTCGAACGCTCGTCTGCATTGTCTTTGCGAAAGATGCGCAAGTCGATATCGGACGTTGCGAGCGCGAGTCCGTTGCGCGAAGAGCCAAATACTTCCACATCGAACTGTGGGAGCCTTTTGCGTACGATGGTCATTGTTTCAGCAATGACTGCCTCACGCGCAGCTGCTTCCGCCTCTGTTGGGCGAATCCAGTCCGCGAATGACTTCACTTCAGCGCCGATACGGTTGAGTTTGGATCCGACCTTCTTGCCTTCCAGTCGCCTTATCCATGGCTGGCGAGAGACGGGCAATGCGTACGTAACTACAGGTTGCACGTATCTGCCTTCATACTCAAGCACTTCCTTCTCTTTGACCGCCAACTTCTTCTTCGTGATGAAGGTGGCCTTCTTGCTTCGAAAATTTTCCGCAGTTGCTTGAATATTCGCACTCTGCTTTATCGCCTTGTTGATATTCCCGCTCCCGTCTTCTGAAGCAATCGCCCGCTCTTTCTGCTCCTGTGCATCCGCATTTGGGAGAGCACTGCTGGCCTGCAAACGGGGATGATCGAGCGGGTCCGAACGCTGTTCTGGCTGTGCGACGTCGAGCTCTGGCTCAGCTTCGCGGCGGCCGGCTTGAGATGCGATCAATCGTTGAAAGGATAGCTGGAGGAAAACATTGTTCAGCGCAACGGCTGGTCTGAACGCATTTGCAGCATTGCAGAAGATGCTGCGATTGATGACCATCGATGAATTTCAGGGACGGCGCGTGCAACATGCAGTCGTCTCCCGTGTGTATACTCAGAAAGCCTCGTGGACAGACATCGCAGATGAGCTGTCTAAGTAGTGGCCTTGGCGCCCTGCAGCCTTGAGAGTATCGGGCGCAGGTGTAGGGTGAGTTCGACAATTACGTCGATGCTGGCCTGTTTCACAGCCCGACACGAACAGAAATGAGCACTTTGATCACGGCACGCCAGGATGGAGAAACTGAAGCGTGTTCTCCATCCGCGTCGCGAGTCTGCACAAATCGGCCTCGATAGTGCCGACGAGCCCATCAGCATAGATTGGCTTGCATTTCGACAATGGGCGATATGTTTGTGAGCGATTCTCGCCTGAAATGAGCTATTGCCCAACGTATTAACAACCGACAGCGTTGTCTGCAATTTCAACGTTGATGTTGGTATGCGCTAAATTCCCCCCCTCCTTTTTACTCCACTGCGCTGTCCGCTAGACTCTTCTATGATGCGTTTGGAATGCTGTTTCGTTGCGCTCTGGAGCCTTCTTTTCAAAAACCATAGCGCTAGGGACGACCATTGTTGATTCTGTGTAGGCCCTGAGGTGGAAATCTTGTATCCACCGGACACCGCTATATCTCCTTCGGATTTGACTGCCATTTGCTTCAACAGTTTTCCAGAGCGGCACGACAACGATCCTCTAGAAGTGTCCAATGGAGGCACGTCAGGTCGACAAGCCCGAAAGTCGACCGAGCTAGCGTTCAACTTCAGCATCAGAAATAATTCGCCTGACCTGAAGCTCTACTCGCCAGCAGCACCGCATGGAAGCGCAAACACATTGTTCGGCTCTTGCCTTTTCCGCTCCGAGTTCGACTCGCAAACGAAGCGCAGTTTCAACCAGAAGTCTCTGGTGCTGATATCGAATCACAACTTCGCCGCATTCCACCTGAGGCTTCTTCGGATCCTGACCGAGTTCGGCGTTATCAGCGATCCTTCGAAGCTCGAGGCGGCGTCGTCTGAAATCGCGCAGTGGCCTGCGCCTACTGTCGGCCATCAGGACTTGCCTTTTCTGGGCTACCTTTTGCAACTCGAAATGTCAGATGAGTTCTGCTTTGACTCTTTTTTGCTGTGCTGGACTAAAATGATTTTCATAGAACACCTCACAGAGCATTTCATCTTCAAGGATTGACTCCACCCCACATCTATGCGTACGAACCCACTGGATCATGGGACCTACTCTTGCAACATATGCACTCCATCGGAGAGTTATATATAGCATTTGAAAGACTATTTCTGTGCGAGAGCATCGTAGTGTACGCAAGAAGCCCCCAGCTCTGCAGCGAAGGGGTGTCCTGCCTTGCCGATCTGATCGCGCCCGTTCCTTACGCTGGTGTCCGCAAGCCGTATCTTACCATGCAGTCGGAGTTCTTCTCCCAGGACAAAACAGTGCCTCAACGATTCTTGATCGGAATCACGAATCCTTTCCTTCTCAAGCGACTGACGAGCGCGGCGAAGGAGGCTGGCCAGCCTCTGTACATCCTCCAGCTGAAGGACACACCCGGCCCGGTACAGCTGAAGGGCAGCCGCTCGCATCGAGGAAAGAGTCGCGGCAGCGAGCTGGATATCCCGGGGGGGCTCGACCCCCAGGAGCCAGTCAAACGCTATCTCAAATCCGATCACGACTTTCTCAACACCGTCGACCTGACGCTCAAACATCCTGATCCGACGGTGGCTCCCATAGGACCATTCTTGCGACGTCACTTCGCCGACTTGACAGGGCAGATCCTTCAGCCTTTAAATCGATTCTTGACAACAGAAATGACGTCGACGCCGCTCTCGCCGGGAGGCAACCCGCGCTACGCCAACTTTTCTCAAAAGGATTTCTTGCACAGTCTCAGCAAGCACGGAACGTTGGCCAAGTTCCGAGGCCAGACGCCTCTGCAGGCTCACCGACTGAGAGATGGCTTCTACGAACAATTTGTACGGAGTCCGAACTTCTACTCGTATCTAGAGATGAGGGTCACGCTAGACTCCGAGGCCAGGGCTGGTCTGTTGAGAGGAAATGCAGTCATTGTGCCGTGACGACGATGACGACAGCGACGTCGACAGTGACGATTAGGCGGATGTTGAACAATGAAGCATTATCGCCTCAGCTTACCTGAGTCGAGCGACGTTACGTAAATGTATCTACCGATACCCAGTGTCAGATTACTCGATGGATATTTGCGCGCGCGTCCAATCGTTGTCTGTTCTTTCATAACGTCCAGGCTATTTTTTTTTTTGATTTTTTGTTTTGTGCAATGAGGAACGGAATGGATTCAGCAGATGGTTCCTACGGGGTTCTCTCTCGAAAGCTGTCCAGAAATGCGGACTGCTCGCATTGCTTCTCAGACTATTCAAGAGATAACGTTTACTTTTTTTCTAAGCCCTGTAGCAGAAGCTTGGCTGGCGCCTTCCACTGCGACGTTTCACCGCTAGCTCGGCTCGCGCGTTCTCGATCCGTGACTCCGTCTGAGCTTCCCATTCACAAAAGCCGGACTCATCCCATGAGACAGGATTGTTTAGATGTAGGGTAAAGAAAGAAAGGAACGAAAGAATATAAAAAAGGCGGGCTGCGAAGCCACGGACACGTCAGGTTATACAGCCCAAGCAGGAAAGGGAAAGCATGAGGGATGGGCAGTTGGATTGGGTTGAAGCGAAGTGGGATTCAGTGAGGAAAACAGCGAGGGGGGTTACACTGAGGGGACAGACTTCACGCGTTTTCAGATGGGTTCGCAGGTCAACCGAGGAGAGAGCAGAAAGGACAGGCGGCCAATGGAGGGCGCAGGATCGACCGATTTTGCAAGGCAGGACAAAAGCAAAATCGAAGGAAAAAAAAAAACCAGACCAAAAAAAAAAAAGAAAAAACGACTGGCCACAGCAGCATTTTCCAACCCGGATCCATGTCGCTACGTGCAGGCGAGCAAAAGGGCAAGGCGTTCGACATGCGCCTTTACCTCCTTCATCCACCCACCCACGTCCTTTTTTTTGGTGCTTTCTTTCCGTCCATTTCAGTTCCACCTTGTCTGCTCCGTAGCGCAGAAGAAGAGCGCCAAGCCGAGGAAGGACGTGCATGACGCGCGCTTCGTGGCTCGCGCACCAAGGAGCGGCGCGGGCGCAGGGCGGACGCATGCTGAACTGACGCCGGCTCAGCGAGTGGGGAGCACGAAGGAGAGGGACGTTTGGTGGTTGTGGATGTGGCGGCAGTCGTTGTGCACAGAGGAGAGGAAGCCCGTCGCGGCCGTTGGCTCCTTGTTTCTGGACGGGGACGCGGGGAGCAGCGAGTCGAGCAGGCAGCCAAGCATCCACTAACAGGAGCCCATGACATGGAGAGGTGCGAAAGGCCTGCCGTGGGGAGGTGGGAATCACGGCGGCGCACCGCGGAGTTGGGCCCAGGAAGAAGCGGCGACAGCGACGACTCTGTGCATTCCGGCCTCGCTGTTACGGGCATGCTGGAGCACTGGCTTTGGCGGTGGGAGGGCTCGGTGACAAGATCGTCGCGGGCAGCGACTGCCTGTTCGCAGGACCGGGGCAGAAAGAAAGAAGCGGGCGGGTTCCTCTTTGCGCCTGCATGGGCCCCGCGTGCGTGCAACGGAGAGGAGGACGAAAGGAAGCGAGCGAGGGACGGAGAGGACGACCGAGCGGCGACTGCAGCAAACAGCAGCGACGCCAGCAGACAGCACCAGCACCAGCACCAGCACCAGCACCAGCACCAGCACCAGCACCAGCACCAGCACCGGCACCGGCATCGACTCAAGCTCTAGCACGCCAGAGCACCGAAAACGCATCTGGGCACGAGAGGGGCGGTGGCAGTGGTGGTGGTGCATGACCTCTGCTCGCGACTCGGGCCCACGACGCGGCCGCCGCACCACCACAGTCTGCATGCGCCGCTTGCATCCTGTCGTGCTCGCCCTCTCCTCTCGTCTCGCCTCCTCCTTGTCCTTCCTCTCGTCGCCCCGTCCGTTCTTGTGATCACAGCCGCATCCACACGAGCCCGTGCCTCGACCAAGCACCCGCACGACCTCGCTCGAGCCGTCCTTCGTGCCCCGCGGCCGAGCGGGCGTGTGGTCTGTTCCGCCTCGTCTGCGCGCGCTCGCTCGCCGATCGACCAGCAGGTGCCTCTCCTGCCTTGTTTCGTCTGATACATATTAGCGGCGCTCAACGGCGGGCTTCATTGGCACGTCTGCGCCGTTCCGAAAAACAAACTGGCGCTGGAAACATCCCGAGCCGGCAAAAGGGAGCTAGCGCGCTGGGTGGCTGGCCCACGGCCGGGCTCACCACCACCTTCGCTGCCAGCCCTGGCGGGTCCCGGCCTGCGAGCGCGCTCCGGCCTCTCGGGACTGAGCTGCACCAGCCCAGCCCGCCCGTCGCTCCAGGCGGACTCGACGCCATATCCTCCTCCTACGTATGCTTGAGTCTTTCGCCCCGTCAGACGATCGTGCAGCGTTTGTTCCTGCTCGTCCTTCGCTCCTCGTCGAGCCGCACCCTCTGCTCCCGCTCTCTCCGCTGTCCGTCCCGCGCTGCCGTGGTTATGATCGCATCCCCCGTCGCCTCTCGCGCAGGCCGTGCGCACCACCGCTGAGACAGCTCCGGCGAGAGCCATGGCTGCCCATCCCCGTTTGGACGGCTCGCGCACAGCGACGACGTCCGTCCCACTCCAGCCTCAGGTACAGCGGGCATCCTTGAAGAAGACCGCACGCTACGCGACCGCCGTGCGAGAACACGATGCCTCTCCTCCCGACCTTCTTACCGCCAGTCCGGCAAGACGGATCGAACGTCAGTCGCTGCGACCGTACGCCGCCGCAAAGCCTGAAAAACCGACCGCCGCTCCCATGAGACCCAGGAAGCCGTCTCAGGACAGCAGCTCGAGGTCGACGTACGGGTCCAGGACCGGCAGTGCAGGACGTCAATTCACCGTTGCCAACATCGCCAATGGAGGGCGCATCTATCTTCGGTACGCACTCTGCTCCTCACCGTCACCTTATTTTTCTGGCTCTTGCCCGTCTTCCGTATGCACGCGATCCGGCGCGCTGGGTGCTTACGTGCGCTGGCGTACCGGACACCGCAGCGTCCCCTTTCCGTTTCCCTTGCCGGAAGCGTACGAAGCTTTGCTGTTGCTTGATGAAAACCTCACGCAGCGTTCCATGGCTAACAGCGTGTCAAACGCGCGTACAGACCTGTGATACGACCCGGAAATCAACGCTCGCAACCCCCGCCGACCCATCCGCCGTTCGTCTTTCCGCCCGACTCCCCACCCGACAGCTCTGGCGAAGAAGCCGTGCCGTCGCGACGCCCGACCAGCTCCGTGGAAAGAGAGTCTCTGTTCTCCGCTGCGCATGCCACGCCGCAAAAGTTGGTCCTGCGGAGCAAGTCGCACCACCTGAAGAAGCCCAGCCAGGAAGAGCCGACGCCGCCTTTGCGTGGAACCCCTCTGAAGAAGCACACGCGATCGCACTCCTTCTCCACCGTCGACGAGCATGCGAGGCCGAACCTGGACCAGCCCGGCACGTTCAAAGTCGTGATCCACAGGCCATCGGTGTCGAAGCCGCGAGAGAAGGACGCCGACAAGGGCCTGCCCGTGCTGGAAGTTCCCATCCCGCATTACCGACTTGGAACGCCCCAATTCGGCGCTGGAGGTAGGGCCATCTTGCGCAGCTCGCTGTACACGCGCAGTTCAGATCGCATGGATCCCCGCTCCTCGAACGCCTCCAATGCCGGCTACGATCGGCTGCTTCGTACGCCGTCCGCGATGCGGTCTTCCTACGTGAGCAGACGGCACTCAGAAGCCTATCCGGCGCCTTTGTTCAGCAAGAAGAGGGCCACCGCCGAAATGCTGGACCCCAGAGCTTCTCTGCCTTCACCTTCGGAGGCTCGCTACTCCATCGTGGCTGTTGCCTCCCATCTGTACGACTTTCTCTGCGCTCGGCCAGACGATCCAACCGTGGTGCGGTATGCGCCCAATTCCAACACCATCGTGGCAGCGACACCCTCGAGGCTCGTCGCCCACATAACTTCTCCCAACTTTCTCGACTACGAGCTGTTGTCGGACTTTTTCCTGACGTTCAGAGCGTTTCTGCAACCCGACGAACTCGTCTCGTTTCTGGTCTCGCGCCTACGCTGGGCGGTGGACAGGCCGGACGATTTCGGCCGCATCGTACGGGTCAGGACGTTCGTTGCGCTCAGACATTGGATACTCAACTACTTTGTGGACGATTTTCTCGCCGACTTTGATCTGCGGACGCACTTCTGTGACCTCGTCAACGGCGTGTACGAGTATCTAAAGAACAGGCCGGACGGTGGTGCCGGAGATATAAAGATCATCGGAGAGCTCAAAAAGTGCTGGAGGAGGACCGTTGCACTTTACTGGGACAATCCGGATCCCTTCGCCCGAGAGACGGCGGACGACGATATCGTGCCCGGCGGCGACCTTGACGCCATCACGACGGAAGGAAGCTCGAGTCTGAGAGCGTTGACACCGGCTCCAAACGATATCAAGGAGGCGCAGGCTGCAAAGTTTGCTACCCTGCAGCAGCAAACGCCTTCGACTACCAAGGCGAAGCCCAGCAAGCAGCTCGTTTCGAACGGTGCCCAACACGCGCACAAGCCGTCGATGACTTCCGTTCCCAACTCAATGCCTCAGTCGAACCGCACAGGTCGGACGGAGCGGACGGAGCGGACGGAGCGGACGGAGCACACGGTGTATACCGAACTTGCGAGCGACACGAGCCCGAAAGTTTTGTCTTGCTCCATCCCCGTAAAGTCAACATATCGGATGGGAAACGACGTCCCCCTCTATCCCCATCCCGTCCCAGTCCCAGCGCCCACGCCCGTTCTAACAGGCCCGTCAACGGTAAGAGCGCCGCAGTCCGTGTACGGGCACAGACCCTCGCCAGCCCCCTCCGCTCGAGACAGCCATCAGCCGTCAGAAGTGTCAAAGTCCAGCAGCACGGAGCTTGAAGTGCCCTCTCTGTATATCGTCCCAGGAAGCTTGGTCCGTGGCGTTCTTTACCAGCCAGATTCTCCGTACTTCGACGTCCCTCCGCCAAGCAGCATCCGGAGCACCAGGTTCAATCCTTCGGTGGAATTCGAGGAATCGACGGCGTCTCATGCAAGCAAGAACGGCGTTCAGGCTAGCCCTGGCGTGAAAAAATTCTTTGGCAGTGTGCGCAAGGCTCTCGGGCACAAGCACGGTGCGCCGTCCGAATACATCTCCTCGGAGCGTTCTTCATCACCCTACGATCCGCCTTCCCTTCGGACAACCAATTCCACGCCAGAAGCAGGCCACCGCCCGCCCGCGCCCAAGAAGAGCGTGCAGGGACTGAAACCCAGGCCGCAAGTACGGATAGATCTGCTTTGTGCGAAAGCATCCGAATCATTCAGGCTCGCCGTAGAGGCTGGTCTTGGCGAAGACCAGGCGTTCGAACGAGACATGCGGGCGTACGCAGATAACGTGACCAGAGAACGAGATCTGCTCGCTCCAGGAAAGCAGCCGTTTGATCGAAGCGTCACAGTTGGAAGCCGATCCATTGTCATTGTGGATGACACCAAGCCAGACATGCCCACCATGTCTGGAGCCATTCGGCCGCCGAGCGACGTGCCTAGTGAGGGCCATGTCAACGGGGTCAACCGATTGGTCAACGGTCAAATGGCGCAGAGAGACGCTGCAACGTCCATCGACGGGGTGGTGTTCGGTTCAAAGGTAAAATCGAACTCACTCGTGCCTCCCCCCGCAGTCTATCAGCCCACAGGAGTCAAACGATCAAAGACGACCAGGGAAGTACCGTCGAGATTTGAAGAATCGCAGGCCAAGCGTTTTACAAGCTCGTCTGGCATGTCGACCCTGCGTAGGTTTGCATCCTATCACAGCGGTGACGCCAAATTCTCACCAGACAGCGTGAAAGAGGAGAAGCGCAGATCGACTGACAGCGACGAGTTCGTGCTTGGAAAGCCGCCCTTGCGTCAGCTGCGAAGACGTCCGGGGGGGGACTTGAAGGCTGTGGATAAAGTCCACGACCTCGCACATGCACAACCAAATCGTCATCGTCGTAATTCTACGGGCTCGTCGATCATCGATTCCATTATTCTGCCTTCAAAAGAGGTGTCCACTGCAGCCGCAAACCGAAGCTTTTCAAAAACTGACGTAACGCCGAAGAAGAGGAGACGATTCGGCGAGCAGGACGAAGAAGGCACACCGGTCAGGCGAAAATCAATCTCGCTCATTCAAACGCACTCGTCGCAGCCAAATCTTCGTCCGTCATTTGAGGCCGAGGTTGCCAAACTTGCGGCTCTGCCTGACGATGAGGACGACGATGGCGGCATAGAAGCGGCCCTGCTAAAGCTTGAGGGCAAATACGAGAAGAAGACACCAAGTAACTCACCGAGCAAAGAAGAGTTCCCCCCGCAGACGCCGGTCAACAAGGAACCCAAGTCGCCTGATAGCGTCGTAGAGAGCCCTGAAAGTCGGAAGCACCGCCATCACAAGGAGCATGTGGAGGATATCCATCCAGATCAACCACTTCCGACGCCGTTGGTAGTACAAACCACAAGCATCCATCATGTGTCTCAGTCATCAGCCGCTTTGTCCCATGCTCCACGTCATCGGCCCACCGGATCCGTAGCCGCCACCGAGGACTCTTACTCATCTATCCCACTGCTACAGCGGGGAGTATCATCCATTATCCCACGCAAGGGAAAAGCGTCCAACGAGTCGGACGTTGCGATGAATCCCCCCCATTCTACGACATCATCGGCGAACATCAAGGCGGCCGATAGTATGCGACTCGGCACTCCCTCATTCCGGTCACCAATCATGCACGAATCGTTCCTACTTGATGACGATGGCTCTGACGCTGTCTACGACCCTTACGATCTTGCGGCGAAGTCAGACTCAGGCAGCCAAGACATGCGTAGTTTTCTCGACGACGAGCATCTGAGCGAAGCTGAACCTGGCGCCGTGTTCATGCACCTTTTGCGCCACCCAGACACGCCTCCTGCAGGCCGAGACCCATACGCGGTGAAGCCTCCAGACAGTAATGACACCACCTTCAACCAGGGCTTGCCTACGCCAGGAATGACACCAGTCATCAAGGATCCGACGTTGCCCATCTCGCCTGTATCTCCACTGCACTCGATGCCGTCCAAACAGGGCCTCACGGAAACGATTTTAAGACCACACGAGGCTCCTGCCCGAAAAACTTCGCCACACCCTCCCGCGCATCTGCCATTCATCCTTGCCTATGACCCTCAGCTGCTTGCCCAGCAGTTTACACTCATTGAAAAGGATGCCCTCGATGAGATAGACTGGCGCGAGTTGATAGAGCTTCGGTGGTCTCAAGCATCGCCCACCGTTCACGATTGGGTGCAGTATCTGAAGGCAGAAGATCCTCGTGGCGTTGATTTAGTCATTGCTCGATTCAACCTTGTTGTCAAATGGTTGCTTTCGGAAATTGTGCTCACTGAGCTCTACGAGGAGCGTGTTCGCTGCGTCGTGCAGTTTATCCGCATCGCAGATCAATGTCGCAGGGTCAGGAATTTTGCAACTATGTATCAAATCACCATTGCGCTCCTCAGCGCGGAGTGTGCTCGTCTGAAGCGCACTTGGGAGCAGGTGCCTCCGGCCGAAATGCAAACGTTTAGAGAGTTGGAGAAGATCGTACAGCCAGTACGGAATTTCCAAAACCTTCGACGAGAAATGGAGACGGGTAACAGCGAGGAAGGCTGCATTCCTTTCATCGGCATCTACACCCGCGACCTCGTATACAACGCTCAGAAACCTGCTGTTATCGAGTCACCCCCACTCAACGCGAATGAGCCTCTGGTCAACTTTGAGCGCCATCATACCGCAGCTTCCATCGTGAAGAGCCTTCTCCGCCTCCTTGAGGCTAGTTCGAAGTACACTTTCCAAATCGATCCGCAGCTGATATCGAAATGTCTTTGGCTATCTGCACTCTCTGACGAAGAAATTTCACGACGAAGCCGACAGTTGGAGCGTTGAGAGCGATCGATCCTTCGGTGATATAATTTTTGGGATGGCACCATACTTTGATTTTTGCATCGTCTTTTGATGCACAAAAATATGGTTTTTTTTTTCCTGGATACGAGGTCTTTTTGCTAGGACCCAATGTTCGACACCACTGTGCTACGTTCTTTAATTTTTCTTCTTTCCAGCGTCATAGCCATGAATTTGGTATACCCCACACGCAGCTGTCATATCTACTCAACCAAGATATCATTATTTTTGCAAGCTCCCTTGGATGGAAGCAATAACCAGCTTTTGTAATAAAGCATGATGGAACGCATACTAGGCTTATGAGTCCAGCGACTCACTAAATGTAGAGACATTTTTTTTTATCTCCCGTTCCCGAGGACACTGTTAGGAATTCTTGATTTCCGCACCCCTCCTGTTTCAACCTCGCTTGTTGTCTACGACTCAGTCCGGTTTTTGAAGGGCCCCCGATCGCCAAGCTTCAACGGCATATTTCGTCGACGCTTTTTTTCATCTGAGTACTTTGCCCAGACGGAACAACCCAGCCTATGACCTTTCCGCACACCGACCCCGATTCCCTGCCTCAGTAAGGGCGGATTCCATTCATTGGTCAACACGCAGCCGCACCGAGTCACGGAAACAGTTGACTTACCAGGTCGAAGGGCCAGACCGATACGAGATGGCTCTGCAGCCCAATAAGGCTGTGCTGCGAGGTTTTCTAACAATACTTTCGGTCCAAGACACGTGCAAGAAAGGAATATATGGGGGCCATTGCGCTGCGGTCCAAGTTCAGGCGGCGCAACCCCTTCAAACCACAGTCGTTCGTTTGTTCGCGCAGCAACCTGCACTTCACGGTCAACATGGTCGGTCTTTTCAGTTGTGGCCTGAACTTAGAGTTGCCCATGGTAATGTTGTGGTTGGCATCAGTCGTTGATGGCTCCGTCTTTCGTAAGCAACATGGGTTGCGGTCTCAGCTGTGGTTCTCGACGCTGACCAGGATAAAATAACACTTCAGTTCCAAGATTCACCAATGATTCCTGTTCGGCGGATTGTACCGCTTTCGACATCATACAAAGATATTACTGGCAGAAACAAGAGGTCACGTCGACGGTGACGGCGGCGACTCTCATCTACATCATCGATGATAGGACGAACACGACACGAACGTCAACAAAAACGAACGAACTGCCCGCAGGCGTGACGCCACCTCCTGTCAATGCGAAAGGCACGCACGTAACCACGTTCATGGTAGAAACAGCCCGGGGCGAGAGCTCCGAGGTGATTTTGGCTTATCCGACGGAATTCACTCGATATCCTATTGACTACGGGTGGTTTGGCACACTTCCGACCATCGACGCAAATGGCCAGTCCACGTGCTCCATCGTGGACCCGTCGAAATCGACGCAATATGTGGACTACAGCGCGTACGCGACGCCTGTCCAGTCGGGCGTCGATACTGTGGATCCCGCAGATCCAACGGGTTTCATTTACAGCCTCATGGGATACGGTTGCTACGAAGCGGCAGACCCGACGATCAATCCAAACGATGCGGCCCCGAAGTCTTGCGGGTCGATGAACTTGTGTGGCGTCAGCGCTCTCTCGACTGTACAGTTCCTGACTGAAACATCTACTTCTCATGAGTCTTCCACGCCGGATCCAACGCCGCCGCCAAGGGACACGACGCCTGCTCAGCCCCAGCAGGCACCGACTCCACCTCCTGCGAGTGCTGCTGGAGCTGGCGGGAACAACAACAACAACAACAACAACAACAACAACAACAACAGCCCGATACCGCAGCCGACACCTCAGCCAACAAATGTTAACGCGCAGCAGCCCCCAGCTCAGCAACAAACACCAGCACCAATCGTCGTCGGTTCGCAGACGATATCCGCCAATGCTCAGTCGAACTTCGTGATTGCAGGACAAACCCTCACGCAGGGTGGTCAGGTTGTCGCGGGAGGGACCACCATTTCACTCGCGCAAGGCGGATCAGTAGCCGTCATCAACGGGGCCACACAGTCGCTCGTAGTAGCACAGCCTGTGGCGTCGCCAGTGCTGACTGTGGGTGGCCAAACAGCGACGGCAAATTCGGCAGGCCAGTTCGTGGTTGAGGGGAGCACACTTGGCATCGGATCTGTGGTGACCTTGGGCTCCGGTTCGAGCAAAACTACCGTGGGCCTGACGACGGATGGCACTGGGCACACGGTCGCCGTGATAAACGGGCAAAGCTCCACCCTCGCCCCTGGCAAGACGGGCGGGATCGGAGACGCGATCGCGTCTGGTCTTGGATCGACGGGAAGCGGTGCGGAGCAGTTCACGGGAGCCGCACGCGAGCGAAGAATTCCCTGGCTTGCGCTTGCTTTACCAATTTTTTGCATTGCTCGTGCGACGATCGCGCTTAGCAATGCACAGCATTAGGTCCCGTAGAATCAGACCAGGTCCTAACGATCGGTGTCGAGTCAAATGGCATGGAAAAGACGTGGACTCTGCGAGTGAATCGTATCAATTATAAGTACAAAGGACGTCTAATGTGCGCTCTCTCCGTACATGAAGGGGTTGCTTGTGCTTTTATGATACGCAGATGGCCGTGGCGAAATCGCACCCGCGAAAGCCCTGCTTGGTCCTCTTGTAGAGGAGGAACCGTCCGACATCCAATGATTGGGGCCCTGCAATATTAGGCTGCATAGCTGCCAAAGTATTTTGAAGAACATGTAAGCCTGGCATCCCAAGCCAGAGTGCGCCTAGACTACATGTCAAATCGACAAGATCCAAAATATGCGGCGATCTTAATCAGCGTTCGCCTGCTCTTTTTTTTTTTTCCATAGTGGCAAACAATAACCTAGGAAGTTCATCACAGTCCTTCACAACCATTTGTGAGTCATTCCGGGGCCTTTTTTTGTTGTTCTGTTGGGTGTTGCGTAGTTGTGCCGCACTTCCGTGATCATTGCAACCTGTATGTCTTTCCGTCCCTGGAAAGAAACCAGTATGTCGCATCTTTTCAGTCTTGCTTCTGGCCATCGTTTCCTCTGTGCACCCGTCTTCCGATTCACTTTCCCCTAGGTGCCCTTGCTTGTTGACTAGTATGATCAGGTGGCTGAAGATGGACCGGACTTAACGATTGCAGAACGATACTTTCCTCGACGCCTTCAGCGTGGTTTCGACTACCGACAAGGTCGCCTTTGTCAACACTGAAGCAATCCGCTCTGCACACTGGACAACGACTGGAGCGGTAGCAAAGCCAATTCTCAGCACACGAAGCGTGGAATATGTGCTCGCACATCAATCTTCGGACGAATGTGTCGTGGTCAAAGACCTCCAAGCAGATGGAGCAGGACACTTTGGCTTCTTCCACGTCCGTTTCGCGCTCTGCTGAAGCCATTAGCGGAAATTCCGCGCGCGCGCACACGTGCGGTTCGTTGGCGAATACTTAACTAGTGACGAATTCACGAGCCTTTGAACCTGGTTCCCCGTATCTGAATGCAGGAACTTTGCTGTCAAGAGTCGCCAAGGTCACCACGTGGTTCAACTTCGAGCGATTGCTGCCCCTCCTTCCTGCGGCCGAAGCACTTGGTGGCGCGTTTCCCAGGAAGTTTTGCCAGTCTCCGGTCCTCACGACTGGAGATACGGGGTGCCGCAGGTAGTAGCCAAGAGCCATGAGGAATACAAGCAGCAGCAAGGCGCCAACGAAGCACAGGGCTATCTTCGTGATTGCGCTGGGCGAGGTCGAGCTTATTGGGGTTCCTGAAGGTGGCTGTGCTGGACTGAGGGCTCTAGCACTTCGAATGGCGACCGCGGCCAGCTTGGACTTGTCATCCATGACGTTGAGGTCTCTGCTCAAACGACGATGAATCAGGCTTTGGGGAGAAGGGAAAGCTTAAGGGGGACAAAATGCAATCCCACAGGCTCCGTACACGACAGATGTGGAATCGATTGATATATTCTTGAATGGACCCTTGGGATCATCTGCTTCGATTCATTTTGCTCTGGGGAGGGGGAGCTTGCGTCCCGTCTTACCGTTCACCTCGCTTCGGTCATCTAGGACTCTCGTGTTCAATGTTTGTAACGCGAACCTGGATCACTTGCGATTCAGCATCGGAATGAGCGGATTTGCAAAATGCCTCACACCCAGTCTCGCTTTGCTCTTGTCCGTGAAAATCGCGCACTCGCACTTGTAATAATATTTCAATAGAGCCCAATTGACCTTGGCCCTATATCACGTGACCTCCATCCCACTCTTGGCTTGCGCTTGGTGACTTTGGGTCCTCTGCTGAATTATTGTCCTTTAGGTCAATTTGATATTTGCGACCGTGCTTGACATACGGCTTGGATGTAGAGCCTTCTTAGAACGATGGTCGAAGCCGTGCTGAGCAGACGCGGGTCACCGTTGATATTTTTGATTTTCCTCGCAATAGAGCCTTTCGACGATTTCATACACGTAATAGAGCCCATTCGCACGGGCAATAGAGCCCATCTGCAATAGAGCCCATTGTCGTCGAAACTCGTCGTCATCACTGTCCAAGCTAGTTCCTCCTACCGAATCGCACATTGCTCAGCCCCCGCGGCCTGCCTCTTGGGGAAAGCTGGCTCATCTGAAAATTGCAAGCGGATCGTTTCCTGGACGCTTATCACATGTTGAGTTCGATTCACGTGGAACGCAAGCCTCATCGTGGACAGCTATAAGTGAGCAGGACACTGTCGGATTGAAGATCGGCCATCTCGTCGTTCGAATTGCATCCAAAAACAAAAACCCCTGTGAATTGTACTTTTATGTGCTCTGTAAGGATGCAAGTACTAGACCATAAGTTGATAGTTGCGATTGATCTAGCTATCAGCCTTCTCAGGGAGAGCATACTAGAGGATCAAGACGGCCAATATGTCCTTCTTTTTATGTGCGCGTGATGACTGCATCGTACGAGAGCTTCTGAGGAGCCTACTCATCTTGCTTGTGCGGACTCATTATCTTCCTGGATGTCAAAAGAAATATCAAAGACTCCCAGACTGAGTCGATTTGTTCACGTACGATACATCGTGAACACCATGCAATGTAGAAAAATAATAAGTGACTCGATGTCCTCAGAGCGTTCGGCCCAGGGGATCTAGTTGATGTTGTAAAGCGCGCAGCCTGTTGCATAGCACTTCAACACCACATCGTGGGAAAGCTTATTGACCAAGCTTCATACATGGCTGTAGTTAACCTATTGGAGCAGTTTGCACTCCGCCTATAAGCATTTTTTTCTGACATATATTTTTTGCCTTGTCCTGTAGTGCGCCACAGTATCTCCTAGACCATCCCACGCACTGCTCGATTCCTTTACAAAAAGTCTATTTCTGGAGCCATCGAAATGGTTGTTTCCAGGCTCACTTATTAGCGGGTGACCCTCATGCAACCGCCTTGCATGAGGAGCATTTGCTCATCCCAGTGGAGCTTGAATTTTTTACACTGTCGAGAATTTCCATTCAGTGATCGTGTCCTGGCTTTTCGTCCGTAAGCAGATTCAGACTGCCTTGTAGTTGCATGTTTGCCCGCAGACGTTGCTGACTGCCACGATCTAAGGACTTCAAACCTATCTTTTCAAAGGCTTCTCGTATTTGTTCGGGTCTTGGACAATTTGGCCTGTTGCTCTTCAGCCTGCAGCAGAAAGGGTCGCTGGGAGAGGTCGCGGACTGAATCAGCCGAGTATCGTGAGATGCTTTCATTCAAAGCTGTGAAATTCGCACCTAGAGGAGAAAGACCAGCGGGGACTAAATCGAGCTGAGTCTCGCCGATTAGTTTGATCACCGGCTTGCCGGGTTCACTCTTGCGTCGGGTCCTGAGTTTGAATATGCTTGAAATCACAGGCGACGTGCAACGTCGCCCCGGCTTTGGGCGAGCCGGGAGGCTTGAGCTCGTTGCCACATGTTTATGGCCCCCCTCATGCAACATTCCACTGGTGAGAGATCTAAAGGACAAGCTTTTTGTTTTTGATTTCTCAAATAAGGAATAATCTCGACCAGAGGTTCTTGAAGAGCTATTTTGGATGGATGGCAATTCGTCTGGATCTGAATCATTTTGAGGAAACTTACGTCGGTGTTTGAAGTCGAATAAAACATAGTCAGGAGGACTAGTTCCGGGAGAGGATGACACCTCAAGAGCATTTGAAGACTCTCTTAAATGAATAGTTCTCCACTGCTCTTTCTCATCGTTCATGTCGAATGTGACAGTTCTAGTTTCGGGTTGACTGCACACGAGAATGTGATAGCTACATGCATTGATTAGATCCAGAATACCTGGTAAACATGACACGAGGATGCATACCTCACGAGCCGTGGAGCAAGCGTCTTCAGAACATCGTAACTGTCATTCAAACCCTCAACCCTTCCAAGCCACAATTCTCTCAGCTCAGGCATATAAACGTTGTCTTCCCCCAAACGCTTTCTATTCAGGCCACTGAGCCGTTGAAACGGGTTATGGCCCTCATGCACGCCAAGATAGCATATCCTAAGTGACCTGAGATGTAACGCAAGGCCTCGCAACCACTCTCTGAACTTTTCGAATGTCTGGATCCGTTGGTTCTCCTCTAGATCGGCAAGAGGAAGTATCTGGAGTTCAAGATGCTTGATTTGCGTCCACAACGTGGCTGCAAACGCACTTGACCTCCCAAATGCAGGGCCGTGGCATCCAAATTGCCCGACGTACACCATATCAACCGGGGCCATCCGCAGCGTCGTCATGTTAGGCAGGTCTGCATCCTCCAGCCCCGTCCTTAGCGTTCTCAGTGCCGAGCTTGTCCTGTTCCACAGCACTCCCGTCGTACAGCCGCCCGTTATCACCGACAACGTTTTCAAGTTTGGACAGTGCCTGAAGACAAACGACCAGTCGTTGATCTCTGTCACAGCGCTGGTCATGCCCTCAGCACGGGTTTGGAAGATAGAGCCGGGTGCGTATCTGTAATTACCGCAGTTTTCCCTAAGACTAACAATAATTTCGGTGCATCCATAGGCGACGCGACTGAACCCCGTTCGCGACCGCCTCGCAAAAGGGTTCGTGTACATGGGGCTGACGTACAGTCTGCGAAAGAGACCGTGGAAGCCTCCTTCGACGACGAAGACGTCTGCTATCTGCATCGACAGCAGGCGAACGTCCTGCAGCTGATTTTGTGCCTCCAGATGCCGGGCCAGTGCTCGCACAACAGCTCGTTTGTCAAGTACCTCGTGCCGGGCAAGTGACTCCGCAACGAACATGAGATTGTTGCTGTGGTCGTCTTTTGGGATTTGAAGGATCGCTTTCGCAACATCTTTCTTTGACCGCTTACTACCGCCAACGGGAGGCGCCACCAAAGAGTAGAAGTTCATCCGGAGATGTAAAAGCCGTCCGATGATGTAGCCTTCCTGATAATTTTGAAAGCAGGTGTGAGAACTACTCAACTGTCGATAGCTGCGATGATAATCGATCTCGGGCGACGGAACTGGTCACTGCAGGTTTTTAGATGTTGCGTGAAGGTGAGGCTGTCTACAGAGGAATTGTCAGTGAATAAGTGTCAAAGCTTGACTTGCTATGTTGACAATAGCAGTCCTCATGATGCCGGATGGCACTTCGCTATTCAAGTACTAGTGAGAAAGGTATCGCAAGTGTGCCTCGGATAGTAGTTTGGATGACGGAAATTGCTGGAAATAAGCAGAGGAAGATGAGTTGAACAGAAAGGAACAAGATAAAATGCACTTTTGACTGTCGCGTATGTAGGGTTCCAAGTACTGATCAAAGATGTGTTGAATTGAGAGACTTGCTCATGTAGTTCTCAAATCTCATCCATAATCTTCGTCTATTTCCCTCCAGAGCAATTCGTACGTATATTGAGGTAGGCAGTGGACTATGAGTCTAGTAAATGATTACTTATCTCTATTACCACGCTCTATCGCTGTTCCGCTCTCACTCTATTCTGCGTGAATTGCCCCGATTTTGGCTGTCTCAGGGGTGGAGCTCTCTTTGCTATTCTTCCCCGTCCTCTGAAGCCCCTCACATTACGCCTTCTCATGCTCGTACAAGCATTTATGGCGAACTTTTAATGTGCTGGTCGCCGACGCTCAAGACACCCGCTAAAGGATACCTCACCTCTTTGAATGAAATACAACAGCTGAGGCGCTGATGATATGCCAGAAAACGCCAGTTGTGTGTTAGCTCATGCACACCGCATCTCTGGACCCCTTTCTTAAAATTTCCTTTTCTAGAACCGATTCTCTAGCGCTTCCTCATCAGCAACTGACAAAGTCTCCTGCACTCGCTTCGTCCGCGTTGCCGTTGAGCAGACCGATCGTGCTCAGGATGTCCCCCGGGTCGACGACATGCCATGAGGCCAGCGTCTGTTTCGAAGATGGACCGACAGTAACCGTGAACACGCTCTCGGTTGAAAGACCGGACTGGTTCAAGGCACGGAACATATCTAGGCGTAACTCATTAGTATATCAAGGACGAAGCAGAAGTAGCAGTGGCTGTGGCAAAGACACTTCTGGGAAAAGGAGGTAATACATACCTTCATCTGTGAAGTCGTCACCAGCGCAAAACACGAACCCAGGCGTCTGCCCACGATCTGTGTGCTCTTTGATTAACGCTTTCACAATCTCTCCTTTGTTCACGAACTTCGGCCGGACTTCCAGATTCGCCTTGCCCGCCATGACTTCGACGTCGAACTTAGTTGCAACCGTGCGCTCTAGCTGTTTCCTGCACGCAGACGCCTGGAAAGCACCGAACTCAGGATCCGCGCGTCGGTAGTGCCAAGTCACCGCGACCTTCTTACGTTCTATAAAGCTTCCTGGCGTCTTTTCGGTGAAGTATTGGAACGTGGCTAGCACGTCGTCCTGCCACTGCTTGCCGAACTCCTCAGTTATGTCAATCCAGTCCTCCCTCCCTGGGTAACGAACAAAACTGCCGTGCTCAGCACTGAGGCCAAGCTCAGTCACGTGGCCGAAACACTCCTCCAGGAAGGCTTGGTCACGGCCGCTGATGATCCAGACGGCATTTTTCGGGTCTGCAGCCAGGGCTTTGATGTTCCGTAGCACACGGTCGGACGGGATGGCAGACTTGGGATCTTGAACAATGGGTGTGAGAGTGCCGTCGTAGTCGAACATGAAGATGCGCTTATCAGCATTGCGATACTGTTTAAGTAAAAGCACCCTGTTCAGGACTGGAGTGACGAAAGAGTGATCAAAGGACTCCAAGCTCGACAACAGATGTTTGATGAAGCTCTTGGTCCAGTTCTGGATGTTGTGTGTCCGGACGTGCTCGTACAGTTTGTTGCTCCTTATCGCACGTTCGGCATCCGACATCGAAAGTGCTTCATTGATGGCATCTGATACTTTGCCCAGATCCCACGGGTTGACGTGCAGTGCGTCTTCCAGGTTGTGAGCCGTGCCGGAGAACTCGGATAAGATGAGTTGGCCGTGATTTTCTTTCTGGCAGATGGCATATTCCATACTGACGGTGTTCATGCCGTCGCGTACGCTGGTGATTAGCCCCACGTCTGCGGAGCGTAGCAGCGCAAAATACTCTTCACGAGAAAGGTAGTGTGGCAGATGACGTACTGGTGAAAATCCTATCGAACCGTACCGGCCGTTGATCCTCGCAGACAGTTCGGAGATCTTTTCCAGCGCCTTGCTCTCACCGTCCCGACCTTCGGTATTCATATCTGTCGGGCTTGTTATTTGTATGAGCACGACCTGATCCTCCCATTCGGGATGGCGTTCCAGGAACAGTTCGAAGGCTTGCAGCTTTTGTGTGATACCCCGTGCTGCGTCAAGACGGTCACGGCCAATGATGATCTTCTTTCCTGCATACATCTCCTTGATGCGTTTTATGTTTTCCTCGACTTTTGGATCCTCAAATGCAGCCTTCTCTGTAGCGTGGGCATTGATGCCGATCGGCAGGACATCTACAGCTACATGCGATCCGAAGGCGTCAACCCCCGAGGCTGAAGAATCAAAGCCCAAGATGCGCGTGCAACATGAAGAGAAATGTCGAGCGTAGCTCAAGGCTTGGAAACCGATCATGTTGGCGCCAAGTACGCCTTCGAGGATCTCCTTTCGACGGCCAAGACAGCGGTAGTACTCGCTGCTCGGGAAGGGAATGTGAAGGAAGAAACCGACATAGATTGTGTGAAGACGCTGACGCAACAAGCTAGGCACGAGCATAAGGTTATAGTCGTGCACGATAACAACGTCGCCAGGTTTGTACACGTCCATGACGCGGTTGGCGAAGAGAACATTCATTCTGTAGTAGTCAGCCCAGGCGACGCGGGCAGCTTTTGCGTCGGTGGGTTCGTTCTGTTTGTAATGGAACAGGGTGTAGAGCTCTTTTCTTGCAAATCTACGCCATCTGCTCTGATCTTTGATGGTGAAGACGTCGTCCTTGCCCTCCTTCCCCTCGTCTGTCAGCCACACGGGCACGATCTTGCCACCATGATCGCGTTCAAGCTGCTTCTCCAGGCGTTGACGATCAGCTTTTGTGATGAGCATACTCTCGTTCGGATCGATAAACTTGGGCTTTGGCATGCCAGGCAGCGAAATGGGTTCGGATAGTTTGCTGCGCGGAGCGGATACGTTTTTGAGCGTGTCCGCATCCGGCATTTTTCGAATTTCGCCCGTCCAGCCGACAAGGGTGTGGTTCCATGACGAAGACGAGGAGGCAAGGTAAGAAAGAGAGTCGAAGAGAGAAGACGTGCCGCGACGGGGTTGTAGGTCCTGTCCAAATGGTTAGCTAGCAGACTCGTGCAGGTTGTCCGCAGGCGGGTGGCTTACCCAGTCCTTCCCTGGGACGAAGCCGATGCTGTACGGCACGTTGAACGTTACGCTGATGATGTGGCCGCTCAAGTTCAGGGACGGATACATCTTGACGGGATCTTGGGCCAGCTCATCATTGGGGAACGCGCCTCTCGCACGAGCACTGCCGGCATTGACGCCAGCAGACTCCTGCGACGGCTCATACGCGTTTGCGTTCCATCGCGGGCCTGGGGTGGAGCCAGCGGGGTCGAAGGGCAGCTTCTCGGAAGACGAGGTGGCCGGACGTTCCTGCTCAAAATAGGTGGACTTGCCAGACGATACGACGCCAGGCGTGACGGGCACCTCGACACGGATGGATTGCGAACTCTCTTCCTGCGCCATGTCAGCGAGCACTCGCAGTTGACGCGTGAGATACGAGAAGCTGGTGCAGAGTGACGAAGAGAGTGCGGTGCATCGAGAAGCTTTGCGTTCTCATGGCCAGGAGTGCTGGCATCCACTCACCTGTTTCGTCATCGTAAGAGCTGGAAAGTTCTGTGCGGGATTGGTACCGTCTACGAGGAATCTCGCATGCTGCTGCTGTTCGGCCGAAGGACGACGACGCTGGCTGAGACGGCAAGACTCGCAGTAAGGAGACTGTAGGTTTGCGGTCTTTGCCTTCAACGAGGGGAGGTTGCTGGGGCTTGATTGCGATGGGGTGAGTGACGAACGAGGGATGTGGAGGAAAGAAGAGCGAGGGCGGCAGAGGAATGATGGAGAAGCAGAGCAGCAGGCAGATGATCAAGCAATCCAGTCGGCTGGGATGGCGGATGACGGAGGAGAGAACTGCTTGTTACCAAGCGTGCCAGCGACGGTCAGTAGCACGGGCTAGGGTGGTGGTGGTAAGTGGGCTGGTGGGCGGGCGGTTTGCGCATGTGCGTTCTGCGGAGTTGACGTCAATGCTGCCGGCGCTTTGGGAGAAGCGCCCCAGTGCGGACGTCGTGCGCAGCGATTGACTTTGCACCTCCGGTCCAGGCACGCCGCCCTCGCCCGGCGCCGTTCAGAAGACTCTGACGTATGGCGCAAGTTCCTGCGCGACAGGAGCGGAGGGCTGGAGCTGGTGAGAGCTCTGCCACGGCGTCGCTTCGAGGCCCGCTGTTCTTCAGACGGTGCACGCTTTGCACTCCCGATCCGCTCATGGATGGCTAGCATTGCATTCTGAACTGCGCTACGTGCTTGCAAGTGGCATGCATCCCGCTGCGATCCTCGCTACGCGCATGGCGTGCATGCGTGCTTGGTCCCGTTCTTCTTGGACGTTCCAGTAGTCCAGCAGTCGCAGCGTGAAAAAAAACGCCACATCCGCTCCTTCGCCGTGCAGCAGGTGGCCGCCAACCCCCCGAGCGCAGGCCTCTCAGCGCAGTCCACTAACTTTAGCGCCTCGCACCCGCCAAGCAGCAGGCCCCTCCCCCCTGTCCGTCCGCCCAATGGCTGAATCTTTTGCGCGTCATCCTGCCTGAGGGCGTCACACTCTCGTACGTCTTGCTTCACCACACATACACACGTGCTGCTTGCTTCACGAGTTTACCACCGCAACCCGCCTCTAATCCCTGGTCGCAGTCGCTGTCGAAGCTTACAGACCTTGCAGTCGCGTGCCTACGCCTCCGTCGCCGTCCTCCAATCCTCCCTATAGTCTACACATTCTCGTCCGTGGCCCGTGTTCAGCCTCGAGCCATGTCGGCCTAGTCGTGCAGCTGCTCACTCTCCGCCTTAGAATGCCGATGCAGACTGCTTTCCTCCAAGGCGTCTAGAAGCTCTGCAAAGGCATGGATCCCAATATCCAGCGGGCGTTGACTGACAAGCTCTACGACAAAAGAAAGAGCGGTGCGCTTGAGCTAGAGGGCCTGATCCGGGCCTCGCTGGCCGCTGGCGATCACGACCGTATCGCTAAGATAGTCAACCAGCTCTGTCATGACTATGCCTACCAGGTGCACCAGCCGCACGCCAGGAACGGGGGGCTGATAGGACTTGCTGCTGCCTCTATCGCTCTTGGATCTGTATGTTGGCGGGCCTCGAACCACGCAGTCGAAGACATGGAGATTTGTCGTACTGACAAGCATTACAGGAAGTTGCCCGCTATCTCGACGAAATCGTCCCTCCCGTGCTTGCCTGTTTCTCTGACCAGGATGCTCGCGTTCGATACTACGCGTGCGAGAGCATGTACAACATTGCAAAAGTGGCCAAGGGCGAGATTTTGATATATTTCAATGAGGTCTTCGACGCTTTAAGTAAGGTAAGCGCCGGGCAGAGATATGATGTTGCGTAATGCAGTACAAAGGACGCGTGCTAACTGTTGTCGTTAACTAGCTTGCAGCCGACTCGGAACTGTCCGTCAAGAACGGAGCAGAGCTTCTAGATCGTTTGATCAAAGACATTGTGTCCGAATCCGCGGCGACTTACGTGTCTGTCCTGCACACGCACGATGGGAAGGAGACAGAAGCCACCAAAGAAGGTGCCGCATATGCCGAACCCCCGACCGCCTTCTCTCTAGGTCGCTTTATTCCCCTGCTTAAAGAGCGCATCACTGTCATGAATCCCTATACGCGCATGTTTCTCGTATCTTGGATCACTCTGCTAGATTCGATACCCGACCTAGAGCTCGTCACCTACCTGCCCGATTTCCTTGGTGGTTTATTTCGATTTTTAAGCGATAGCAATCAAGACGTGCATACTGCAACGCAAGTAGCTCTCGACCGGTTCCTCTCTGAGATCAAGAAGATCGCAAGACTGAAACGGGGTCTCGCTGAGAGCAGAAGAAGCCAGGTGGGCGAGGGCGTCAAGCGTACAGAGTCCACTAGCCGGAGCGATATTAGTCGAAGAAGCTCCAGGAGCGTCGAGAGTGGTGGTTTGAGCGGTGAAGCGAAGAAACGAGATAGCCTCGACGTGGATGGAAGTGGGGATGAGGACGCTGTTTCCAGCACTGCCGGAGACGACACGACCTCAGCCGATATCGAGGAAGACTGGATCCCTGGCCAGGACGTCTTCGTCGATCACTCGAGGATATTAGATATTCTCGTCATGTTCCTCGGTGGTTCATCTGGTAAAAAATTCACTCCGTTCTAAATCGTGAAACTGCTTGGCTAACAACGTACAGAACAAGAGATAAAAATCACAGCGCTTAAATGGATCGACCACTTCTTCGAGATCGCTCCGGAGGAGATCCTTTCTTTCATCCCTAGATTGCTCTCACAAATGTTACCGGCCCTTTCCAATGACGAAGAGCAGGTGCGAGCTGCGGCGATCAGAGTAAACAATTCTCTTATGGAATACATACTCTCGCTACCAGATGAAGATTCTAAGCCAGAGAGCACATCAACAGTACAGCAACAACCACCCCGAGATGCCGTATCTAGTGAAAGGCGGGAATCTGCTACCCCTTCACATATCCCACGACCATCTATTGATGGTTCGGCACTTTCAAGGTCACCAACAGGCGGTGGCATCCCTGCCACTCAGGAGCCACGCGCGGTCACTCCCCGAGAGGCCTGGACATTGGACTATGAACTGACCATCAACGCCCTGACCCTGCAGTTTCTAAACGAGAACGAAGCTACTCGTGTTGCCGCTCTCAACTGGTTAATCATGCTGCACCGCAAATCCCCACCAGCACGCAAGCTCGACATTAACGAAGGAACCTTCCCTGCTCTGCTAAAAACCCTCTCGGACGCCTCGGATGCCGTCGTCAGGCAGGACCTAATCCTCTTGTGTCAGATGTTTCGCAACACCGACGAGGCTAAGTTCAGTTCCTTCATGGTCCACCTTATTAAGCTCTTCGCCACGGATCGCCGCCTCCTCGAGACAAGAGGTAACCTGATCATCCGCCAGCTGTGCCTGAGCCTCAGTGCCGAGCGCATCTACCGCACGCTGGCCGATTGCCTGGAGCGTGATGAGGATGTCGAGTTCGCCAGCATTATGGTGCAGAACCTGAATAACAATCTAATTACCGCCCCGGAACTGGCTGATCTGAGGAAACGTTTACGGAACCTCGACAACAAGGTAAGTATAGGGCATGATTGTCGCTGAAGGTAACTCACAAGACATCAGGACGGGCAAATGTTCTTCGTGACACTGTTTAGGTCGTGGTGTCACAATGCCGTAGCCACGTTTTCACTCTGTCTCTTAGCACAAGCATATGAGCAGGCATACAACCTGCTCCAGATCTTGTTCGTCTTACTACAAGAGTATGATTACGATGGTCTGTTGACAAGAGAATAGTGCCGATCTTGAGATGACGGTAAACATGTTGATTCAGATCGACAAGCTTGTACAATTGCTTGAATCCCCCGTTTTCACATGTGAGGACTCCCCCTCCACTCACTGCTCATTGCTTATAATCTCGCAGACCTCCGATTACAGTTGCTCGAGCCCGAGCGTTACCCTTATCTTTACAAATGCCTTTACGGTTTGCTCATGCTGCTCCCTCAATCTTCTGCCTTTGCAGCTCTCAAGAATCGCCTGAATTCTGTCTCAGCTATCGGTTACCTCCAAATAGCCAATTTCTCCGGCGCCACGGGAGCCGGGCCATCACGAGCGTACGTGTATCCTTATGTAGTACTTTTGCAGTTGGCGACAAGAGACTTCACGACAACTGCTTTCGTCGACACCATTTCTGTTAGCGCACATTGCCTCTAGTTTCATTTCCGTCTCCTACCTCAAACCGCAGTGGCGATTGTAGCACAATGGCTCACATCATCACCATTATAGGCCAACCGGATCTGCATCAACAAGCAGCGTAGTTAGCAATTTCGAACGGTCGACTCGTCTCAAAGCGCGTGAAGACAGCAGTGTACGCTGGGGTGAGCTGCTTGACAAATTCAAGGCAGCGCAGGAACGTGCTCGCAAGCAGAACAAAGTGGCTCTCGTAGGTGAAGATATAGGGAGCCCGCCCCCCGTGCCTGATAAAGACCAAGGTATTTCGGTGACGGACCAGGCCCGCGTCGTGCCCTCTAGGGTCGTGCCCAGGTCCGGAACACCAACGAATGCGACACCTGCTGCACAGGTATCAGTTGCATCAAAGGGGCCGACAAAGAGCAAAGTGGGGCTTGGACTGGGGAGGTTTGGGGGCGGTAATAAGAAGGATAGGAAGAAATAGCCGTCATGAAGACCTCAACTCGTTGTTTGTCAAGCCACAAGTAGGGCCTCTCTTGGTGAATCCGAAGCGAAAGAAAGTCCTCGGGATGATCATTGTCCTAATTCACGCTAGTGAGGATTCAGTGACGTCCCAAAACGCACTGGAAGGCCACCGTCATCACAGAGGAAAGACTGTTACGTGATTTCCCTCTGCTGCACGCAGTTGAAAGTCTTGAATTGTCTGGGAAGACATACCGTTAAGAGCACAGCGGATCGTTTGGTAGAACTGAGAACGAGTTCGCTGTCAGACATTGCCAAAGTTGTTTCCGTCATGGCATGATTAGACCAAAATATGCTACATGGTTTATCATGCTCTTGGAAGTTAAACCAAATTTTAGTAGTAGCCGCATCGACTGGAACGAACATTGAATCACACTGAGGGTTGCTGGCAGAACATGCAAAGTGATGAGACGATAAGGCTGTAGCTACAGAGCACAGGAGTGAACACTGCGAGAGCTGAAAAGTGGGCATGGAAAATGGCTTGCACGCTGGAGCAGGTGCATACAAACATGAGAACGATTGTTCTTTTCTAAATAGGTAGTTTGACAGGTTTGACGGAAGTCCATTGTCTTTGGCAAACATGGAACCGCATCTCACTGTTCGTTGGACATGCTCTCTTTCTGTCCTCTGCCTCGAAAGACAGCGTTGGAACGAAAATGGGCACAGGAGCTCGAAGCTGCGTAGTGCTTAGATTGTATCCTACTTCGAGATCCACGAGTATCTCAAGTTCGTTGAGCTGAAAGTGACCCGGACCTCGGGCGATCCTTACCCGTCATCCATGCCACCAATGGAAAGAGGTCAATGAAGCATGCGCGGCATGGATGTATCTCGGGACATTTCCCCAACCTAAAGGCCAAAGATCATCAGACCAAAGAAACAAAAAAGACTCCGTGGCGTTTCTGCAAACAGTCACGCTGTAATTCGCATCGATCCTTGACGAAGTGCGGAGCCCGAGCTTGGAAGAGTTCCGAAACCTTTTGGTGGAGCAAAGACAAGGTCGTATTGGTAAGCAGAAGAGTGATTGGCTGCAAGCGTGAATGAATGACGGAATGAGCAGCCTTTCCCATGTTCGAAAGCAACGGTCGACATATTTGTCCCCCGTCCAGCACGCAATTCTAACCGTGGACTCTCCCCGCGCTCCGCATAGATCTTGGGACGGCGGTTCATCCATCTCACTAGCTTCGTGATCCTTCTCCCACCGCAGGAGTTCCTCTTTGTTTTGCGCTCCAACTTTGGCTTCCTTTGCAGCTTGAGGTGAAAGAATGGCTTCAGCCACGGGCATACCCGACCAGAGCCTCGCAAATGAACAGGAACCGCTCCTGGGGAGACCGGGTGACGTCTCGCAGGGCACCCAGCCGATTTACAACAATCTGATCATCGGTAGGGCGCTCTCGCGACGTGTCTGAACAGGCGCATCTTTGACCACTTGGCTAACGCGAAAGGAATAACAATTCAGGCACCGGCGTCGTCGCGCAGGCGGGCATCTGGATTCTAGTCGCCATCGTCTGGGCCGCTATCTTTTCCCACGAATTAATACTGTTCTCCGCGCATCCGGTACGCTGAATGTTTCCTTCTTTTCTCTCCTTCGAGCTTCGGAGGCGTCCCAATGGACAAACGTGACCCGGATCGTAGACTTCAGCTTCAAGCATGTCCTCGCTGACTTCTTGTGCCTGCAGCTTTTGAACTCGGCCGGGCTACTGTTGATTGCCCAGGGCGCCCTCATTCTCCAACCGACGCATACTCCGGAGCAAAAGAAGACAGGAACGTACATACACGCGGCTCTCAACGACGTCGGTCTGGCTGCGCTACTCTCCGGACTCGTCATCATCGAAGTCAACAAGGTCAAGAACGGGCTCCCCCACTTCGAATCTCCACATGCGATCCTCGGCTTCGTCACGTACATACTTCTCATTGTGCAGGCTCTGGTAGGATTTACCCAGTACTTCGTGCCACAGTTGTACGGCGGCGTCGACAACGCCAAGAAAGTCTGGAAGTATCACAGGGCAAGCGGCTACGTTGTATTCACTCTTGGACTGGCTACAGTATCGGCCGCTACTCAGACGTTCTATAACCAGAAAGTGCTGGACATCAAGCTGTGGGCCGTTTTAGTGGCATCGATCATCACGTTGGCAGGTATCATACCAAGGATCAAGAAGCAGAAGCTTGGGTTTTCTTGATTTCAACGGCATTCTTACCACTCAAAGAGATTCGAAGAAATGTACAAAAGGTAGAACTATATGTATGTATATAACGTTGGAGTCTTATTTCGGCGACGCCCCGTTGTGGTGCTTATGGAGAAAATACATCTCTTCTTTTGATGAGGCCAGAATTCAAGCTTTTTCACTTGTAAGCCTTTCAAATTCACATGTATTCAAATGAAAATTAAGTGCTTATATTGTAAATCGATAATGCAAGCACAACTGATGACCATTGGGTTCTTATTCAGGCATGAAAGACCTAACTTATACGACGCTTCTGATCAGCTCGACCGTAGTTGGCTTTGTGAACATTCACCGATTCATCTGTCGATGAAGAAGCATCGTCTATTCTCGGGAAATGATGCATGCTAATCGTAGCTTCATGCCATTTTGGTTTGAACATGAAGAGAAGATGTCGATCTTAGCGATGACATAGCTGCGAATTCATGGCCATGTACTTATAACACATGTAGGGAGCGTCCGAGTGAGCTGCTTCTTTCAAGTGCATTGCGGAAACCGTTGCTAACCGGCCTGTGTGCAACATGTAAATCCAAACCAAGGAATAAAGCTGTAGGGTGCTGCGCTTTAGCTCTTATCTAGTCTTTCGTCAAACGGCAACCTTCTTCGAGCTGCCTAGGTTTGACGTGCACAGTGCTTCTACGAAGCGATTCTGTCGCAACGAGAGAGGGAGTTGTCTTCTTGAGTCTGAAGAGATCATTCTGAGGACTTCATACTACATGAATGACTTGAAGAACGAATTTGTATGCAACACATGAGTCCAAGAATAAAACTGTGCCAACCGTCCCAGACACTCTCTGCTCTAACTATGGTACCGTTAGCAAGTGCAGCCTTGAGCAACCGAACTTTCACCCTTCTGCTGAGGTTTCAAAGTCATCGAATTCATCTTGCTGTGGAATAATCTTGTGGGTCGGCCGCGAGGGTATAGTCATCGTGGGCTTGTGTTGGGCTGAGTGGACAGTTGAAAATTGTGAACTTTCTAATCCTACATCATTTGCCCGAACCTAATTTTACTCCCTAAAGTATCAGATTTATCGCTTCATGCGCTTTGCGCTAGCAGCCCAGATTAAGTCTCACCACTCCATCAGCCTTTACTTATTGTGGTTTTCATTTGTTCGAATCCGGTCTTGTTACCTTGACAGGCCGTAGTCAGAAGCATTGTCATGATAGGGTTCGATGGGACAAGAGATGGCCCCTTAAAGGATCTGTAGAGAGAGAAATGCTGAGCGTGGTTATTTTTGTCCACGCGACGCTCAGATGCATATGGAACAGTAGTCTCAGCTGCTGTGGTCATAACTCTAGACTGCGCCGTGCAAAAACCATCTGGAGAAAGTTGCTTCGTTGACCTGAATTGCATCGGCACTAAAAAGGGCAGGTTTAATACCACTGGCAAGCACATTAAAGACTGTAGGATTCGGGACCATCGATTTGTTTACTGGCATCCACGTGCGGCTGATCTCTTCGTCTCAATAAGTTAGCAGCAAATCAAGGGACTTTGACATTCCCACCATTAGGATGTGTTCCCAATTATTTCACAATGAGGCTCAAGGGTGCAACCGTTAGCGAAGTATACTTGCCTTTTCGATCCTTCGAAAGGCCTCGAGGCCATCTATGGCTCGGCCGTCTTTCAGAGTCGTGCGCAATACCCAGCACATGTTTCTTATGGCAATTTCTACCCGGGTCTGCGCCGCTCATCCTGCGCGCTTGAAATGCGTCGACAAGCATTGGCAAATTTCTCATGAGGAAAAGTTTGCAGAAAAGTGCTTGTAACTACTGTCTACGATCATTACTTCCTCAATGAGCTTAATAAAGGTAGGGGGAGCTGTCTAGCATTCACGGACACGTTCGAGATCCTTAAGGTCAAGGTGTCTTGCACAAGGTCGTGCAAGACACGCATTAGAGGCAGCGACTGGCAATCCTTCGTTCCAACGCAGGATGTGTGTGGATCCACTGCAACGGCCAGTTTAGAGTCATGGCATGCTCGGACAGATCGTCCTCGGATAAGAGTTGGTCCACGCACGGGGTATGCTGCATTCACTTGATTCAGTCGTGAAAGTCTATTGAGATGACGCGAAGGGCCTCGATTTACCTGAAATGATTGGAGGCTTTGTTGGAAAGTTTGTCCATGAAGACAACGTTCGTGGAACTGGCTCGTACAGGCCAACTTAAGTCCCAAGTCACTCTGCGAAGTGAGAGAGCATCGGACAAGTCATGTTAAGATGCCCTGACAGAGCGAGCGCGCAGCCCTAATCGGCACCTGGCTGGTTTGACGTGGAGTCGACGTGCAGTACACGGTTTGAGGACAGGTTTGCCGACTCTCAGAGAGTGTGCGAGCAGCTGAGGCCACAGAGCACGGTTGGCGCCACAGCTCCATTGCGTCGTAACGGCCGAGCGTGTAATTTGAAGCAGAACGGCTCAGGCCGACCGTCGCATCTACCTCCAACTATGGCCCCCTTAAGTCGTCCTTGTGTCCACGCTGCTTAAACTTTGTTCGTCTGCACAGTGAATTGTAATTGCTCCTCTGTTGTTACTCGAGGTGAGCACCGCTTGGCCCGCCGCTTCAATTATTGCCAGCGTCGCGTGGCCCAGCAGTTTTCCACAACACGAAACGCGCCTGCGATCAGCCTCAAATCTCCACCCCAGGCGTCGGAAGGCGACAAACGCATTCTCGTAACCCGCCAGTTCAGGACCATGAACGATGCAGCGCAGTCAGAACATTGTGCGCATGCTTCGCCCAATGGCTCAATAACTCAGGATCCGGTTCCTCAGACGCCCACCGCGCACTCTCTCACCGATTCCTCAACGTCTTTGTCCAAAAAGCATGACTCTCGGCCGCATTCACGCAGCGGCCCGTCAGCGTCGCCCTTGTCATGGTTGAACAACTTGAGGAGGCCGAAGACTGCGCCCGGTCAAGGCCAAAGGCCGCCGCCACCATTCTTTGCGCGATCGCAACTCAATGATGACCCCAGGCGCGACAGCGCACTCCAGCCTGCAAGCGTTGCCTCGACGATGATCGCTCCTTCCACAGTACTAGACGGCGACTCGGGCCTTTCGCGGGTATCAAGTTTGCCAGCGATTGTAGTGCAAGATTCAAACTCGGAGGATGTAGAAAAGCTTCATACCCGCAAGACCGAGGCCAGGGACAGAACCTTGACGGAGAAGCCGCCGACGGTCATTGGTGCACAACAAGATTCCGCTTCGTTCAGCGGCATTACCATGGCGATTCCCACAGGCGGATTGGAAGATCTGTCATCGCCGGAGAAGATTCAGTTCTCAAAACGCGGGAGCATGCTGCTTGACGGCAAGAAAGCTACACAACTATCCAATGGTACTGCAACATCCGCGGCAGCATCTCTGCGATCGCCGTCGCTGCGGACAGACAATGGGTCGCGGACGAGTTTGACAGCACGGCAGTCGAGGGTGCTTTCAGCCGATGAGAGTGAGCTGTCACAACGAGTGCGTTCTATGTACGAGTTTGGCAACGAGCGTGGTGTGGACTGGTCAGAGCGAACAGTTCTGGACGATATGGTAATGGAAGAGGATGAAGCTGAGGTAGGGGAGCCAGGCATATCCGCGTCTCAAACTTCTACGTTACGAGCACCGAAAGAGCCAGGTGACCGTACAAAAAAACGGGCGAGTATCATACCGTGGGAGCCATACGAAGCAGCGGGAGGTTTGGAAGACTGGCAGGATGTAGCGGCAGATGAGGTCGATCGCTACGGCTTCATCATTCCTAAAAAATCGGAGTCTCGAGGTTCAAATGCTTCAGGAAATTCACCGCAACTGATGCGCGTATCCACTGTGCTGGTAGAGTTGTCAGAATCGCCGAGACGGAAGCGTACGGTACGGCGTTCTGCATCGCGAGCATCGCAGAAGGTGGAAAACGGAGGCGGCAAACTTAAAAGGCAGTCGTCGAAGTCTTCGAGGAACAGTTTACGACCGCCTGCATCGGTATATTCAACACGAAGCAACACCTCGCTGAGCATCCAGCAGAATCCGCTACGGTATGCGTCAAATCGCCTTCCACATAATAGAGAGCGAAGATGGATGGATGAAGCGAGCGACATGCTCACTCTTCCGCCTGGATTGGAAGAGCTCGCTGTCGCTAAGGAGGGTGGCAAAGCCTCCGCTGCAATGAAGAAGAAAGAACTGCAGCGGGAAGAGAAGTGGCGAAAAATGGGCAGGCTTTCTACAAAGAGTGGCATGAAGGGCGAAGGAATGCAATTTAACTTTGACCCTAAAGATCCGAAGGTCATCTCGAGGACCTGGAAAGGTATTCCAGATAAGTGGAGGGCTTCAGCTTGGTACTCTTTTCTCGCTGCCAGTGCGAAGAATCATAAAGATTCTCACAGTGACGAAGAGCTCACCGAGATATTCCATGCCTTACAAGACGACGGCTCTCCAGACGACGTACAGATCGACTGCGACGTTCCACGAACTGTAAATCGCCATATCATGTTTCGCAGACGGTATCGCGGAGGCCAACGACTCCTTTTCAGAGTGTTACATGCAATGTCGCTTTATTTTCCCGACAATGGCTATGTTCAAGGCATGGCTGCCATTGCCGCGACTCTTTTATGTTATTACGATGAGGAACACGCTTTCATTATGATGGTACGTTTGTGGCAACTTCGAGGATTGAATCGATTGTACATGGCAGGCTTTGAAGGTTTGATGGAGGCGCTTGAGGACTTCGAGAAGAACTGGTTGCGCGGTAACGACGTGGCGAAGAAGCTTGTAAGTGGTCCTTCTCTTTGCGAGTCAGTGGGAGTGTGGCTGGTAATGAGTCTAACGTAACGACAACAGGAAGAGTTGGGCATCACCTCCACTGCCTACGGTACACGATGGTACCTCACAATGTTCAATTATTCGATTCCTTTCCCCGCTCAGTTGCGCGTATGGGACGCATTTATGCTGCTCGGTGACGTTACAAATTCGACGAACCCAGACAATGTCTTTGGGGCTGATTTGGACGTCTTGCACGCGACGTCCGCAGCGTTGATCGACGCGACGAGAGAGATACTTCTTGATTCTGATTTCGAGAATGCGATGAAGGTTCTGACGAGCTGGATTCCAGTTAAGGATGAGGATCTTCTAATGAAAGTCGCGTTCGCTGAATGGAAACAAAGAAAGAAACGAGCGTAAGCTTGTCTTACACACAGTCACTCATGGGTACTTTTTGTTCAAGGTATTGGATTGCCTTCTCTCATAGAAATTGGTTTCCGCACAAATCGCGTAGAGAAAGCGAGCTTTTACGTACAAATGCATGATAGCGCTGCATTGTATGACCAGTAGCTTGCTGGAATGAGTTGCGAGAGAATACTACATAGGCCTAGGGCCGAGTCGATCGACTCAATATACCTCCTCGTATATACTCCGCTGGTATTATTGTTTAATCTGTAATCATAATAGAGGCTTCGGATTTAAGCGAGCCTGCATGCACTTGCGTTTCAGCTTCGAAGCCAATTGCCTGATACACTCCAGATAATCAGTGTCTGTTCCATGGGCCAAGACGTGCGCTTGTGCTTGAATTTCTCCATTTGTTTGTACATGGTTACTGTTTTACAGGCCATTGATTTTTTAGACTCAGGACACTGCGCCAGGACCGTGCTATCGGTTGCGCGATTTCCGCTAGGAGCGTATCGGGATTCCTCTCCAAATTAAGAGTCACCAGTCTTTATACACAAAGTCCATGAGATGCATGTTTTGCTTGTAATAATTGGGGAGCTTTGTCGTAACTCCGTTGGAGCATCCGGAATTAGTTCATTGCTCCAAGGATGTAAGATGGGTACTGCTCTTCGAATAGGAAATCTTCTGTTGATGTGGGTACATTTGCCAGGACTTCACGCTCGTTTCATTCTCGAAGGCCCTTGGTTTGGCAATTACACAATACGTCGAACCATGTCGCCGGTGATGAGCAAGCACAAGGTCAATGAGATCACCAAGTTGTACGGGCTTTATTGTTTCGATCGTGAACATATATGACAGCGACATATAAGTCTCAAACTGAGCTTGGAACCTTTCCCGTTGCCTAGTGTTCCACGTAAGCTCGCAAGGGATCACGGCCATGGATAGGATATGAGGAGCCTCTTTTGGGAATACTGGAGTGTTTCACAGAACTTATTGAAGCAGCTGCATAAGGCACATCATTCGTTTTAGGCGGCCAACCGCTCATTATCATCGCTGGCATTCTACTAGAGCAAAGGTTCGTAATAACTAGGTTCCTTGCTCTTTTTGGGCTTGATGCTTCCCCTCACAGAACAGTTCGATGGCCCGAGGTCAAGGTCCCAGCATTTGGAAACACTAAGAATCCACTGTGTTACTAATCTCATTTCGGATGCATGTGGCATTTTGAGCTACTCTCAGCTGCCGCAAGGAGATGAATGAGGCTGTTCGTATTGAGCTGGAGCAACACACCATCTCTCGGTAAAATCCTGCGGGGTGATAAGATGGCAATTTTCAGTTGCCCTTGCAGTATTTCTTCTTTCTGACTCACACGATTACGATGATGCGGCATGCTTGCGCAGGTTTTACTCCACGGCCTCTGCGCCGGCTCTCCGATCATTGATTTGCCTCCATGGTTTAGGGAAGGACCAGAAAACTCTGCTGGGACTCCACGCAATGAAATACAGCGTGATGACGACTTGGGCTGAAAAAGTTGGAAGAGTTACATCACAAGGGGGAAACGTTGATGCACTGTGATTTCGCTTGGAAATTATCTTTCGGAAGACTGGGCATGAAAGTGAAGCCGTGTGTTGATTCATCAGCCTCTTGCTCCATCGCGTCCCGCATGAAGCTGTGGACAAGTATTCAATGACATTCACTGAGCAAAGGTGTGCGAAAGCGTCATCGACGGTAGCTTGAGAAAAAGAGGCTTGCGCCTGGCCACCTCGTCAAAAGCTGCCGCTATCTGCTTGAGATTGTGGACATTTCCGAAGATCACAGATGGGCCGATGGCTCATCGCCACCGTTTCAGCCGTCATATCCATGTTTGTAGGCGGCGCTGGGCGACACTTGAGCCCCCTTCAACCGAAGTTGATCCCAGGGTGGCGGGCGTTCAGTGCGCATTCCGATGAGATGGACCAGTCCTGTTTTTCCGCGTTGGTCAATTGCCATATTCAGCTCACACGGAGCAGAAGAACGTGCTGTAATCCTTGTTGCACGCGGATTTGTGATCGACGACGGCCAAGATGGGGAATGATCTGCCATTCGCACGTTTTCTTTGCCCATCGGCGTGGTGAGCAGACGACGCCATGCGATGTGACGATCTGATCGTCCTGACCTTCACAGAGGAACAATCGAACGCACATTCCAGAGCACAATTCGAACATGGGACCTTTTCTCGCTCCTTCGCAAGACCCCGGCAAGGCTACACGGTGTGAGGCTGCAAGAAAAACATGGATGCAAGATCGATAGAGATGAACCGCAGCGACGAATCGTCGCTTATTGGTCACCTGAAGTATTGTGACAGCCGTGCTCAAGGGTCAAATAGATGCTCCCCCGTCAGATGCTTGTGACAAGAGGCGGAGATTATCGAAGGGAAAGTAGAGAGACAGTGCGGCAGAGATAACTCCACAGACGTGTCTTTTCGAATGAGCAAGCCCGCAATTGCCCTATGGAATTACTCCGTCCCCATAAAAAGTTTGCCTGTTTGGGTCGTAAGCGACAGTCTTCAGACATTGGCTGGCCTCCTTCATTTCCCTCCCGACATTGTACTCTGCCGCGTCTGGCACGAGGGCCCCCGCCAACATAATGGAGCCACGCTCGCCTGACCAACATCCCGTGCAAAAGCCGTGCTGAAGAAGCGGCTCGTCTGGGTTTGTAGGAAAACGCACTTGTAGGATGCCATAACGGTGATGTGGCTGGTGATTCCAGGGCCCCAGCGTCATCCTGGAAGTCGCATCGCCCGTTGTCGAACGCTCGGACGCAGTCAATTCCGACTACTGCTGCTTTGCATGACCTCCAACCATACAATCCAAGGCGACATGGGCGGAACAAGGCATGCATAGGGAAGGTGGGTAATTTTTGAGCCAGCATGCAGCCCCGTTGTCTTCCCGTGGCCAAAGCTGCACATGGGGAAACCGCTGTCTGGGCTGTCGTTGGCGGCCGGATGGCAGACGTCGACGACGATTTGGGACAAAGCTGCTACTGCTCTTGTATCGAGTGCCATCTCCGTTGACCAGTTTCATCCAAAGTATGTGCACTCCCACCCTTAAAACCCGACAGATGGTCACGAATGGCCCGTATCGAGTAACGATGTTCGAGACAGCATAAGCATAGGCGCATGACGGGCTCTTCCAGGGCTGGCCACGCGATTGGCGAGCTAAAAGACTGGGAGCACTCGAAATCAAGGGCTCGAGTTCGCTCTATACTCAGTCCAGCGTTTTGCTCCTATGACAGGACAGCCATTGAGCACAAGAGCCGACTAAAGGCACCGTTTCCGTCGTGTTGCGGAAGACGTTGGCGCTCGCCTTGCCTTTCGAGGTTAAGACGCTTGACTGACGGCGATTTACAGTGCAAAGCCTGCATAAAAAGTAAAGCTCTACGAAAAGGCTGATCAAAAGTTGGACGGCGTAAGCGCGAGGCCCTTGGACGGACGTATTTTTTCTCAATGTGGCCCAGCTGCATGAATTTCCTACGCAACGCCACAGCCAGGCCATATCTAGCCAGTTTGCCTTTAGCCTTCTGGGTCTGAAGCTTTGGAGTAGCTAAATTGCTCGGTTCACTGTGACTGATGCTTTCGATCCTTGGAGTGCGCCTCAAACTTGTCTGCCAGCCGCTCCATAATTCAATTTCTTCATAATCCCAAGGCCTGCCGATCTTTGCCCCGATTCTTGACCGATACGTATACATTGTTGTCCACTCTGTGGCTCAACTAAGATTTGCGGAGCGTACGACGAGACCAAACAGCCTGCCTGCATCGGCGCTTGGCTAGCACGATACAGGACTTTTTAATCCTGTGCGCTTCTCCCACAGATCCTTACCGAATTGCGAATCGATCGACCGTGACCTGTTCACAACCCATACTATTCGCTTCTAATTACGCAAGTTGCCCACCACCTCGTGGCCTGAGCCGTCCCAAGATCTTCTTTGACCACGCGAGACTACGCCCAGCAAGATCATCAATGCAGCTCCAATCCGCCCGCTAGATTCAGTAGCACTTCCCAGGACCAGCACAGCCATCTGTGCTTCGACTGGAGCAAAAGCCACGCTTCCGCAGTTCCTGACAAAGCTAGCCCAAACACTTCAACTGGGCCTTGACTTTTCTTACCAGTTGACCCGCTTCATTTGAAGATCAACGCCGCCCTCAACCTTAAAGTGGCACGTCAGTTCATGTAATCCTTCCCCCTTCCCTTAAATCTTCACCATCATCGTCTGCTTTTTTTTCTTTTCTGGCCGCGCCTTTCCTCAATTCATGCTCTGTATCCGAGGATTGATTGTGGTATAATGAGAATTTGGCATCTCGATGGGTGCTTCAGATCCAATGTTGCTCACTCTCCCACGTCCAGTTAACACAGATCTCGGTTTCAAGCACGCCCATGATTTCATACCGCCACCACCCATCTCAACTAGAAGACCGTCCGTTAAGGCAGATCAAGACGCCTTATCATCGTTGCAGACGGCTGTCTCAGAGAAGATGGGAACGCCACATCGTGGTCTTCCACCACCGTCCGCTATGACGCTGGGGCCGGAGCCAGTGCGATCCATTCCCCCACCACTTTCAACTTCCTTCGCTGGTATGCCAGAGCCTCCCAGGCAATGGCAGGGAGCTGAGGAGTCCATGAATCGGTGGCTGCTAACGAAGGCGGAGGAGGAGAAGCGAAAGCAGGAAGAAGAAAGAACTCGACAGGAGTCTCTAAGACTCGAACAACGGAGGATCGAGCAAGGAATCCTGTTGGAGGCCATACGAAGCGGTATTCCGCCGCATTTGGTGCCCATTATCTTTGCCGGAATCGGGAGCCACAGTGTCGCAAACCTGAGTGTCGAATGGCTTCAGCAGTACAACAACTCGCTCCACGCTGCGCAGCAGCAGCAGCAGATCTCTAGCCAAAGCCAGGCGACCGGATCTCCAGACAATCGACGTGAACGACTGCTAGCTGGACCGCAGCCGTATCCACCATCAGCGCCAATACCAGGCGCCGCTTCCTCCCAGCAACCACCGGCGGGTCCGTCGAGTGCGCCGTACGGTTATGGCTCGAATCCCCTGTCACCCTCAGTGAGATCGCAGCCGCCCCCATCAGGGCCATCGTCGTCCAGTACTCGAGGTCCATTACAGCAAGTACTTCCTCGGGTGGCACCTGAAGAACAGCGTTCTTCTTCAGCCCACCAAGTGCTGAGTGGAGCGGTACAGCCCGTGCAGATGCAAATGGGACAGCCAGAACAGAGCGCGTCATCACCGGGAGGTGGTATATTCTTTCACCATTGGCAACCACCGTCATCTCAGTCCGCTGGCGGGAATCAGCCCCCAACTCCATCAGGTAAACGCCGTACTAAAGCTCGATCTTTGGAGACTTGCAGCTTATGGCATCATTTAGAAAACACAAATTCTCCAAAACGACGAAAGGCACAGGTTCTACAGCCAACAAGCATGCCCCCAACGTCTGAACCACGCTATAGTGCGTCCTCTTTCGTCCACGTAACGTCGCCTGTAGGCTCAACGTCTAGCGGGCGTAAGCGACGACTTAGCGACACGTCCACGACCAATCGACCCGGCCAAGTAACTAGCAGGAAGAACAGGAGTCGAGGGAATACGGAAAGCAGTGCGGCCATGCCCGAGGAGGATCGGCTAGTTTATCGTCAGTATCCTGTTGGTGGCCAGAATGAGGATTGTAGTGACACTGGCAGCCATAGTAGCAACTACCAGCACCAGACCTCGAAGCGATCACGAAGATCATACGACCACGACAATGTATCCGGACCCAACTCGCCCGAAAGAGAGCAGCTAGCAAGGGTTCTTACGAACAAAAACAGCTTTGCGACCGCTAACTAATGGCGAGTAGTTGGAAAATGTCAATTCAGAGACTTTTCCAAAAGCGGAGACGTGGTGATGCGACGCTACGCCTCATTTCAGCGATCACTTGAAAAGCCCTCGAAGATCTTTAGAATCGGGCATACATCTGCATGAAAGAGCAAGGAGCCCACGAGAAAAAGGTCGATGACAGAGAGTCAGCTGAAAAAATTGTTTGCTTCGACAATGCCGTCAATGTTGGTCAGTCGCAAGGTTTGGTCTCGCGGACGTGCTTCTTTCAAGCATGACTTTGCCTAACATGGCCAAACTTTACTATTTCAGCGTACGATCGACGCTTTAAAATTACATTGGGCGGGAACGGAAGGCAGATCCTCTTAAACCAGCTCGTCCACGACCGAGGATCTCACGATATTGTCTTCCCATGGTCGGAGCGAGAGTCTATTAAACTAGTCTCTATACGAAATTCTGTGCTACCCTTCCTGAAGGCGTAGCAATATAGCACATTAGTGAAGGGAAACGAGACTTGGAGACAACGACCGGCAGCACAAGCCACAGCGCCTTGGAGTTTGTCACTCACGCGCGCCACAAGGCATTCTCGCATTCTCATAACCAGGGTAGTAAGCCTCAAATTCGGAGACAACTCATGTCAAAGTTATTGCTGGTGCGACTTCGAACTACAACTCAAGATTCTTCAACGATTTGAGTCTTGAACAATCAACTGGCAATAGAAACACGCAATTTGCGTTTTTGAGGAATAGGATTAGGTTGTGTGTGTATATGGTAGGAGTGGGCTTTTTGTCTTTTTATTCCTGCTCAGGGCGTTGGAGTGTAACACGCGATGTTGCATGATTTCCTAGCAGGAGTTGACAACTGCCAACCTCGACGAGCCCAGACGATGCACTTTGCAAACGTGACAGGCCGCTTCTCGCCCTATGGATCTCGCGATTTCAGCCGAGTCCGATCGATCGATATTAAATATCAAAGACCTAAAATGGGATGGGAAGAGTTGGGATCCTGCAGGATGGCATACGAGGAATGCGCTACTGCAAGTATTATGCGGACAAGCTTACCATTTGGGGCGCAGCTCCGCCCCGTCATCCTGCCTTGGAGGTGTGGAAGATGACTCTGCACATGAGACACTCATGCTTGAGAGTCGAAATGGTTTCCTACGGTTGGTCGCAAAGGATGATTTACGAAAGTGAGCGAAATGTCGTTTGTTTTTAATCCTCTATTTGGAACGGCTTTTTTTTATGATGACCATGTTGAGCGAGTCGCCTGTCGTTCACGGTTCCATTTAGATACTACCTTGGTCAGGACAATGAGAACTTGATGGGTATAGATCAGTTTTTTCTTGGATCATCAATCATACCAGGATGATGATTTCATTAGCATGCATTCAGGCACGAAGCAACATGACATTCTAGCTTAGAGCCTTCGTGACTTTTTCAAGTATACGCATTTGGACCCAGTAGAGACTATCTGCTAGATGCGAATAGAAAACCTCTTGGCAAGCGACAACATTCCGACTTATCATTGACTTTTGCGCCTTAAGAGAAAGCCTGTGGATTCATTAGCCTATTTAATATCGTACATTGGACATGTGTTATGCAAGCTGTTCAACAGCCTGCTTGGCGTCCAGATGAGGTGTGTGTGTGCGTGCAGTGTATCACGTCCAGCAAGTGGCAATGACGCAAAGCTCGAGCAGATCTCGCATATCTCGCATAAGCACTTCCAGCCCACTAAACCATGTCGCTTGGTCAATCACAGAAGAGTTCAGGTACGAGGATTTCCTGATCAATTGGCCTGGTTGCTGTTTTCTCGTTCTGGGAGGAGTTAGCTCGGGGGGGGGGGGGGGGGGGGGGGGGGGGGGGGGGGGTTGAGCGTGCGCTCAGTCCAATTGCTGGAATACGCTGTAGAACGCGCTGATGCGACGCAATTTCAAACTGTCTGTACTCCGTATTGCAAGGCGAAATCACGTTTCTGCATATCATGTCCACTGTGGTAGAACCTAATGCAACTCTCGACCCTACATTACCGCCACAGTGCTTTGCGGCACTTCAGCACGTATTCGCGTATTTCAGCATAATAATCCTACTAATGCAGATTCTCTTACGAGGGAATTTAACGGAATGCAATGAGATTTATCATTTGACCATGTTCCCTATGGCTGGCAGAGCACATTTCGTAGAAAGCCTGGACGACCGCTGGATTGTATCCTCTCAGTTGCAACCACGCCTCCTTTCCTTGTTCTGATCTAAATCTCGTCAAGGCGGTCAATTTGGTGATCTATGGCATTGCCTGCTTGACCAACGGAAAAAAATAGCAGGCACACAAAATAGGACAGCGTCGAGTGAATAACGTTCCTCACAACACAATCCGGCAAGATCGGACTTTGATGCTTAGAGGGAGGACAGCAGAACTAGCTAGCGGTTTACAAAGATGAAAGCCTTTTCTTGATTCTAGGATAAGATAGCTGAGGGGCTAGGGTGACAACCATGAAAAAAGCTCGAAAAGTAGCCTTGGGCTTATCCTGGCCATGAAGGGTAATGCCCCTGGAAGCATGTCTCAGGATTGGAGAGCATGTAGGTAAGAGTATTGACAGCGATCGTGTCGGTGCAATTATACAGTTTGGCAAACGTAAAGATCGGCCTTCTTGTGCATTGTTTGGAGAAAAAGGAAACACTATCAATATATCGTCCACTGTGGCCGGACTTGTGCGACAATGTAGTGTAAGACCTGGCGTGGGTAACCATGTAAAGGAATCAGAACTTTGTGAGTCTGGCCTGTGTTGTTCGCATCTTAAAAAAGCAGCGTACACACCGAAGCACACGCCTTTGCGGTTATCGATCGCGGCAGGAAAACTGGAAGAAAGACGGGCTGAAGACCAGCAGGTCAACGTGGTTGTGATGCAGGACATGATTCGCCAATGGACGACACGCTGAGCACTCGCTCTTCATGAGCGAAGTCAGGCGGGGGCAGGCCGCCAGCAAAGCTTGGGCACTATTCGTTCGCGGCCTCTGTCCCATCAAAGCTTAGCAACAGGAAAGCTTTGGGGCCTTTAACTACCGTCCATTGGGCTTCCTCTCGACATCTCATTGACTCTGCTCGTTCGTGATTCCGCAGCAAACAATGAGGTAAGGAGCTCGATGGCGAGCTGCAGCCTGAAAAGCCGCTCCAATGAAGAGCTTTTGCTAACCATGCCCCGCTCGCTTATGTTTACAGGTTCGGATACCAGCTCAAGACTTCGCTCATCCAGAACTGGTACTATCACTACATCGATTACGAGGGCCTCAAGGATGCCCTGAAAACCGACTATGTGACGCCTCCGACGAAGGACAATCCAAAGCCAAAAAGGAAGCCATGGAGCGAGGAAGACGAGCAACGCTTTGTCGATCTGCTCGAGGCTGAGCTCGACAAGGTGTTTACTTTTCAGAAGGTCAAGAGCCAGGAGATTGTCAAAAGAATCAAGGCCAGCGAGGTCGAGGTCAAAAATGTGGTGGCACAGGCAGACCAGCAGCAAGCTGGGAATGGTCGCCACGCAGACGCGTCCTTGGAGGAGGACTTCATGCTTCTTGAAGAAGATCTGAGCGATATCATTGCCGACGTGCATGACCTGGCTCGTTTTACTCAGCTTAATTATACCGGCTTCCAAAAGATCATCAAGAAACATGACGTATGTATTCCAGGCCTCCCTCTCTCATCCACCTCAACATTCTAGCTCAGTGAAGGAACATCACACTGACCTTCTCAGAAATTAACCTCGTGGCATCTCAAGCCCGTCTTCGCCGCCCGCCTCCGAGCCAAGCCTTTCTTCAAAGATAATTACGACGCCTTTATAGTCAAACTGTCGAAACTATACGATCTTGTGAGAACTCGAGGCAATCCAGTCCAGGGCGACTCCGCAGCAGGTGGTGCCCAGCAGAACTTCATTCGCCAGACGACCAAATACTGGGTGCATCCGGACAATATAACAGAGCTCAAGCTGATTATCTTGAAGGTAAAGTACACCATGACTCTAGAAGAGGCTTTAACCCGCTACAAAAGCTGACAAAAGCGACAGCATCTACCTGTTCTCGTGTTCAACCCCAGCAAAGAGTTTGAAGAAGCGGACTCAGCTATATCATCCATTTACTTCGACAACACAGACACGTGGGAGCTCTATGAAGGGCGTTTGAAAAAGACCGAAGGTGCTGAAGCTATCCGTCTACGATGGTATGGAGGCATGGACGTCGACACCATCTTTGTCGAAAGAAAGACGCATCGTGAAGATTGGACGGGAGAAAAATCCGTCAAGGCACGTTTTGCTCTGAAGGAGAAGCACGTAAACGATTTCTTGGCCGGCAGGTATACGGTCGACCAAGCATTCGAGAAGATGAAGAAAGACGGCAAAAAGAGCGAGAAGGAGATCGCGGACTTGATGCAATTGGCTCGTGAGCTGCAATACCGTGTTATCACTCGAAAGCTTGTTCCTGTCACCCGCTCGTTTTACCATCGTACAGCATTTCAGCTGCCAGGAGATGCGCGCGTCCGTATCTCTCTCGACACCGAGTTGACGATGATTCGCGAGGACAATCTAGATGGTCGACAGAGAGCGGGTAATAATTGGCGTAGAATGGATATAGGTATCGACTATCCATTTTCCCAGTTACCACCTGAGGATATTGAACGCTTCCCGTATGCTGTCCTGGAGGTCAAGCTGCAAACGCAAGCAGGTCAGCAGCCACCAGAGTGGATTCGCGAACTTACTGCTTCGCATCTGGTCGAAGCAGTACCAAAATTCAGCAAATTCATTCACGGAACGGCAAAGCTGAATCCAACACGTATTCACCTCCTTCCCTTCTGGATGCCACAGATGCACATTGACATTAGGAAGCCCGTTTCCCACCGATTTGGAATTGAAAGACCTGGACAAAGCAAGGATATCAGTACGACCGATTTGGATGATGAGTCTGACGACGATGAAGAAAACAATCTCCCGCCGGTCGATGGTAACATCAACATTGAAAGGCTACGCGCGGCACGAGATGCCATGGAAGCACACGAACGGGATCAGCGTAGGGAAGAACTTGAAGAAGCCGAGAGTGAGCAAATTGCAAACGGCACAGACGGCTCTGCGGCAGGTAATAGCCTTGATGTTGAAGAACGCATCGCAGCGCAGCCTATACCGAACCCAGACGAGGACTATCCGCTCTATGACTCGGACGATGAAGAAGAGGACCTGGAGGAAGCGCGTCGTGTGGGTGGCTACTATTACTACAGTGCTTGGGTGAGGAAACATATCAGTGATGTTGCAAAAGTGGTGTGGCGCGGCTTCATGACCGTTGTGCCTCATCCACGAGCAACCCAAATGCCTGACAACTCTGGTAGCATGGGTGTGCCAAAGAGTACAGGCGAGTTAAAACGGTTCAAGGCCCCACCTGGCAAACGGATCCACGTCCCTGTCCGCATCGAGCCCAAAGTCTCTCTAGCGACAGAACGTACCTTCCTGTCTTGGCTTGAGTTCAGCATTATCATCGGCAGTATCGCGGCGACTCTACTTAACTTTGGCGATGACATCAGCTTGTACTCGTCCATCGCATTTACGGTTGTGGCGTGTGTGTCTCTATTTTACAGCTTGACGTTGTACTTGTGGCGTGTCCAGAAAACCAGGTTGAGACGTGCCGTCTCTTACCATGACAAATGGGGACCGACGGCATTGTGCCTCGTCTTACTCGCTGCCGTCCTTATCAACGTCGGTTTGAGGCTAGGGGGTCACGGTCGTGGCGTCGGTTTAAAGGGCTGAGACGTGGAGCCGCCTGTGGAGAGTGACAGGACGTTAGGATTCTTTTTGCGGGACGAATACTGTGTATAGATTGTCACATTTATGAGGGCTTCGCAAAGCATTCGCGTGAGCATAATGATATGTGGGATAGATGTATATAAATTGCTGCAGTCTCAGACGATGCTATACTAATGCAAATGCTCGTCCGTACCAAAAGATTAAATCTGTCGCTTTTTTTTTTATTCTGTACAAGCACAAGAGTGGAATTTTCACGCTCCTCTTCCCTAACACACTCACTCATTTCACTTTTCTTCCATCTTGTGAGTCTTACCACCGGGACATTATGACTTGCTGCGCGCCGCCTTCTCGCTCGCTGTCTCGCTGATGTTCAAACCCAAGCCCTCGGAATCAAGATACATCTTGTTGTTGCTCCTCTCCAATATATGGGCAATATTCTTTGCGTTCTCAAACTCCCTCAGACTGACGTAACTTCTGCTCTTCTTGATGGCGTCACCAATCAGCTCGGCGGAGCGAGCTTCACCCTGCGCTCGCACGACCATGGCCTGCTTCTCCTGCCGGGCCTTGTCGACTACGAAAGCGGCGCGCTGAGCCTCTTGCTGGGCGACCTGTTTTGCCTCGACCGCGGCGGTAAATTCAGGAGAGAAGGCGAGGTGCGTGAGAGAGACGTCGTCGAGGAGGATGTTGAAGCGGGCAGCACGGCGGGTGAGCTGGTCTCTTACGAGACGCGAGACGTTTTCACGTTGAGTGATAAGCTGGGAGGCGTTGAACTGAGCGACCACAGCCTTGAGCACCTCGTTGACGATGGAGGGCAGCACGCGCTCGTCGTAGTCCGTGCCTAGGGTGCGGTAGATCTGCGGCAGAGCCTCGACCCGGGGTCGCGAGAGGACGCGGCAGGTTATGTTGACCATCTGCAGGTCCTTCGTCCCCGTCAGGGAGGAGACGTTGCGTGGTTTTGCGCGAACGTCGTAGGTGATGGGCGTTTCGAACCATGGGATCCGGATGTGAGTGCCTAGATTCATCCATCTCTCGCATCAGCCGACGAGTCTCCACTCGCCCAAACGTCCGCACACGGGTTTCGTTTCGCAAAACGCTGGAAGAACAAGACGCACCTTCGCCATAGATGTCCTTTTTGACACCGCCTATCCTCGTGTACTTGATTGCCCTGTGACCACCGTCGACTACAACCAGCCATCAGCACATCTCCCCCTATCGAGGCCCGCTCGACGAAATGCGTACCGTTGAACAGAGAATTGGACAGCAGTACAGCGCCGCCGCCCAATATGATGAGACCGGCCAATCCTCCCAGAGCTCCTCGAGGTGGTGCGCCGCCTCCGCCAGCACCGAAGCGTCGACCTTGCTCTTGCGCCTTCGCCAGCTGCCGCTGCAGCTCCTGGAAATTCTTCGGGAAGCGTCCTGACATCTTGGAGACAAACCCGCTATTCAACTCTCGATGATTGCGAGTCGATTTGTTTGATCTCTGGAGAAGTTAACGGGGTCCAAATTTCGATTCGGTGATGGGTAAGTTACCGTCGCGGAAGTAGCTGGGTAGGGATGTAGCATCAAGTGGTCTGAGCTCAACTCAGCATTGTGGGACACATTCAGATAAACTTGCCACGCCGAAACTGCTTAAGGTGCCTATCGAAACGCGCATGAGTCGTGAACGAGATTGAGTCAAAGGCCGAGTCTTGAAACTCTGGCGCACATGTATCATTGAGTATTATGATTATGTCTGCGTAGACTCGTCCTACCAGGAGTCTAGACAGCGGAGTGTATAACACTGCTTTGATGCACAACAATAGCTTCTCTTTCCCGTCGTCGAACCATTCATGATACCCCCCCTCATCTCTCGTACAGTCCTCCCTTCTTCTTTTGTACAGCCTCCTCCGCTCCAAAACGAATGACGTATATACAATGAACACCTCCTGCACAAGGTGCCGAGAAGCGAACGTTTTGGGGTATCATCATCGGCGTGAACAAATCCCAGCCTTGAAGAACACCATAAAAATAAGACATGCAGGTCGCTGGTGATGGCGAACACCTCTTTCTAGTCTATGCAATAACCGCTCCAAAAGAATTATGCTGATAACGATGGCAAGAATGTAGAAAGAAAAAAAAAAGGTTAAGCTTCGCCCACGTGCAAATCCAAGAACGAAGCTGATCACCAGACTCGAAAGAGCCTGCACACACTGCGCCAGCTCGCTGAGAGGCAACTCCATTTAATGCGAAGAATTCGTCATGAATGCGATGACCGAGTTTGGACTATTTGGGCCCAAGAGGACGATATCCGTGATGGGGTGCGAGTGATTGGTAGATCATGTTCTCCGGGTTACCTGCTTCGCTCGTGGTCCGAGTTCGATGCCAGCGTATCACCCTCCCAGCTCACTTCACTTGAGCTTCGGTTCGTGTTTGATGGGCTGCGACTTCGTGACGAGTAGCTCGAGCCAGATCCAGACGCCAGCGTCCATTCTTCGGAGTCTGAGTGGGCTGGATGGAATTCTTCGTACAAGCCGGTGTAGGTTTGCCCTGATGCGTAAGCGTCTTGGGACTCGCCTATCTCTATGTAGTCATAGTCCCAGCGAAACTCCTTGTCTGGCTGCAAGCGGGGGAGCCATCGAGTCTTCGCGATGAAGAAAGCAATACCGGCAACTAGCGGTTGATGTTAGAAAGGATGCGAGGGCAAGTATTGATCAGAGATACTCACGGAGACTGCCGCCGACGAGATCCACGGCATAGTGGTGAGACAGGTACATAGTAGCCCACCACAACCACAATGTATATATGACGAAGAGCGGGGTGAGCCGTGGAAACACATGGCTCATGAAGAGCGCCTCGAGAGTTGCGTTTGCAGAATGGAGTGAGGGAAACGCTCCAAAGACAACTGGAGAAGCGGTGAACCCAGATGTATACATGTCGAAGCCAAAAAGTTTATCTATCGCCGCAAGACCGGCAGGTGAACCTGGCATCTTGTAGTTGGCTGGCGCTAGGCCGTACATATTTTCGTACCAGGGCGGAGAACACGGAAAGATGATCTGGATGACGACGCCTGCCAGATTCATGTATCCAAAGGCGCGAGCAAAAACAGGCACTGTTTTCGGTGGACCCCATATGAACATGATCAGCGAGCACACTGCCGGAGCTCCGAAATGAGTGATGCCGTAAGGAAACCATGCTAGGAGGTCGAGAACGGTAGCTTTGTGTTTTGAGAGGATGTTGCTAAGGTTCGCACCGTAGAATATGTTTTCCAACGCTGGAAGAACTCGAACCCAGATTGGAGGTCGGTATGCACCGTCAATGAATCTGTGCGAGGCGCGAGAAGTCAGCAGATGTCGGATGGTTCTATAAAATAATGGTGCTTCACAGGTGGCCAGACAGGGCAACCGCAGAACAGCAAAGGAGGCGAAGATGACGTACTTGCATGAGTACCAAAGAATAAGCCAAGCTGCGATAGGCAGAAAGGGCAGGAAAAACTGGCGGGTGATGGGCAAAATGAGCGAGACCATGAGTGCTGTCGCTATTACGGTCTTGATCATCGGACCAGGCGACTGCATGATGCTCAGACAGAATATGCCTAGCACAGCCAGGCCGAAATATTGGAAGTCATAAAGACTCCACTGATGGCGACGCAGGGCCTGTATGGTGTCGGACGGCGAGAAACTTGTCTGCAATGCAAAGACGTTGCTTGCCGGCGACTGGCCTACGCGTAGACGTCCCTTTGTGGCCCTCCATTTCCGCCGTACCTTGTGAGGAACGAAGATCCTGAGGTTGGGGAACGCGCTTGGGAGCCGCGGCGAGTAGGGCAGCCTCGACGATTTGAAGGAAAAGGCGCCGGACATGATGGGCGAGGAAGAACAGCGGAGGAGGAGGAGGTAGAAGAAGAGGAAGGGGGAGAATAAGTTGGACTCCCCAGCCGCGGGCGGCAATCTCTTTAGATGAGAGAGGTGAGGGAAGCGTAGGGAAAGAGATCAGCACGGCCACGGATGCGACGGGAGAGGGAGAGAAGAGGTGAGGGAGCGAGGGCAGCCAGCGACTCTGGGCGCCAAACCCTGGTGCTGCGGTTGTGCAGAGCGACGGGTGCGCAGCAGAAGCTTGGTCGAGCGGATGCGGCCGGCAAGGAGCAAGAAGAGGTTCGCAACGCAATCGTTACGGGAGGAGAAGAGCAGGACGACAGCAGGCAGATGTCGGTGAGGAAGAAGGAGAGCAGAGTCTGGCTGGGCTTTTTTTTTTCTCCTTCTCACGATTCGTGCGAGAGCGTCTTGGTTTGATGAGGCTATCGCTGAGTCTAGCGGAGCGCAATTTTAATTCGCTTACCAGCCCCAGCTTATTCCATTCAAGGGCACTCGGGCGTGGGCCGGACCAGCAAAACGCGCGACGACGGAGAGGAAAAGACGGCGGAGAGGAGAGGGAGGGGAGCGCAGAACACAATGGAGCTCGACTGGACAGGCAAAAAGCGAGCAAGCAGCGAGCATTGGTTGTCTGGATCCGTCAGAAGGAAGAGGGTGGATGGCGAGCAGCAGCTGGAGCCGTGGGAATCCGAGCGAGCGAGCGAGCGGGCAGCCGCGTTTTGAGAAAGCTGACTGTGTCTCTCTGTACGGTCTCTCGCGCTCTCTCATGCACATGCACTACGCAAGCCCGCGCTGACCGCGCCTGGATCGCTCGCTCACTCACTCGCTCACTCACTCACTCACTCACTCACTCACTCACTCCTGCGGACAGGCCCAGCGACCAGCGATGCAGCGCCCAGCACCCGCTCAGCTTGCATCGTTCACTGGCAATGAGCGCGTACGGCGTGGACAAGCCCAGGCGCGCCGCCTTGCCTGCACGTCTGGCGTCGCGTGAGACACGATGCCTGCAAAAGCCCACCACCTTGCCAGCGTCACGATCGAGGATCTCTGTCGCCCTTCTCCCTTTGGCCTTGGGCGTTCTTCTCATCCTTGCTTGCAAGCCAAAACCGCCCGTTCGCGCTGTTTACTTCGCTCCACCCTTGAAACAAAAGGAAGGCAAGCCGCCTGCCGTCGCTTGCGTGTGCGTCGAAACAAACTCTCTTGACCCCAGCGCCGTGAGGTCCTTTGCCGCACAGCTGCGATGCCTGCCAACGTCACTCGCTGCCCTTCTGCCAGCGCGTCTCGGGCTAAGAGCTGCATCTTGATGTCAGAGCGCCGGAACCTCGCGGCTCACTACACAGCACTCGCGGGCGCTCCGCTCAGAGAGCCGCGCCTACACTGCTCCCCGTGCTCGACTCGCACCACGGGTACGCGATCAAAACGCAGCAGCGTGCTGACGGATCGTGTCCCACGGCCGAGGTGCTCGAACGAAACAACCGACCGCCCAACCATGGCATCGCGCGACATGCTCGTGCTGCGATCTTGTGATGGAGCCCTGATGCTCCTCCTGCGCTGCTCTTGCATCGCCGCCCCTGCCTCAGGGTCCTCACCGACAAGCTGCTCCTGCCACTGGCTGCACCGCCAGAGATCGTTTGGCGCCTTGTCACTTGTGCTCGTGCCAGCCCTCGGATGCTCGGGCCAGGCCTGTCCCGAGTTCAGCCCTGCGCAAGGCTCATCGTGCCCAACGCACGCAATCCCACAATCCACGGTCCTGTGCACAGTACAGAGGTACTTCGTGCAGACCCGATGCATCTCCGACCACCCTTCACGCCGGCTTTTGGCCTGAACCTGAGCGCTCGGCCACCGCCATCCCAGACGGTGTGACGGCCCTTTTCATTTCTGCTTTGTCGTCCCATGGGCCACCGAGAACCATCTCCACCTACCTCTCCAACGATGAGTGAGAACCAGCTGATCACGGCTATTTGAACTTTGCTGTTGTCCTTACTCAAGGTTGATGCACAAGACGTCAAACCAACGGGCCACAACATGCGGCAGAGTAATTCTCAGCCGTTAAAACGGTAGTGTGCTTATGCCACATGAGGTGACGAACCTCATTCGCGATGTGTAGACTTCCCTCGACAGTCTTCCGAGCAGCCAAAATATAGATTGCGCGCAAAATCGTGACTCCAAGTCTGATCAAATTTAGAACCAAACGACAGGGCAAATAGTGCAGCGAAATGGGCATGCGCACCAAGGCGTCCAAATACAAGGACCTTGTCAATCGGCATATACGTATGTCAAATCTTCTCAGAATGAGTCAAGGGAGCAATACGTTGGAATCAAAACAGCACGAGACACTGTTGGAAGATGTGTATCTTTAATATACTTTGTCTAGCCTAGTTGCCCACGCACTGCAGGGGAGCCTGTGGAACACTATATAAAACCTTTTCTCGCTGGTGATTCCACGCCCGTGAAGAAGCGCTCAGGTGTGGTGAATGCGCTCGTTTACTTGGTCTCGTCGAAGACATAAGTGAGATGGCATTTGCCACAGTATTGGCGGTTATGCATGGCAGCCATGAAGACACCAGCCCCGCACTACCACACAGTTAGTCAATCGCCCAAATCAGTCGCTTCACCATTCTCCGCGTCAGACTCACAGTCTCTTGTGGGCATTCCCTTCTCAGGCGCTCAATCTTGCCATCGCCATCGACCTTGTAGTATTTGAGCACAGCGAGCTTGGTCTTCTTTCTCTTGTGCTTGATCTTCTTTGGCGTCGTGTACACCTTCTTCTTGCGCTTCTTGGCACCACCACGAAGTCGAAGGACAAGGTGCAGCGTCGACTCCTTTTGGATGTTGTAGTCGGACAAAGTGCGGCCATCCTCAAGTTGCTTGCCGGCGAAGATAAGACGCTGCTGGTCGGGTGGAATACCCTCCTTGTCTGGACACACGTCGTTAGACAGGGTGCTTCGATATTCCTCTGTCGCATGAGCCACCTACCTTGGATCTTGGTCTTCACATTGTCGATGGTGTCGGACGATTCCACCTCGAGGGTGATCGTCTTACCCGTCAGGGTCTTGACGAAAATCTGCATGGCGACCTCAACAAGCCCCAAGGCGTATGTCTCTTCAATCGCTGTGCAGAGAATGTGTTGGAGAGAAAGAGCTAAGACTTCTCGAAAATCCAAAATTCTTTTGTGGTCCGCGCCATTGTCAAGCCACTTTCTGCCTCAGGCATAATCACGTGATTGGTCGGTACAATGCGTCGCATGGGTACAACTGCACGTTGTGTATGCTTCAGGCATCATCGTGGAGGGCACAAAGTTGCGGAAGGAAATAATGCCGTCGACGTGCCAGGGAAAAAAGTAAAAGTAAAACAAGCACGGCTTATGAATTCAATCTCGCCGTCAATAGGATACCGTGGCGCTCAGCAGGCCAATGGCAGGCAATGGGTTGGCGTTCCCGGCTGGGTTGCCGTAGTGATGAGGGCCAAGCCGTGTTTATCAGCCTCGCTCATCTTTAGAATTCGAGCTCCAGTCACTTTACCTACCCAAATCCCATCATCCACGAAGGACTCTGCAAGAGACTAGACGAACAACACAATCTTCGAGACTTCCATTGTCACAGAAAGCAAGAGTGCTGCAAAGAGTGTGCTAAGCACATACTGCCAAAGACAAACCTCATCACCTTCTTCAGCTTTACACAAGATCAGACCACATCCACCGCTACTGAGCGACTAATAAACATCTTTCCGCCCGGCGGACGCGGCTTGCGTTGCGTGAGGTAAGTATACAGAAGCACGACGAGAGCGTTAGAGACTACAGAGGATTAAGCAGCGGTTTAGGAAATGCTAACTGGGTAACAGTTTCGGATTCCACCGACAAGATTATCCGGACTCGACTTGCACTCAAGATGCTGTCCAATCCAACCTCGAGCATAGAACTTCGACGAAAGAGCCACAGGAGACAAAATTCGACACCAACGCTCGAAGTTCCAAATGTACGACCATTTCCTGCGCCAATTCAACGGAATACTTCCCACCGAGGCCATCGACGAGGACTCAGCCTGGACCAACATATCTCTCTGCAGCCGCGAGAGAAGATGATACCCACACTAGGACCCATCGCGCAGGACGACATTTCGGTAAGTCTAACAGATACAGCACATCAAAACCCGCAGCATCCGTTGCAGGTAGCGCAGCAGCACAGTTTGGCTCAGCCGGGCCAGCCATCCCCTTATGAGAATGAAAGAATACACCAACAATCACATCCAACACTTACCATGGACAATATGCACCGGAATCACTCATCAGAACATCCTTCCCCAGCAGTCATTGAGATGCACCCTCCACAACATTTGCTATCCTCGCCTAAGACTCCACATCGACAACGCTTTTCGCCTTCTCCACAGCCCATACAAGGTCCGTTCGGCCCTACACCTGCTCTGTCGGGCCCGTGTGAGGAGGCCGTTAAAAAACTGAAAGAATCGGTTGAGGCAGTGTATGGGCCTGGTAGCAATGTTTTCATCAACATACTTCCAACACCTGTCGCGACACCTCAGAAAAGGGCATCCACGGTTCCTTTGCAGCACATCGATACAACCCCAATTCCCTTTGGGTTTGGAAACGACGGACTCGGTCTTGGAATGGAACAGTCGAATAGTTCGCAAGGATACGAGCCTCAGCACAGTCCTGCAGGATCCTTCTATTCGACTGGTTTTGGATCGCCGACTCGCTCTCCCTACCACTCTCCCCAGCAACAACCGATACCTAGCTTCATGGAACAGCCCACTCCTGTCCTGAGTTTCGATGACCAACCGATATTAAGCAACGGGCCTTTCACCTCCTCTCAGACAACTCTGGCTGAAGTTGAGCCGATATATTCCCCCGCTCCAGGCTCAGTGTCCCCGGACCGCTCGCCACGACAAATGTCCATTGCAGACTTGAGCCTGGAGACAATAATCGAGGACACTGGCGTTTCGGCAGAGGAGGTGGCAAGCCTTATTGAGCACGACGCCAAGACCAACACATTCACCTGTCTCTTCGAAGGTTGTGGAAGAAAGGGGTTTCAGCGTCGCGAGAATGTGCGCTCGCATGTTCAGACTCACCTTGGAGACCGCCAGTACAAATGTATCCATTGCGGCAAGACATTCGTTCGGCCGCACGACTTGAAGCGACACGCAAAGATACACAGTGGGGTCAAACCCTATACGTGCCCTTGCGGTCAACAGTTTGTGCGCCAGGATGCTCTTACACGCCACCGCCAGCGCGGAAGCTGCTCAGGCGCCTTTCCAGATGCTGTTCCGCGGACACCAGCTCGGCGCGGTAGGCCACGGAAGAAGCGTCCTGAGATGGATGACAGAGTCGACAAGGCTAATCGAACAAGAAAATTGAACGCCGCAAGACAACACCACGAATATAGCAGCGGAGGTAGCAGTTATGGAGGTAGTGGGTCCGAAGCTGAGAATTCTCCCAGCCCTGAGCCTGCAGCAGCGAATGCCGAGTTCGACTTCGCCTCCCTGGATACCGCCAAGTTAGTAAACTTTGGAGAAGACGATAGCAAGCCGTCTGTGGACTCATTGAGCAAGAATACTGAGCCTTTCAGGTAAGTTTTCTACCCCAATCAACCTGAATAGACGTCTTTGGATCTAACTCTGGCTTTAAAGCTTTGAGAGTTTCGACGACTCGAGTCCATGTAACGCATCGAGCCCCTTTGATCCCGGAGTAGCGTCGGACATGATTTTCCAACTCTCATCATCGTCCGCGACGGCGCCGACGCCACCGGATTCACCTGCACTTAAAGGCGAACCATTCATCATCCAAGACTTGCAAGGAGGCGAGGATTTGTTCTTCGGCACGGCAGACTTGAAGGATCCCTCCGCGTTCTGGATGTAATCGCCTCTGTCCTTCCTATGCTCTTGTTTTAATTTCTGCTTTTCGGAACCTGTACCAATATGCAATGGATAACGGTCATTTTTCCGTGCTGGTCGTGGCAACGATGGAGGCGTTTAGGATACTTTTGCTGGATGGGTCCCTTCATGGTGGATTCAGTGGGCGTGCCATGCTTGTGCAATACTACATACGAAGTCATGACTCGTTGCGCTTGTAATGCTTTTTACTCTAGGATATGACGGGAGTCAACATAGCTCGCGAGGCTCAGTTAAAAGAAATCAGAATGACAGTCCACACATTTTCGTGCCTGCGGTCCCAGCCTTACTCATTTGCATATAAATCCTGTGATTCGGTACGTGGCTCTCGTTTATGACACAGCCAGTGGCGGCCGCCCCGATACGAAGCAGACGCAGACAACGAGAGGCACGATGCGTAACTTAGCTGAGCCAGCAAACTCTGCGGCGCGGTAGCATCTGGTTGCAGCAACCTTTTGGGCTGCAGCGAAATTTTGACGTGGGCACCTTGTTTGGGGAACCGTGTGGCGGGGCACAGCCTGAGCGGGCAAGCTCTTGCGCGAATGCCTGATCGTCGTCATCGCTCTAGTCAGCGAAGATCAACCCACACCTCATAACGAATCGGCCTCCTCGTACGCGCGTGTTCAGGCAACGAGAATACGGCCTCGCTCTACATATACGTACGGTATCCCGTCGTTCGTACAGCCTGTACCTCTTTCCCATTTGACCAAGCCGCTTCGAACCATACTTCCAACGATGAATGTCATCAAGCTGCAAAGGTACGTGCGCCCCAATTTTGCGCCCGGCTTAGGCGTCGCAAACAACGGTATTCACCAAGCCCAGAAAGTACCCCCAATTTCAACAGGCGGATATCTTTGCGCTGCAAGATGCTTTCCGCAAGCTCGATGTTGACGACAAGGGCTACCTGGACGAAGCTAGCACCATCCGTGCCGTACAGAACAGTGAGCGACAACCGTACGACGTGGTGCGCCAGGCTTTGAAGGAGGTCGAGCTTGACAGCTCGAGGAGAGTGGAATTTGATGATTATATCGACGTACGGCTGCCTTTGCCCTTCATGTAGCCGCTCGCTGATCAAACAACCTCCGCAGCTGATTGCCCGCCTTCGTGAGTCTTCACCAGCGCAAAAGCGCATGTCTACGGGCGCTTCCGGCGGTGCAAAGCCACCTGTGTCGCACGCGTCGAAACCCAGCATTGGTAGCAGTGGTGGCAAGATCCAGATCGGCGGTTCCACGGCATCTTCTACGCACACGATCAACGAGGATGAGCGTACGGCGTTTACGAGCCACATCAATGCGGTTCTGGCCGGTGACCCAGATATTGGACACCTGCTGCCGTTTCCGACTGATACCTTCGAGATGTTTGACCACTGCAAGGACGGCCTAGTGCTTGCGAAACTCATCAACGACAGCGTACCGGACACAATTGACGAGCGTGTCATGAATAAGCCGGGCAAAAAGATTAAAACGCTAAACAACTTTCACATGACAGAAAACAACAACATCGTAATTGAATCTGCCAAGGGTATCGGATGCTCGGTAGTGAACATCGGTTCGCAGGATATCATTGAGGTTCGGGAGCATTTGATTCTTGGTCTTATTTGGCAGATCATCAGGCGAGGACTTTTGGGCAAAATCGACATTAAACTGCATCCGGAGCTGTATAGGCTGTTGGAGGACGATGAAACATTAGAGCAGTTCTTGCGACTCCCTCCTGAACAAATTCTACTCCGCTGGTTCAACTATCATCTAAAGAATGCGAAGTGGCACCGCACGTACGTTATTGCACACTTTCCAGAAGAAATATAACTCTAATGCGATGACAGTGTCAGCAACTTCTCCGCCGATGTCAAAGACGGAGAAAATTACACCATCCTGCTCAATCAGCTCAAACCTGACATTTGCTCAAGAGGGCCTCTCCAAACTCGTGATCTGCTACACAGAGCCGAACAAGTCCTCGAAAATGCCGATCGAATCCAGTGCCGCAAGTTTTTGACCCCCACCTCACTCGTCGCTGGAAACCCCAAGCTTAATCTTGCTTTTGTGGCCAACTTGTTCAACACCCATCCTGGCCTAGATCCGATCACGGAGGAAGAAAAGGCCGAGATTGAAGACTTCGACGCGGAAGGCGAACGTGAAGCACGCGTATTCACGCTTTGGCTGAACTCGTTAGATGTCAAACCCGTTGTACAGTCTTTCTTCGAGGATCTCAAAGACGGGACAATTTTGCTGCAAGCCTTCGATAAGGTTATTCCCGGCAGCGTGAACTGGCGACATGTGAATAAGCCTCCATCGTCGGGTGGAGAAATGATGCGCTTTAAAGCCGTGGAGAATACGAATTATGCTGTTGAGATTGGTAAGCAAGAGCGCTTCTCGCTGGTCGGAATTCAAGGCGCAGACATCACGGACGGTCAGCGAACTCTCACCCTTGGTCTTGTCTGGCAACTCATGCGCCGCGATATCGTTTCTACCCTTGGGAATCTAGCGAAATCCATGGGCAAGCGCGAGATCTCTGATGCGGACATGGTTCGATGGGCCAATGATATGGTGAAGAAAGGTGGCAAGTCCTCAGCTATCAGGTCGTTCAAGGATGCATCATTGGGCAATGCCATCTTCCTCCTCGATGTCTTGAATGGCATGAAGAGCGCCTATGTTGACTACGATCTTGTGGCTGCAGGCCGGACAGACGAAGAGTCATACATGAATGCCAAGCTTGCAATCAGTATTGCGCGTAAGATGGGAGCTACCATCTGGCTAGTGCCGGAGGATATTGTTGCGGTACGGAGCCGTCTCATCACTACTTTTATCGGCAGTCTGATGAATACGTATGAGAAGATGCACTAGAGACGAGCTATGTTTGGCATTTGACACTCCCGAATTATGAAGATTGTCCACGGTGCCTGAGCATGAAGTAGGCAAACAAGATCTCGAGATTCAACCACTTTAGTTGAGATGCGGATATGTGTAGGAACGCGTACTTGAAAATAAAAGATCAGTTGCGAATGTTGAAGTTCTCGGCCAGGTGGAAATTTATAAATCGTCAATTCACCGGCCCACTTTTTACATCGAAAGTAGTCCCGATTTTCCCAGTATTTGACATAATTTATCGCACAATTAGCTTTCCCGTTGTTGACTCCCAGAAAATCTTCTTGGCAGACATTATCACCCTTCTAATCTCACGACACAGCAAGCCTCCCGGTGCCCGCCCAACCGTGCCACACGCCACCCAGCTTTTGGGCCAGCTCCTCTGCCGTGTACCCTTGGGCATCTCTCATAGTTCTGATATCAACTTTGCCATTCATGTCACATCTCGTGATGCCAAGCAGAGATGCTTCCTGAAGCACTTCGGGAGGGAACTGTGTCATATCTAAGTTCGAGGCCAACAATAGAAGTAACCACGCCACCTCTCGACTACCACCAGACACAGCCGCATGAAGGCCAGACTGCATATCACCTATTGGATCTTGATACCACAGAAAGTCAAGGTTATGGACTTGGTCTTGGTCTTCATCATCCGAATCGGGACGTAGCATGTCAACGATGGCCTGGAGATCGCCCTCGCGGCAGAACTCTAAGAATGCGCGCGCTTTTCGTTCCTCTGGGTAGGCCCTCAGATAGCTCTCTTCAGTCAACAGCGGTAATATGTCCAAGTTCTCTTGCAGTCCGCCCTCGTTGCTTAGATTGCACAGAAGCCGTTGCTCGTTACTGTCATTAGTAGTGATTAGCGTCTTGTGACAGTTTGGACAGTCATTCAATTGATATGAGTCCAACAGACATTGCCAATGGAAGTGGCAGCCACAGTACTGTCCGTTACCATCAGAGACTGCTTAGAAATCAATAAGGTACATAATCTTGCAACCCACCAAGTAGACATCATCTGGGACTGTACGCCTGGTCGGACCAATGCTGGACTCGCTCATTTGCACATTCTCATCATCGTCAGAGAGCTCTATTTCGACTTCAAGTGGCTGATGGCAAGCTACACATTGAGTCATTGCGAAACTCCAGCCTTGAGAATAAAAGCTTGGTGATAGGGCAGAGTTTTTCAAGGTTAATGGACTCCAAGTTACCCGGTGGGGTCAGACGATAAGTGGCTGCTTGGAAATGGGTGTGGCGTTTCAGGCCACTTGATTCAAACACGTAGGCCAAATCCAGATAAGGTTGAGGCTCTTTTGCAAGGCTCTGATTTGGGCTAAATGATCTTCTTTGGATGGAAATCGGCAAATTTGATATGAACGTGTGGAGGCGCGGCAGAAAATAGAACTAAAGGGGTGGACCAGAACCCAGAATTAGGCTTGCGTACGTCAGTCAGCTTTGCAGCTTAAAAGTCCCGTTTCACCTTCTCCTGTGAACAGAAGCGAGCCCAACAACGTGCAACGCACTTTTTGCGCACGCAGTGCCAGCGCCCGCAAGCAGCCAAATTTTAGGCAATGGTTTGAAGAAGCAATGCGCTATCAACATGTCTGCTGAAGCAAAAGAGGAGGCGACATTAGATTCAATCACCAAACCACACCCGAACAAAGAAACCACGAAGGTAAAGCCGGCGCCCGAAGATGCCACGCGTTCGTTCCAGGACACCGCGCAACAATTCAGAGACCAAGCCTTACAGTTCTTATCGACGGCCAGCAATGAGACACTTGGAGCATGTCTTGTTGGGCTGGGAGCCACCACATATCTAGTCCTAGGCCGAGTGGGACTCGTGCTGATGGGAGTAGTCGGAGGCGTAGTTTTACACGCTACATGGGACGGCAATACCACTAGGCTAGGATCACAGGCAGCTGAAGAAAAGAGGCGGCGGGAAATTGGACTCGATGTTATCCACAGAGTACTCAGTTGGCGGGTAAGTGAGCCTCAAACAGCCGACGGCGAGGACGGAACCCGAGAGAGCGTGAACAGGGTCGACATCGTCGGAAAGAAGCGATTAGATTTTTCGTCCTTTCGCCCGGAGACAGCAAATGCTCTCAACGAACTTTCTGAAGCCTTCACTCGAGACTACATAAGGTGGTGGTATGATCCGATCATACCCGACGAACAGTCCTTTCCAGAGGCCTCACAACAAATGCTGATCGCTTTTTTGGTGTCTCTCTCAAATAATTTGTCACGCAAGCGACCAGCCGACACCTTCCTCAACTTTCTCACAAACTCTTCTTCTATCCTCATTGTTTTCCTAAATGAGCTGTCCGCAGCCATTGCGGCATCACCAGGTCTTACGAGCACCAAGGCAATTCAAACGTATTTAGACGCGAACCCAGGGAGCAACCTGGCCAATGTCCTAGACACAAAGCACCAAGAAAGGAAGTTGGACTTGGTGGCACAAGACATCCTCGAGTGCTATCTAGACACAAAAGCCTTTAACTGCGAACCCGTCAGAGTGTTCATGCGTCAAATACTAGCAAAGGTCGTTATGGAGAAGATTATTCAAAGCTGCTCTAAGCCGGAATTTATCAATGGCTGGATAGTTTATCTCTTGGAAGACGGCGAGCCAGATCTCCTAAAGGATATTGACGCCAGCCTGCAAGGTGTCGAAGAAAGCAAGCCAGAGGAGACGTTAGCTGTTGCTGAAAAGACTATTTCCACAATTAGTCCATCTGATTCAACCGAGAGCACAAAGCATAAAAGAACAATCAGCAAGGCTCAAGAAGCCATGGACGAAGCTATGCGGGAAGCACAGCGCCTTACGCAGCTAATGATCGAAGATGATGCTCGACGAGAAAAAGAACGACAAAAAGCAGAACGAGCCAACTCTTCGCCGGAAGCGAAACTCGAAGTTTCACGTGATGCAGAAATCCATTCGACCCATCTTTTCACAGACGATGCTTCCGAGAGCACTACTCAAGGTAATGCAACACCCACTTCCTCGCAAAGCGATGCACCTGCTGAGTACGTGGATACCGCAACGAAATCCAACACATTAGTTACGGATGAGAGCTTCGATTCTTCAACTGCCAACAAGAGAGAGTCGTTTACCAGTTTTGACCAACTTCCATCGCATCAGCAAGGTTCTTCGTTGTCAGATGAGCTAGAGGAGAGAAAATCCTTTGCTCCTCTAACCTTGCATAATGCCAACATCTCAATATTTGATGATACAGACCCTTCGGACCGCGCGACACTTCGTCAAAAGCCGATGACCGATTATCTCATTCAGATTGAACCAGCGTCTTCTCAATACCCTGGATGGATGATTGTTCGCAAATACTCTGACTTTGAAACGCTGCACGAAGTCCTACGTCGAATCGCTGCGATTTCCGGAGCCTCTGTGTTCGTGCAGGCGCACACGACATTACCAAACTTCAAGGCGCATACCAAAGCAACATTGAGGGAAGCTTTAGAACGGTATCTGTCTGATGCTATGAGCTTCCCTTCTTTAGCTGAAAGCGAAGGTATGAAGCGCTTCTTGGAGAAGGAAAGAGGCATGGATAAATCACCAAACACAAGACCAGGCTTTGGCTGGCCTACTCCTGGCACATTTGAAAAGGTTGGCAAAGGTATGATGGATGTACTCACTCAAGCACCTAAGGACGTCGCAGGTGGAGGCAAGGCACTTATCGGGGGTGTGACTGGCGTGTTGGGGGCGAAGAAGCGAAACGCTTCTGTTGCGAGTCTTCCTCTCAAGTCTGGGACTAGCAACCAACAGCTCCCTCCACGCATGGAGAACGTATCCCAGCAGGCATTGCCAAGGCAGAGTACTGAGGGCACTCGCGGAGTCTCGCCCATAGTTGACACTCAGCCGGCACCTCACCCTCAAATGGAGCGCAAACCAAGCACCCCTGTCGAGTCCCCAGTGAAATCAAGATCAAAGCCAACCTCAAGGTCGAGTAGTAGACCTGCATCAACAAGAGGTTCAACAGATGCAATGCCTGTCTTGGGAGGTGACCAGATTCTCTCTTTGCCCCCACGGCCATCAGAAATCCAAGAGGATTATGATGTAGTTGCCCATGTGGAAAGTCCTGCAATTAAACCCGAGCTGCCACCAAGAAAGTCAGCATCCACAACGCGCGCCTCGACTGAGATTACTTCAGATCCTCCTGCTACTAAACGGTCAATGCCAGCGAAGCCGCCACTTACTGAACAAGAAACACAAATGGTTGTCGAGCTTGTGTTCGCTATAATCACAGAACTTTATCAGCTCTCTTCTGCTTGGACGCTCCGTAAAACTCTGCTCACTGCAGCGAAAACATTTTTGCTTCGTCCTGGCAATCCTCAACTCGAGTCCATTCGGCAACTTATACAGACGACCATTATTGATGCAAATACTTCAGACGAAGGCGTCGCCGCCCATATTCGGAAAATCCGAGAGAATGCTTTACCTACTGAAGTCGAGCTCAAGGCATGGCCGTCAGAGCCTTCCGAAGAGGAAAAGGAGAACTTGAAGAAAAAAGCCCGAAAACTGCTCGTTGAACGGGGAATGCCGCAGGCTCTCACAAGCGTAATGGGTCAGGCCGCTAGCGGTGAGGCCTTGGGCAAAGTATTTGATTGTCTGCAGATGAGCAATGTGGCACGAGGTCTAGTGTTTGGTCTTATGTTGCAAGGAATGAGGGTTGTAACGCAATAATAGACTTTCATACGCCAAGGTCACGAGCGCTTCGGAAGAACGGAATAAATGTATCATACGTCAATGTTTAATGAGAATGGTGGACAATTTAATATTTCTCTAATGCCAATGCTTGTATCTGTGGTATGTACAGCTCCCTTTCTACATCACATCTGCTCTCTAGCATCCTAAATATGCCTTGGAAACGTGGGCACGCCTCAGGGTTCCGCGAAGAACATACGAGATCGGGAGCCAAATCATGGGTTTGGTAATTCATTGTGCTTACGTGCTCCAACCTTTTGATTTGTGCCCTTTAATCATAATTCAACTGTGACTTTTTCAATACATCTGGCTCACAGGCGAGGTACCACCAGCATTTCGAAAGAAGACATCGCCGTAGGGATGTATGCCCGATGATCAGTCTGAAATGGCGAGCGAGAATAGGGAAATGATGACTTAACATTAAGCCTCATAGAATATCACAATGACACTATGACAGTGAAGCCATGAAACAAGAGCCTTTAAAGACTCTGTCACGTCTGTCCGGTTTCAAATATTCACTCTCGTTAAACTACATTTCATTTGTTAGTTCTACGACTGCGAATAAAGTGCTGTGGAAGCAGCCATTCAATATCGGCACAATGCAGAATAAGTTACTGAGAACCTAAAAAGTCACATGACCACGTTCCGCAGTCGTACCATTATGGCCCGTGCTTTCTCGCGTTTTCTCTACAGGAGTTGCACGCGTCTACACTTCATATGCACATCGAGGCCATCACGATATGTATGTTCACGGTACGGCTGATAAAGAGTATCCATCGCTGACTTCAGGTAACAGGAGTCGTTTAAATCCGTGGACAGCCTCGGTGGACAAGGAGAATCTTCCACCTTCAGGCAAGCGCCCACTTCAAGCGACCAGACTATACGGTGGGACACAACAATCTATAGAGCGATTGGTCAAGCCTTTCAAATGCCCCGGCTCCGCACTCCCAACTCGCACTTCAGAGAAACCAGTTAGAAAGAGGAGGAAGGTATCTTACGCAAATACAGACAGCAGCGTCGAGGACGGCGATCTGCCATACACAAATGAGGATCGATTGACGCTTGCTACCCGCGATATCAACAGATTTCCCGTATTCAAGGCCAAGGATAAAGAAATAGCATTCAAGAAACGATTTTCTGTACCATTCATCAACAAGAATACTGATGGCTACAATCCGTACAAGCCGCCCCCGCTGCTTGGTTTGCGGCAAGGCGCTGTGGTCGTTGCAAGACCTCTTCACGATCCCAGCGGTGAATTTGCAATCGTGTTATACGATCCTACCGTAGACGAAAAACCAGCCACTCTAGAAGATGCCGAAACTGGAGAAAAAGTGGAAGAAAGTTCAAAGGAAGAACGTCCTAGTCAGAAAGTTGTCAAGGTCGAGGCTCCTCTCGTACATAAGAGTCTAGCAGAGATCTTGGGCATCAAGAAAGCCGTAGTAGACCGGCCTAAGGTACCTGTGGTCATTGATCCCAAACTAGCAAAGGTCCTACGGCCCCATCAAGTCGAAGGCGTCAAATTTCTGTATCGCTGTACCACAGGACTCATCGATAAGAATGCGCATGGCTGCATCATGGCGGATGAAATGGGCCTTGGAAAGACTCTTCAATGCATCACACTTATGTGGACCCTCCTAAAGCAGTCCCCAGACGCAGGTAAACCCACGATCCAGAAATGCATTATTGCTTGTCCGTCAAGTCTGGTGCGAAACTGGGCAAACGAACTTGGTATGTTTTTATAAAAATTGAGGAAAAATTGTACCGCAATTGCTTATATTCTACAGTCAAGTGGCTCGGTAAAGATGCCATCAATCCATTCGCTGTAGATGGTAAAGCTACGAAGGAAGAGCTTACTCAACAAATGAGGCAGTGGGCAATCGCCTCCGGACGAGCAGTTGTTCGACCAGTCCTAATTGTCTCGTATGAGACCCTGCGTCTATATGTAGACGAATTAAAGGGCGCTCCTATTGGGCTTCTTCTTTGTGACGAAGGACACCGGTTAAAGAACGGTGAGAGCCAAACTTTCACAGCTCTCAACAGCCTGAATGTTCAGAAGCGAGTTATTCTATCGGGGACACCGATCCAAAACGATCTCTCGGAATACTTCGCCTTGCTCAATTTCGCAAATCCTAACTATCTAGGTACGCGCACTGAGTTTCGCAAGCGATTTGAGCTCCCAATACTACGAGGCCGTGATGCGGACGGCACGGATGAAGAACGCAAGAAAGGGGATGAGTGTTTGGCCGAGTTACTGACATTAGTGAACAAATTCATAATTCGCCGTACGAACGACATACTATCTAAGTACTTGCCCGTCAAGTATGAGCACGTTGTTTTCTGCAACTTGGCACCTTTTCAGAAGGATCTCTACAAACATTTCATTGAATCACCTGATATAAAGAGCCTATTGAAAGGTAAGGGAAGTCAGCCTCTAAAGGCAATTGGTCTTTTGAAAAAATTATGCAATCATCCAGATCTGCTTGATTTTGCGGTGGACTTGCCTGGCGCAGAAAGATGCTTCCCCGACGACTATGTGCCTAAAGAAGCTCGTGGTCGCGATCGAGATATCAAGGTTTGGTATTCTGGGAAAATGGTTGTCCTTGATCGGTAAGTTCTTGTGTAGCAATCATTGTAGATTTTTCATCTGATCTTGATGCATAGCATGCTCGCTAGGATTCATGCAGAGACCAATGACAAAATCGTGCTTATCTCGAACTACACGCAAACTCTAGATCTGTTTGCGAAGCTTTGTCAGAGTCGTGGATATGGATATCTCAAGCTTGATGGGACTATGCAAATTGGAAAACGTCAAAAACTTGTGGATAAGTTTAACGATCCTGAAGGCCGAGAATTTGTCTTCCTGCTGAGCTCCAAGGCAGGAGGCTGCGGACTGAATCTCATTGGTGCAAATCGTCTTGTGCTATTTGACCCAGATTGGAATCCTGCTGCCGATCAACAAGCCTTAGCTAGAGTATGGCGCGATGGACAAACAAAAGATTGTTTCGTGTATCGTTTTATTGCTACTGGTACGATTGAGGAGAAGATTTTCCAACGGCAGTCGCACAAGCAATCACTATCATCCTGTGTGGTCGACAGCGTTGAGGATGTCGAGAGACATTTCAGTCTTGACAGCTTGAGGGAATTGTTTCAGTTTAAACCAGATACGAAAAGTGACACGCATGACACCTTCAAATGCAAGCGCTGTCGCCCTGATGGTCGTCAACATATCAAGGCGACGGCAATGTTGTATGGAGACACAAGTTCTTGGAATCATTTTGTGAACGACGGAAAGGACGGGCCACTCAGCAAAATTCAAGATCTGTTATTGCGACAGGAGGCGGAAGAAGACGTCGTGAGCGCTGTGTTCCAATACATTAGTCACTGAAACACTGAGTTCAAACATTGGAAGTTTACGTGTGCGGATAACCATGCAAAGTGGAGATGCCCATGTTCATTTTCTTTACATCAAACTGCAGATATATAAAAATGAACACTTTCATGCCTCTCGCACGCCTCTCTTAGCCTCATACATGGCGACTTTGACCCCACGACCAGGTGTGCCCACGATCTCGACCTTGTGGAATTGCTTGCTATAATCGTCCCTGCCCTCTAGCCTCTCGTATCGCTGCAAAATCCTGACACAAACATAGGCCATTTCCGTGAGAGCAAAGTTCTGACCAACACAAATCCTAGGGCCTCCATTAAAGGGGATATATTGCCACGGGCGTGGCTGCCAGTTTTCCCAACGCTCCGGGCTAAATTGTTCTACCGGAGCAAATGTTGGCGAAGGTGAAGGATACAGATCAGCCCTTCGTTGCATGGCAAATGCAGAATAAAAGATTGCATCGCCTTTCACAGCGGTGATATCAGGCTGGCTGCGATTGATATTAGGTAAGGTAGTGTCAGTCAAGGCGTAACGGACGTTGAACTAAAGTACTCGGTTGGCAAATATGCTTTATTACAGTAGCGAGTTTAGAACTTACTGGTACTGCGGGATATAGGCGCAGCGTCTCGTTCAGACAGTTCGAAAGATACTTCAGGTTCTTGAGGTCATCGTATGTGGGTGGTCGCTCATCTCCGACCACTTGCAAAACCTCTTCTCGCATCTTAGAGTACACTTGAGGCGCTTGCGTGAGTTCATGGAACATCCATGACAACGTCGCTGCAGTTGTGTCGCGACCAGCCAGTAGCACGGCTATGATTTGATCACGAATCACTTGAGGATCCCGCGTAAACTGGGCCAATGCGTGCAAGAATGTGAAGCTCCGCTCGGACTTGTTAATCTTTGCCAACTCGTCGTCGGTAAGGTTCAGTGCTCTGTCAATGAACGGCGTAATGAAGTCCTCCATGATTTTAATGCCCCGGTTATATTTGCCCCGCGGTATGAATTTCTCGATGGGCATCAGAACAGTGATCATGGTTTGCATGCGTTGGACATCTGTGAAGGCTTTGACGAAGCTTACACGGGGATTCTCCAAAGAATTAACTGAACCGCCAAGCAGGAAGTCCGTGATGACGTCGATAGTCAGCCGGTAGAACAGGTCTTGGATATCGAAGGTGTGGCCTGATGCCGGGAATTGAGTTAACATTGTTTGCGTCCATCTCTCAAAAATGTTCAGATCGCTGACTCGTGTTTTCACGAACATTGGCCTAATCAGATTCCGAGAGTCTTGCCACATTTGTCCATCTGTTGTAAAGATGCTGTCTCCTAAGAACGGCTTCCAGACGTCGTGAAACTTTGAGCCCGTTAGATGTAATTTGACACAACCGAGTTCAGGACGACAAACCTGCTTCCCTTTGCCATAGTCGGCAAATTTCCCTGTAAGAATGGCCTTGATGTGCTCAGGATCATCCGTAAAGAGAAATCGTTGACCGCCCGTGACATTGATTTCAATGATTTGCGGAGCGTGTGGCTTTTGCTTTGACAAGGCTAGACGAAAGAAGGCGAGCATGTTGTTTGATGCCTGGGCCCAACCAATGGACCAAAGCCATGGCAGAGCTGTTATTGGGTTTGTTGCGAGCTGTCCTGCATGTACAGCACCTGCACGTTTGAACTTGTATTCATATTGAAGGCGAACAATCAGGAGAACGGCGACACTCAAAGTCAACCCTCCAGCAAACGTACTTGCTGGGGTTGCGTAGGGTAGGATATCTCCTAACATGTCGAACAGCGTTTGTGCGGAGTGACGAGGTCGACAAAGACTGCGAATGATACGTGATTGACACCACTTCACTTTAAGTTGGCTGGTAGAGGCTGCGACTTTGCTCGTGAAACCGAGGGCATCCAAGAGTGGGCGCTAGAGCACGAGGGTATCGTTGGACAAAATGTCAAGTGGCATGGGCTGGGGCGTGTTGGCCATTACTGTACTGATTGAGGTCGGAGACGGTCCTGCCATGTCAGTCAGAGCTGATAGTGTTTTAGGCAGAGCGAATAAGCGGAGCAGGGACAGCGCATGGAATGTCTCGATTGACAATTGTGATCTCCCTTTTGGCTCTTGGATTTCCAAAGATGGGCGCCGATGAGGGAGGGGGAGGGCCCGATCACTCGTTACCCCGCATGGCGTTTTGTTCGAAGTGGTTAAGGAGTCGATAAGCCAGCAAACCTGGGGTTGAAATGATCTCCCTGGCTGTGACTTTTCATGCTATTCACAAACCGAGGCCCCGGCCACACGTCGCTTGCTGCGTTAGAACTAGCATGTGGCCATGTGCTGCGCTTACGGTAGGCAACTGGGCGCAACCTTCTCTGCGGTGTTGATTCCTCTCGTGACTATACACGACTTACTGTGGCCACGCGAGACACTGCGCGATGCAATGCCGCAAAGCCTGCACAGGCATTTGCAGGACCGTACCGTCTGTTCTTTTTTGTCATAACAATAGCTCTATCCTGAACGGAGGGCTTTTCTTGTCCCAATTTGGTGATTTAGTGTGAGACGCATGCATGGTCTCAACTCATTTTGCCAGATGCATCCAAGGCACGACTGCCCTTCTTCAGAACATGTCAGCTCATGACGTAGTACTAGAATGCAGCCGCCACAATGTATTTTTCCATGCCACTCTTGCTTCAAGTCGAAAGATGGAAGCTAGGTGTTGGCGATGAGATGGAGAGCGACGTTGATGTTTGAAGGGTCACACCAGCAGCTTTGAAGAACAACGCTCAGACATTGTTGTCATTCTCCACAATACAGATCTGCTTTACCTTTCCATACCATGAGATGGCATGCGAACCACGTTGTCAGCTCGGCTTGCCTTCGCTTATCGCACAACCATCTCTGCTCTAGCTGATGAAGTCGACGTTTACCATGTTCCAGAAAGGAACGTAGTCGTGTCATTCCTCCACGCATTAAGACCGAACGAGTTGAGTTACCTGTTTCAACGAATGAGATCAAGTGAGTGGATCAAGGATGTGTCCGAGAAAAGGACAATCTGAATTCAACATTCCCAAACACGCATACTGGAGTAAGTCCTGATGATACTAGCGAAGCCCGAGCCTGAAGTAGCGGCAAGGTGAGCTCCAAGAACACGGAGAAGTTCCTGGCGGGTAGCAGTAAATCCGATGCTCAGAGTTGATTTGTTTCCTACATTCTCGAAGCTCTGGCTTCTTGACCAACAATTCCGTCTGGAGATACGGAGTGCAAGGATGTAGTCCTTAAGTTGGTTGAACATTCATGCCGCCTTGACTGTGTGCATTCGGAGATAACTAGAGTGATCAACAAATGTACACACATTCGGGCCCTCATTTGAAAGAGTGACGGCGTTGGGACAAACTGCAGGGCTACAAGCTGCAGAGCGGGATTACAGCGGCTATTGACGGCTTCCGATCATGCCCGTCAACTTTTACTTTTCGCACACGGTCACTAATCATTGGTATCCAGACCCAATGAATTATCTGATTTTTGACTCATTGTAGCGGCGGAAGACACCTCGACGTGAACAAAGTTGCTTGAATCTTGCTGAGGGAATCAATCTTATAAATTACTGATTGCCCGCGTTGCACACGTGATTTGATGCGCTAGGATTGAGCTTAGCATCCTTGTTACGTTCAACGACTTCTTTCGAGCTTTCCCCATCAACAATTGCTGCTTTTCAACTCTCTTTGTGGCCATCTCTCCCTGTTGTAAGTAACAAACCTCCCCCAATGCCCTACGAATGCTAGAGCTTTGGCTGATTATGTAGACCATCATGCCACCTTTCTCACGCTTCGCGCTACGAACCGCGCGAACCTTGCCTCTCTCTGCTTCTGCTCGTCCGTATATTCCTTCACATTCAAAACTTCTGCTTTTAAGATCGTACGCATCGGAGGCATCAGAGAAAGACCTGGTCATTATAGGCGGAGGAGTTGCGGGCTATGTCGCCGCAATTAAAGCCGGCCAGTCCGGCCTCAGCGTTGCGTGCATAGAGAAACGCGGATCACTTGGCGGAACATGTCTGAACGTTGGCTGTATACCGTCGAAATCTCTTCTCAACAATTCGCATCTATATCACCAGATTGTTCACGACACTAAGAACCGTGGGATCGAGGTTGAAGGTGTCAAGGTCAACCTGGAACAGATGATGAAGGCCAAAGAAACATCGGTCTCAGGCCTGACTAAGGGCATCGAATTCTTATTCAAGAAGAACAACGTGGAGTACATCAAAGGCACAGGTTCTTTCGCAGATGAGCACACCGTGAACGTCAGCTTGAATGATGGTGGCGAAACCAGCCTAAGAGGCAAGAACATCATCATTGCTACTGGGTCTGAAGCCACTCCCTTTCCGGGCCTTACGATCGATGAGAAAAGAATCATTACGAGTACAGGCGCTATCGCGCTAACAGAGGTGCCAAAGAAAATGGTTGTTATTGGTGGTGGCATCATTGGTCTTGAAATGGCCTCTGTCTGGTCACGCCTTGGCGCGGAAGTCACAGTTGTTGAATATCTCGGCCAAATTGGCGGCCCAGGCATGGATTCTGAAATTGCCAAACAAGCACAGAAACTTCTTACCAAGCAAGGCATCAAATTCAAACTGAACACAAAGGTCACGAAGGGAGATGTCAACGCTGATACTATTAAAGTCAATATAGAGGCGGCTAAGGGTGGAAAAGAGGAGGCCCTTGATGCTGATGTCGTTCTTGTCGCCATTGGTCGAAGACCATATTCAGCCGGCCTTGGTCATGAGAAGATCGGTCTCGAAGTCGACGAGCGTGGCCGATTTATCATCGATCAGGAATTCCGAACTAAACATCCACATATTAGAGTCATTGGCGACTGCACCTTTGGTCCCATGCTTGCGCACAAAGCAGAAGAAGAAGCGGTTGCCGCTGTAGAATTCATCACAAAAGGCTATGGACACGTCAATTATGGCGCCATTCCGTCTGTTATGTACACACATCCTGAAGTTGCTTGGGTTGGACAGAACGAACAGGAGCTTAAAGCAGCAGGTACGTGTTTCTTCAAACGGTCTTTGCCACTCGTGATATCTAACATCTATGCAGGTGTAAAATACAATGTCGGCACATTTCCATTCTCAGCCAACTCTCGTGCGAAGACGAACCTGGATTCAGATGGCATGGTGAAATTCCTCTCAGATAAGGAGACAGACAGAATACTAGGTATTCACATTATTGGACCGAATGCTGGTGAGATGATCGCGGAAGGTACCTTGGCACTGGAATATGGCGCGAGCTCCGAAGATGTCGCAAGGACATCGCATGCGCATCCAACATTGGCAGAGGCCTTCAAGGAAGCGGCAATGGCAACTTACTCCAAGGCTATCCACTACTGAGCCTGATGAGATTATCAGCCTAAGCCTGCGCCGTTCTGTTCGATGAGATGAGCGCCGCGGTGATCTAAATCTTTGTCATTAGTTTATCTTGTACATTATCGGTACGTGTGAATTTTAAGGGCTGCAGCGCTGTTGAAAATGAGATAGAGGGAATCGATTCAAGCATGATAAGCTCTCAATTCTCTGCTCCTTCATCTTGAGCCAATTCGTTGTTCGGCTTTGCGTGAGATTCTACCTCAATTTGTCCAAAAATACAAACAATTTCTATCTTCTTGATCAGCATGGCATATGTGCGCGGAAAGGACCAAGTTAAGGTGCTCGTTGAATTTGCCGTCGTCACACAAGCATCCTAGTCACAAATGCGACACTAGCTCAGTCCCTGCTGCATGCCAGCTTGAACCTTTTCACTCGATAAGGTACACTTGGCGATGACATTCTATTGTCAACCGCATACAAGGACATTTCCATATAAGAAGTTTCCACTACTGGAATCGCCGTACCACAATGACTGTGCTGACAGTTTCTCTAAAAGCAACTTGCCTTACCGAATCTTGACAGTGACATACCTCTCCTCTCCATCTCATACTCCGAACATACAAAACTTCGAGGCTTTACCAAGGTCCAGAACTTCTGGCATACGGAATATCAGGCTATATATCGGCTTATCTCCTTGATAGCATGGCCCCTTCATCTCTCGAAAGACTGTGTACCAATACAGCTATCCGCAACCTCAACCGAATCGACGAGAAAGGCCTCGGTGTAACGCCATGGCGACTTCTCAAGCCAATTTTGAATAAATGCGAAAATCCTAAAATGCTGGCTGAATGGGAAAAGAACAGCCCTCAGATCCGAGGCGAGACTGGTGATATCTGGCTCAAGTTTATCAAACGTGACATTCCAAACTGGCGTGAGAAGCTGCATGCGCCTTCGAATCCGGAGTTATGGTCAGAGGTCTACCAAGAGCTAAAGAGAGAGGCCGACATGGAAGAAAGTCAGGCCGGAAAAGTGCTCATGGATAAAATGTCTAGAATCAAGAGGGACGAAGCGGAGTGGAAGGTTGCTCCTCCAACTCAGGCAATACCAGAAAAGAAGGGACGAAACAAAGGTATCGCCATGCAATTCCAACGAGGCAGTGACAACAATGGCTTGCGTTTCACGACGGGCTCTAAGACTAAGGACTTTATGCAATCCGTACGTCGACAAGCCGCAGAAAGCAAGCTACAAAAATCCGGCGTGCTAGCAAGACCAACCAAATTCCTGAGAGATGACACTACAGCCAAGAAAATCTTCCATGCGCCGCAGCACATGGTAGAGGACAAACAACGACAGGCAGAGTTGGCTCGTCACAACGCGCAGCGGATTCTAAGAGTTTCAAAGCACGAGCCGGAATTGGAGTCAAGGTCTACTCATTTGTCACTGACGTCGCGTGCTGCTCGTGATGTGAAGATGAGAGAAGAGCGATTAAAAGCTGTTCGTGACGGAAAAGTCAACCCCGGATCACCGTTTTCGCCAACTTCATATCCCAGAAAGCCTGCTAGCGAAAATGCTAAAGCAGCTCCATTTGGATTACGACTGCCAGTTTATAGTAAAGGTTCTAGGAACGCACCCACAGCTCTTGAAAGACAATCAGCAAGCCTCAAACAAATGGGGTTTAACCCGAAGACGGTTTGGACAGACCCAGTGTCACGTGCAGCACTGACGAGGCAAAGCAATCCAGGAGCTGTGCAAGGCTCTAGCGGCATGACGGACAATTTTCGTGCACCTAAGCTAGATGCGACATTTTTCACTCCGGACAAGATGAGAAATGATCATGACTCAACAATTTTTACAGATAGACAATCGATGTCAACAGGGAAGAACACACATTTCAAGAACAAAGACGACGCAGCGTTAAAATCTGGCTACCGACCTCATGGGACGAAGAAAACTCTTATACCAACCAAAACAGGTGCGTCCACCGCTCCGCTAGAAGAGGAAAAAGGACCTCCTAAAGTATCTTTCTATCCTGGTGATATGCATGAAGGTCAAACAAGCGCACCACGAATAGCGCCGCTATCAGCTCCACTGGGGGTGAAGAGGAAGGCTGGCCCGACTATCTTGCTTCCAGTGAAAAGGACGAAGCGTTGAAGGGAGATGTAACAAAACATGCGAAGAGTCTCCCTTGCCTTCTCGAAGGGGGACATCTTATACCAAACTTCTAAAAAAGGTGGATCACTCCGGGGCCAAAATTTTGGCCTTATAAATTCATGTGTTTGAGACACTATGCTAAAGACATGATGATTTTTGATGGTAACGATCGTGCTTGAGTTGGAATGGCAGCTTCGTAGTGATGTCTGGTACATTTAAATGGCGAAGACATGACATGGTATTCTTCACTGTATGGTAATTCAGCTAAAATCTATATGTGGCAAACCTCCACGCAAAGCAGTCTGCTGCGCGGATTTCAGATTCAATGTTCTGGGCCTGCCATTGCATGGTCAAAGCTTCAACGGATAATACTGACCACAAGGAGGGCTACATGCGAAAAAGCAGACCATCTTGATCGAGGTTTTCTTCCATAAGCATGAATCTACCCCAATCATTTCTCATTCGTACTTGGGACTGAATTTGTATGTATACATTTCCAATTTCCATTTTGGGGTCAATAGTTGATAAAGTGAAGCTATGGAATAACAGCTTTGAGAGGTTATAACTTGTTTACAGTTATAGGTTGGGCTTTTGATGCATCTCTTTACGCAACGTTTTTTAGCTCCTCTTTTCCACAAAGCCCTACGTGCTCGTTGTTGATGAATTATTAATCACAGATTGGATAAAGTTGACAGCAGACATGATGTCGCCATTTGTCCCGTAAGCGAGATGGGCTGCAGTAATGACAAACATCTCCATACAAACCTAGAACGTAGAGGTTTAGCACGCGCCCTTTGCATAAGGTTCAACAATCTTACAGGGTCACCTTGGTTACAATAGACCTTCGTATTCGCCTTAGCTATATTTACAAACTGCGTGCTTTGCAGAGGATCACCGAATGTGACTGCTGCCTTTTTGGGCTCGTCAACTTCATCTTACAAATTTTCCAGCTCTCAACTTACGGCAACATTGTTTTGTGCTCCGAGATTCATAAGCGCACCTCTGACTTGTTCGGCGCCCTGGAATTGAATTAAATCTATGTTTGATTGCCATTCAACAAACATACCTGGGAGTAGCCCGATAGAACAACTTTGCTGCTTGGACAGGCTGTCGCTACCTTCTGGCTGAACATTGCCATGTTCTTTGAACCAGTCGCTCCTTGGGGATCTGTCGCTCCACTAATAGCACCGGCGATATCTGCAGGATAGTTTACGCCCTGGACAGCAACATTGTTTGCCCCGAAAGCCTGTATCATGCCATCAGCGAGTGGTGGCCCAACAACAGTTCCCATGTTGCCTGGCTCTGTTGTTCCTCGAGCAAAAATAAGGGTGATTGGCCTGCAGACACCGTTCTCGACATCTGATGCAGTGCTACCGGTTGCAGCGATGGCTCCTGAGAGAAGCATGAGAAAGGCAACGGTGTATCTCGCCATGATATTGATGATGCTAGCAGATTTCACTTGACTATGGAGCGAATAATGAAAAGTTGATAGGAATGTCTATCAGCGAAGGTTGAAATGACACATCAGTACTAACACTTAAATAAATGGGATACAGATAGAGATATCAATCTCATGATTTCATCAAGTGAGATGTTCATCTTAGAAGTTACCTAGGTAGTTCGAGGTACTGTTGATGAAACAGAAGCGCGAACGGGCCCTGACTTTTGGATCCGAAAAGAAATCGTTCATTATACTTCGAGCAAACCATCTCGAAGTCAACCCAGTTGCGCGACACGGAAAGAAGGATTAGCTTGTTTCTTCCATGGATATCGCTAGTTGGATCTCTGTCAATCTCGCGTTTCATGCCAAATAGAGAATCCGTGCATGCTGCCGTCACAAAAAATCAAACATTGTTCGAAACGGAGATCACGCGGCCATGACATGAAGTGTCGTAAGAAAACATACTTCAATTCTAGAACAATAATCTTCACGGCAGTCACACTGAACTACGTCTCTTGCGACAGTTGTGGAGTAAAAAAGGAATGGTCAGTGATGGTTCCGCCATCCTCAAGTCCAAAACAATCGGGTGAAATGGATCGGTAGTCACTTCGGCTGTGCAACATCTGCGAGTTTAAAACGACTAGCAGTCTACACTTCTCGAAGAACGAGTTCGGCGGACTCGGTGCCTCCCATGTGCTTGTTTGCTCATCCTTGTCCTTCATCAGAATCCCTCGCAAACTTACCTCGAACTGGGAGTTGTGGAAGGGGTGGCAATACCAACGATGGATGGAACCAGTGTGATTTGGATTGGAAAATGGTGTTTTAGCAACTCCCACCATGCATCCTGCCACGTTACACCAAACAAAATTAGGATTGCCACATAGAGAACACAGCTTTGGCTTGACTACTCTGATCTTGACCATCAAGTTCAGATTATGTTACGCTCTGAAGCAGGCCTTGCAAATTTATAACTGATTCTGTCGTCTAACAACCTACGAAGCTGAACCGACTTAAGGAATACTCGACGATGTTTTCCAAGTCAAATAGACTAGACAACAGTGACGTTAAGGTTTTACATAATCTAGGCAGAATGTGAAAATGTCATGATGAGCCAATTTTTATCATAGAAGTTAGCCTGGAGGCAATGTCAAGAGCATTTATTTCGTCTCTGGAGTGTTCTGATGGTACGGAAAAGGTCTACCTTGGCTTTTTTGTTCAACATCGCGTACAGCAGAGAACTAAGAGCTCAAAAATACAAGGTATGACATAGATCTAGTTTGGTGCGTTGGTAAAGATATGTATACAGGATATAGTTAGATAGGCTCCTAGTCTCGTCGTTGGATCACCCACTATCTGATGAGCAATGCTGATACACACAGAAAACCTGTGAGTCGAATGGGTGCCATGTAGCACAGGCTGTATGGTCTTGAAGATTGTTTAGTCGGAGCTAAATAGAAGACATGCAAGTTAGCAGCATAGAAACTACCTTTAGAACCCCAAATTTGTGAACAATGCTATCAAGGAACGCATCGAGAAGCCTAGACTCATTTGTTGAGTGAAACAAGCAGCCAAAAATTGATTTGCAGAGACTTATTCGCTGGGAGAGAAATATCTAAGAAACCAGCAAATCGAGTTTGGTGGAGTAATTTTGCTGCTTTGAGATCATACGCTGTTATTGTATTCTTCACCCTTTGACGTCGTGATTATTATGCAGACGGGGCTTGTATTTATGAAGAAATCGAAAATGTACATGAAGGGGCTTCCTGACCCGAGACTGTATGATTGACTTGAGATCACGCCAGAGCGTCGTTGGTGTTGAGTTCGAACTAATCTGATATTTAAAAGATGTTCTTATCCATCAAGACGAAAGTCATCCCGGACTTTGGGTGAGAAACAGCGTTGATCCGAAGTCTTATGACGGTGTGAAGAAGCCTTTGGTTGATTTGTTTCATGTTCGTGACCTTCCTTTCGTCGTCTACGCTCGGGTGTACCGCTTATCCTTCGGTCCCTATACAGTTGATCGATCTTACACTCTCGATGTCGACGCTTGCGTTGATTCTCATGTCTTGAGACGGTTATTTGTTCCTCTCGTCGCCATCGATCTTTTTCTCTCTCCGCCAGTTTAAGTTGTGACTGTGCTTTTTGCATCAAAGCCAGAGGATCATTGCTGCTCTGCCGAAGTTGCTCTCTAAGCTTGGCACTCGAATCAGGCCTGCCCCATATGCCTCTGCGTTCAATGAAGTCCGTATCTTCTTGCTGTGACCTTTCGATCAGAGTATACCAAGGGCGTTGGCTTGACCCATCTCTCTCATCGGCGTTTGAATCCCTTAAATATTGGCCCTCATTATTACGCTGTTGTCGCATTTCTTCAGCTTCAACTCCAGCATTACTATGACTTCCTAAAGCAGTTTTATCTTCTGTTGGAAAGAGATTAATGTGACCTTCATGGTCGATTATCGTTACGCCCGATCGCCTTCGTTTCTCAGCATGTTGCGCATGCTCTATGGCATGGTTGTGTCCGTATTTCATAGTTTCACGGGCAAGACGAAGATCCCGATCTGTGTCGTCTTCGCCTTGAAGCCGTCTTCTCTTTCCATGGTCATTTCCATGGCCATGGTCTTTCTTGGAATCCTGCTTTCTGATCAAGCTCAAATGTTCATTCTGCGTTATTAATGGTGTTTCGCCACGTAGCCACGCAAGACGTTTCCTAGAATCATCTTCCTGTTGTTTTCTGTCATTTTCTTCCTCACGAGCTCGAGCGCTTGCTTGATCGCGTTTGACTCGAGCTATGTTTTCAGGTGCATAGACATTCCAAGACTTCTTCGACAGCAGGTGGAGTGGCATGGTGGATGGATCACAGCGCAGCAGATGTCGACCCAACTGTAGCTGTCACTGGCGCCAAAAATACGTTGTATAATAGTCTATTAGCAAGCTGCTGTTGCGCGGAGTGGTCTACAGAGGTACCATTTCTCATCAATCGAAAGAGCTTTGACCTCATCAAGTTAACCCCTTCGGGAGACTGAATGACAATCATCGAACTTGCACATAATCTACGAACTAAGCTTTAGACCGCAACAAAGCCAAGCTGCGCATCTCATATATATCTTGTCAAAAGAGCGCTCTTGATTTTAATTACATTGCAAATTCTCTTGTTCTTCTTCAATCAGTGCTTCAATGCCTCCTCTCAAGACTCAATTGCGAGTCCGCAGCTATTCTCCGACATATCAACATGCCATCAGTCCCCGGGCTTTTCAATTAAGATGCCGGCGCTTCCAATCAACAGAGACTTCCAAGGATGAGAAATCCGCCCTAGAGCCAATGCGACGTGTAGAGCAGCCGTCTTCGCCTCCTCCGCAAGATCACAATCTCCTTCTCATGCGAATACAAGCTGCCCAACGTGCAGCGCAGAAACGGAAATTCGAAACACCTTCTCAGGCAGGGAAACTGAAGAACGGAAAGGAGGATGCCTCATTTCATCCAGCCTTCGCAGGCTTTGTTGCGGGATTGATGGTTGCGTTTGGATTGTCGTACACGTTGTATCATTTCAGCGGAAGCTATCATGTTCAAAAGGCGAGCCAGAAATTGAATAAGGAACTTAGCGAAAAGCAGAAACGTATCGCTGCTGCGGCAGACGCCTTAAACCCGGATGATGACGGAATCACTGTCCAAGAGGTCACAACCTGGCTGCGTCGCGCTTCCCAGTACTATTCCACATTTCATCCTAGCTCCGACCGCTTTGTGGAAGCCAGAGACCGGGAGATAGTCAAAGGCTTGTCCCAAGGTGCAGAAAAAGCAAAAGAAATTGAAAGAATTGCCAAAGACTGCGCCTCGGAGCTGGAGAAGGAGGTCGGCCCTAGGAATGCTGCACAGAATATCATCAGTGGCTTGGTAACAGGCCGTACTGGCTGGTACATCATCATGAAGCATCTAGGAAGGATAGAGGAGGCAGTAGAAGGGAAGGAATATGCAGAAAAACGACGTCAGCGAGCAGCAAAGGGTATACTTGATGAATGAAAAAAACTGTTCCACGCCTTGAGATGCGCAGATGTTTTCTCGTACTGAGCGTAATGAGCTGCAATATAGAATCCGTTGCTAATATCTAGATTTCACATTGTGGATGAACTCGATAATGTGCTCAACGTATGGAAGGCTGGTTATTGAAGACAAATCTCCAGTTACCAAGCGAAGCTCATGTGAACAGATGGGAAAAAGAGCAGACTGCATCAACTCCTGAACGTAGTGCGAACTAAATCGCTCCAATTTGTAGACACTTCCCATCCTTCTAGGCATAATAAATGCAGAAAACAACACTGATGACTTGGTCGCGTGGGATCCCACATCGCTGGTAATTAGCGCTAGAGACATATTGGCAGAGGTAGAACATTCAAACTCGGGCGTGGTGGACGATGACTAAAGCTAGGGACAACTCCAGAATACTCGTTTCAAACTTTCTCAGGTATCAAGTCAACAGTTAAGTGGCGAAGACTGCGATGGAAGTGCTGATAACTTTAGCGTGCCGAAGCCATCTTACATAAGCCACATCCGCAAGCCAAACCACATCTTGTGTCACAGCCCACTGACAACCCTACCACACCATCGAACGCACTTGCAAAACCACCTTCTCGCCTGCAACGCAACGCTAGCATCCCCCATTTCCACTTTAAACCACAAGTCATAAGGAAAATGGCTCTGAAGCGCATTAACAAGGAACTTTCGGACCTGGGCAAGGACCCACCATCCTCCTGCTCTGCAGGTCCCATCGGCGATGATCTTGTACGTCGTTCGTCTCGAACCCGTTGCTTAGGGCACATACTGAATACATATATAGTTCCACTGGCAAGCAACAATCATGGGCCCTGTAGGTTCCCTTTCTGACGTTCTCCTCCCAATACGAAGTGACATCAGCTTGAAGATATAGTGGGGTAGAGAAGGAATGTCATAACCTTTAATGCTGACCTCTTTATCTTCAACAGGGCGACTCTCCATATGCAGGAGGCGTCTTCTTCTTAGCCATCCATTTCCCGACAGATTATCCATTCAAGCCGCCCAAGGTTAACTTCACGACTCGCATCTACCACCCTAACATCAACTCAAATGGCAGCATCTGCCTTGATATTCTGAGAGACCAGTGGAGCCCTGCCTTGACCATTTCTAAGGGTATGTTTCCCTTCTTCCTATTCTCTATATTTTCTGTTATCCTATCGAGTTCAAACTTGATTCTGATGCCAAAGGTAAAAGTGTTACTATCAATCTGTTCTATGCTCACGGACCCGAATCCCGACGACCCTTTAGTTCCTGAGATTGCGCACGTCTACAAGTCTGATCGTGCTCGTTACGAGGCAACTGCTAGAGAGTGGACACGCAAGTATGCCGTCTAATCTCAGCTTTCTACATTCGAGAATAAGACGAGGTGCTTGGGAAGAAGGATACGACTGTATGACATCTGCATGCCAGTTGACGATTGGGGAACGGCAGTATGCTAAGTACTCCAGCTTTGTCAATCCGTTGCAAGTTATGGGCAATGTAAGGACTTAAACATTCAGCTCCATTTTCGGAGCTGGGAAGCGTAGCTAGATCTTTTACACGAACTTGTACGGACACATTTCACACCACTCTAAAGCGCTCTCAATCCTCTTTCCAATTGCAATTATCGTGAAAGCATAAGAATGTTATTATTTCGGAGATTACTTCATGAGCAAGATCGATCAACCTTGGTGGTCTAAGACTAGAGATCAGTCGTGAGCGAGTTATGATTTCTCGATGTGAGCATTATTAGAATTCATGTACAGGTAAATCAAAATCTGGGCGTACGGAACGCATTGCTCATTGAATGATTGATGAGAAGTATTCGAAGCACATATATGAAATGTACGCTGTTGCGGATCATTACTAGTCACAAGAAAAATAGAGTCTAAAATGCGTGTGATGTTCATCTCCATTTTTGAAAAGGCTACAGAGCTGACCGGGCACCTTAGCTGGTGGGAGCAAAGTTTGATATATATCTCGCAGCCAACGCCTTTCTAAGCATCCACAGAATTTGAAATCATACCCCAGGGATAAGATTGCACAGAAGGACACTCTTATCATGAGTCTTCCTAACGCCGAGAATTCGGGATCAAACTTTGAAGCCGCGAGACCGTCTGCGGCCACGAGCCCGCTCAAACTTGCGACCCTTACTCTGAACGTATGGCTTCTTGTGTGAGTGTGGACCGAAGCCAAAGTGCTTAACGGCTTCACGAGCATTTTTGGGACCGCGGAGCAGCAGTGTATTAGCGCCGGTTGGAGCACGCTTATGTATGAATCAGTTCAAGCTTATGTTACATTTATGGGCGCACAATAAATACCTGGGCAAGCTCATCGATCGTTAGGCATTCACCACCAGCCTTCTCGATACGTGCACGAGCAGTAGCAGTAAATCGAAGGGCGGCAACAGTGAGCTTCGGAACTTCGAGGAGGCTACTCCTGTCAGCAACACAATGCCACCAAGCATCACGACACACTCTTACCGCGTATCGTCAGTAACTTTGCCAATGACCACGATAGTTTTCTTGCTGTGTTCATTTGGATTGTGCTTGGGAGCAGCATTCGCAACAATGCGAGAGATGGACATTGGAGGTCCTATAAGCAAGCTTTTATCAGCGCCCGACTAGTGGCAAATTTGCCATGTGGACTCGCTCACTGTTTATTTTGGACATCTTCAGACGGCGCAGAACAACCTGATTGAACGGACTGTCCGTGCCTGTGTAAGACCGTTAGAGTCTGTCTCATAACAATTATGTCAAAATTTGGCAGCATACGGCGCGCAAGGAAGGTGTATAGCTTGACCAAGAGCTTGATATATGGATCATTGCTCTTCGCGACCTTGCGGTGCGTCTTCTTGACGTGGTGTCGGTCGAGGCTGTGGGAATTCAACGTCAGCATTATTCTGAACCATCTCGCACAGTAAAAGAATATAGAAGTATTTCTTAACAATAATTGAGGGCATGAAAGGAAGGAACTTACTCAATACCCATTTTGCTGACTGTTAGTTGTTATCGAATTCCAGTGACAAAAGTTCGCGTCCAAAATTCAGGTGGTGTGCGGTTTTTATGCCTTATCGCCTTTGTGCCTTAGAACTCGCTTGCGGTGCTTGCTTCATCACCTGCGCTGCCTGTTAGTCACATGAGTGGTGACTCTTTCTACTCTGTACCGCTCTCAAATTTACGTCAATTAAATTCAGTCGGGTTCGTTCTGTAGAACCAGCAGCATAATAATAGGAAGTATCCTTTTGTTGTCTTGCCCTTCATTATATGTTTCTCACTTTGATTCACAAAAATAGCGTCTTCAGAGGTGGATTGGGGAAAGTAGTAGCTCATTAAATACCAATGTGAATTTGAAATAAATTAGACATTTACAGATGCTTTCTCCTCTATTGCAATACTTAGAATATCAAGATTCAGCATTATGACCTGGTGAATGGACCATTGATATCGTCAGATGTTCAGCATTGAGTAAAACATAAACACCCAGTGTGGCGCTTTGCGTCACAAATTTTATTACCTGTCTTCGAACCAATGCTCGTAATTAAATTAGTGTTACTTGTTTTATCATTTGGTAGAGCCTGAGGATTAATATCAGCGTCTGCTTTCTGCATTATCAACCGTGCAATTGAGGAAAGTTTACGCAATGCTTAATCATGCAAATCTGAAACCTCGCATAGAATTATATATATATATATATGCCTGTGTCAAAGTCTTTAATCAGACTTGATGTAATCTTATTACAACCTGATACGCAATGCTCCATACCGGATGAAAAAGGACCGATCTCCCTAAGGGACACTCTGAATTGAAGCCAATAATCGATATTAATGTGACTTAGCTATACACAGAACCGCTCAATCCCGCCGGGCTGCTGTAGGGAGGACAGCATCGCCAGTCTATCAGTCTATAGTCGTAATCACGTCCCTATAGATACAAGAGCTGCGGTGGCAGCTACGACCCAGCCAGCAACGCCATGAGCACATAATAGAAGAGAAATTCGCCGAAAGCCCCAGCAATAATCTCGTGTCTCAAAACTCAGTAAGTAAACTTCTGGCCCTCCATGAGGCTCCAGACTTGGCCAATGATCTCCTTCTGGCCTGACGGTGCTGCTCGTACAGAAAAGTAAGAACGCCCTTCCAGGGTAGGCTCCCATTCTCCTGAGTTAGCGCCAGCAATGATTCCGCCAGATTCTTCAACAATAAGCCAGCCAGCACAGACGTCCCAAATCAAGCATCCAGATTCCCACAGAAAGTCCATGGCACCCGTAGCAACTGCACAGAAAGAAAGTGCACATGATCCGTTTGTTCTTGTGGAGTGGCACATCATTCCTCCCTCTTTCTCAGATGTCATCAATCTCTTCGCAACTGATGTTCTCAGAGCCCAATTGGGGCCATCTCGCTCCTTTCCCCATTCAATAACGCCCATACATTCTTTAAGACCTCGGAGAGGTTCCGGCTTTCGCTTGAAAGGTAGTTCAACCCGTGTACCGTTATTTCTCGTTAGGTACGCACCCTGGCCTTTGACTGCTGTGTAGGTATGGCCAAGTGCTGGCGCGTGAATCACGGCAACCACTGGTTTTTTCGCTACTGTAAGTGCAAGCGATATGCAATAGTGATAGAAGCCGTGTATGAAGTTGAGGGTACCATCGATTGGATCGCAAACAAATGTTGGTTCGTCAGTGAGCTTCTGGCCCTGCTGCAATGTTTCTTCCCCTAGGAAGATGTATGATGGGTAAGCCTTTCTTAAGCGCTCTTTCACCATGTCTTCAATTTGCTTGTCTATTTCAGTGACCAAATCCGACGAGTTTGCTTTCGTCTCTGCACTTGTCACTGAAGGATCAGCCGCAAGCATAATATCTCCAGCATCTTTCGCGATGTTGACAAGATTTTCCTGAACTTCCTGGAGTTTGTAATCCTCCAGCAGCGTTCTTAGGAGAGCATCATCAATGGCAGCAGGGCTTAGGCCAGGAAATTCGCTGGCAGATGTGACAGAACTCGGGGAAGAGTCCACCCCTGGTGTACTAGAAGCGGAGCGAGAGATAGGAGTGGTTGAAGAAGACATTTTGGCGCGACTGATGAAGATTTCGCGACAATGCAACATATGATGGTTCTCCAAAAATTATCTGACTTCAACAGCAGATACCTAAGCACAGGACTGCTTTTGGGAAGGAGATAAGTATGCTATGTGGAAGTCTTTAATCAGAGAAATGCAAGTCACTTGGCCGAAAGTAGAATTGTTCGCAAAAGTGATTTGCACTGTCTGTTCTTATCTTAAAACTCGCTTGTCTTTTGAACAATGCTTTTCACACAAGGTGACTTGTTCTGATTTGACTAGACAAGTGATATGAAGCGCCGAGATATCGGCGACAGCCGCTTGACTTTGGTTTGGGGGCAGAAAGCAACTCGCATATATGCGTACGTTGTAGAGTGGTGGTATGTGGTGCTGGTAAAAAAGGTTAAAACGCCCTTTGGTCAAGAGATGAATAGTTCATGTGTGGTGCGTTGAAGAATATTTGAACGCCCTCAGAGAGTAGCGGAGGAGCAAGTGATGTTGTATATCAGTCAAAGAGGGCTTCTAGAACGGAATGTGCGGCGGTAAGGATTTAAGGCCGAGCCAAACTATTGGAAACAAACGAAACTCATCCTCGAGCTTCAGCCAATTCAATGATTCGGGGAAAGATAATCAATACGTATTAGGCGAAAAGCATACGTTAACGCTCGTCGTATATCAAGCAGCGGTAGGGAGCAGGCGAAAATATTCAGGGTACTCTCACATGTTGGTGCCATTGGAACCCGTTCAGCGACACCAATCATGCAACGATCCCAGCGACGTGGAACACCAACAGAGCTATGCAGCTTACTGGGGCTGGTCCCCTCGGTCGAGGGTGAAGATTTGGTATGGTTGCCTGACGGCATGGACAAGTCTGCATGGCGTGTCATGTCGCCTTGACGATCCGGCGTCAGTGTCGCAAAGATAAAGAAAGATTATACCGAAGTATGACGGATATTGCCCACGAATCGGGATGATTTGAGGCAGGCATAGCTCGAATTGCCGGGAAGATTCCATGCTCGGAACCTCAAAAGAGGCTTGCGACGGACCCAGCAGAGCGGACTTCGAAGCTGTGCTATGTACCTCCAAAACATCATTATGCCCGGAGGTACCCGAGTGGCCCCGCTGCCCCAACGTCTGGCCTTTGTGAAACTTGACTGAACCTGGATTCGATTCTCAGAGATGCAGAACATTCGGAACAGCGATTGTGGATCGCAAGTTTGTATTTTTGCGGATACCTTTCCAGCGGTCCATGCACTGCATAGGCCACAGTCCCGCCAGCGAAGCATGTGAATGGCTGATAGCTAAGAAGTGGCCCGGCTGATGCCCGACATGCTAAGTACAAGTGCCACTCAAAGGACTAATTGGACTTAATGCCGCTGTCAAAGTGGATGCAAGTAGTGACGAGAATTTCCATGGGTCCTTCGCAAGATAGACCGGAGAAAGTCCAGCCGCCTGCGGAGACAGGACAGAGCGGACTCTTTTCAACACGCTTAAACCATCGACACAGGTATAGTGAACTCAGGATCTTGGAACGGGATTTTGATCCCGTTGGCGGCAAGGGCTCAACCCCATTTACACTATTTGTAAGAACGTGGTTTGTTTTCGACTTGCGCAAGATCTTGTTTCGGACAGTTAGATCCAACTGGATCAACCGTTGAAAATATCAAAATTTAATCCGACTTCCATAATCTAATGACAGGGAAGCCTTTATCTGATGGTTCGGAGTAAATCTCGTTTGCAATTAAGTGGAGGTTCAGTGATCCACGTTTCCGACCGCCGAAGGCTTGACTGCATACTCGTTGCTGGAGCCAACTTCAGCTCGCCTTTACTGGGTTATCGGAATAATCCTTTGCATTCACAAGCAAAGACATGCGAGACAAAACGAATGCCGGGACACTAGGTCAACGAGAAGACTGCGTTTCCGGTGTTCGCCAGGGTTGCTTCCTTGTCAATCAGCTACTTTGAAATCTTCTGCTCTGATGATTAAGAAAGGTGGTCCCAGGCTGGTAGCACGAAATATCCGCTTCCAGCTGGCAAATATCGATCCTTCAAGGGCATTATCCCAGTGCCAATCCCCACTCTTCAGGGTGCCGGGGGAAATCAGAAATTTGATCTACAAGCAAGTTTTCCAAGACACTCAGTTGTACTCGGAATGTCGATATTGCGGATCCAAAAGTCATGATGCACTACAGCCGAACAGCGAAAGAAAACCATTGGTTGACACATCACTTCTTCATACATGTCGAATGGTATATTTCGAGGCTTGCGGGATGCCTCTGCGCCTCACCACCCTACATAGCTGTCGTGGTTCCTTTACCCGTCTCCGTGATCGGGTCCTGAGACTCACCGCTAAAAATGTTGTTGACCTCACCGATGTGCATATCCACGGACACAACCTGGACAATCTTCTAGACATAGTTGGTGACTTCTCTCGCTTAACACAATTTCAACCGACTCGTCTCGCGATATGTGCCGAGTCGGAGAATCCAGCCCGATGGTGCAGTCGTCTGGCATGCGGCCTCACGATGCAGGGAACAATCCCGCCATCTGTGCGCATGCTTTCAATCCAGTTGAAGACGAGACACAAAGACGTGCAATCCTGGAAGAATGATATTGGCGCTTTGCAGCCTCTTGAGCTTAGTTTTAATGGTACACGGAAGCTTGTTCAGAAACAGCGTGCTTCGGAAGCAATCCACGAACTGCCTTCAGTCTGCGCTGAGACGTCCATAGTCCTGGTTGCAACCTTTGTTCTACATGCACACAGTGCAAAGGAAACTTTCATGGGTACATTTCAGATCGACGAGCAATTATTTTCAAAAGTAGCTCCTCATTTAAACAACAACAGGAATATTAAGCAGGTATTGCGAACAACGAAGGCATGGTCGGAGTGACCACCACGAAGGTACTGTTTTTTCGTGGAGATGCTAAAACTCACATCTCATAGTAAGCTACCGTCCATCCATGTCCATCTACATTTTCGCATCAATGATTTTGATGTTGTGCTGCTGCACATCCATACTTAAAAATCTTTACAGAATAGTACAAGAGAGTAGTAAAAGCTTCTTTTATAATTTCAGGGCATTTGTTGTCACAGCGAAGCTGCACATAAGCCTTTGGAATAGTGCGACGCGTCTTAGGATCACAATTAATTTGAGTTCCTAATGAGATTAGGCGGATAACACAAGCTATGAGATATAACCCTGATCGAAATTTTACAAAGTCATATCTTCACTTCCTCTGCGTCCCGATGGAGTTCTTGAAGGTATGGCCAATTTCAGAGCTTTGGCTTCTCATCTCGAATAACAAGACCAGTTGGACCTTTTTTTGCTTGGTCCCTGAGAACCCTCCTGAGTATCTTGCCTGATGCAGATTTTGGAATCTCATCAACAAACTCGACCTCCTTGACCCACTTATATCTTGTCTTCTTCTCCTTAACATAAGCAATCAACTCACGACCCACATGCTCACTTTTACTAACGTCAGGTTTGAGGACCACATATGCCTTTGGCAGTTCGCCAGAATAGTCGTCTGGAATACCTAAAACGGCTACATCTTCAACCTTTGAATGCCCAAGGAGAAGATCTTCTAATTCTGCTGGAGCAACTTGGATTCCCTTTACTTTGATCATCTCCTTCAAGCGATCGAGAATGTGAATGATTCCGTCTTCGTCTATATAACCCTGGTCGCCAGTGTGAAGAAATCCCTCTGCATCAAATGTCTCCCGAGTCGCTTTGTCATTATTCAACTGAGACATTTTCAGCAATCACAACACACATCTGGAATTTGAACTTACATATCCCATTGTAATCTGAGGGCCGCGTGCGGTGATCTCGCCCGCCTCGCCAACATCAGCCTCGGAGCCGTCCTCCTTAAGAATCTTGACTTCAGTATTGGCTACGATCTCGCCAACAGCATTGCCAAGCTTGTAGCCCTCGACTCGATGCAGTGGAAAAGCCGTAATACATGAGCACGACTCCGTCATACCATACCCCTGCTTAATCCCAGTCTGCCCATAAGGCTTTCCGGTTGCAGTCTTCGGGAACTTTTTAGCAAGCAGTTCTAGGACTTCTGGACTTAATGGAGCTGCGCCTGATGAGAAGCGCAAAATGCTGCTTGTGTCGTATTCTTTGACAATTGGATCACGGACAAGCCTGATGAGAATTGGAGGGACCAAAAGAAGCTCCTTCATTTGATAACGCTGGATAACTTCCAGCATAATAGGCATTGTAAACTGTGGTGTCATGACAACTTCAGCATTAACTAGCAAGGGAAGGTGCATTTGATGAACTAATCCAGTTACTAAAGTATACATTAGTAAAAAGTATCAATTCAAGGACTGAAGCATTCGTACTGTGGAACAAGGGAAGGACCGCGAGAACATGGGTGGTATTTGGAGGCGTAAGTTGGTGTATCTGCATGCATTGAGCAATCACATTTTGATGTGAGATCATCACGGCTTTCGGTAATCCTGTGGTCCCGCTGGAGAAACTCAGGTAACCACAAATATCCTTGTTCTTTTTACCTGGTGGCAACTTATACGACGGCACTTGTTGCGAGTGGTCGAATGATTTTCCAAACGAGATCAACTCTTGTACAGTGGAATAGTCATCTAATTTCCCTTCCAACAGAAACAAGTTGGCTTTTGGTAGGTTCACAGACTTAGCGGCGGCCATTGCAACCTCCATAGACGATGGCGCTGTGAAAAGAAACTTCGAATCAGCCGTCTTCATGGCGTACGACATCTCCTCGACATTGTAGGCGGGTGAGGCACCCGAGATCTTAGCACCTATTCGCGAGTATTAGATGTGATCTCCTATATCAAGTTCGATCAACGCACCAGCTTTCAGACACGCAAACATAACTACAGGATACCAGATGCTGTTCTGACTGAATAACGAGACTGTGTCTCCCTCCTTCAAGCCATATTTTCTGACCAGGGCTGTACATATCCAAGTCGAATACTCCTTTACTTCCCTCCAATTAACGCGCTCATTGGTGACCGCATTTGTAAAACCTCTAAGTTCGTTCTCTTCAAATCGTTCCAGGGGGGAATAATGCGACTCGAAAAGCCAATCCCACACCGGCAACTTCGTGGGCACTATTGATTAGACATCAGCGCGGAAAGCCCTTAGTTTGAGGAGGGTACAATTCCGTACAGAGAATATCGGCGCATCTTGATTTGAAAATTGGCATGGTGAGGAACTTTGCGACAAGTGTACAGCTTAATTAAAAAAATGATACGAAACGAAGAGCGGTTGAAAAGCGCAGAACTACGGCGCAGCTCGAATCTGTCCATTACGGCACTTAAAAAGACTTAGAGCGAAGCACCGAATCGAGGCTGGCAATTCTCGGTAACATGAATAACCCCTCACCTAAATCCCTAGACGTATCCTTTTCTGGCTTGTATGGCCGAAAGCTGTCCCTTGGTCAAAGCTTCATTTGCTCAAATCATGAGGCAGTCCAACACTATTGCCCGTACTTGACTTCGGAACCGAGAAGCACATCTCCATAAACTTACTCGCGAATTCAGCATGAATTTCGATTCGCACTCACACGAATTCGGTCTGGTTTCCCTTCTCCCTTTTCCCACTTAAGATTATCCTCCATCTTTCGTACTTCCAAAACAGCGTCACACGTATTCGGTTACCTGTAACCGATTTTTAAACTCGCACAAATCAAGGGTTCCCCTTCGTGCTTGGAAAAGAGTACAAGAGTTGAAGATCCCCTTTTCGACGATAAAAACATTTTTCTATTATCTCGATGTCTGAATCTATTGCATCTGCAATGCCTGCTTTTCGTGATTTTAAAAATCATGTTGTACTCATTGGCGCTGGAACTATAGGCCTGGCATTTGCTGCACTTCACCTTCAATTTCTGTCCAATCCTAACCAACTGACGATCCACGATATTAGACCTGATCTCCAAGAATATGTTTGTGAAAACTTACCAAGGTATCTCAACCCGTTACAGCATGATCTTGTATCCGAAATCAGACTATCGACGTCAGCATCAACATTGCGTAATGCCCTCTCCAAAGCTACGATTGTCCAGGAACAAGGCCCTGAGAATACAGCATTCAAGAAAAGTATTTGGGTTCGGATAGAGCAACACGTGTCGCCGACAGCACTTCTGTGGAGCAGTACTTCAGGCATCGTGGCTTCAATACAAAGCGAAGACATGAAAGACAAATGTCGACTATTGGTTTTACATCCTTTCAATCCTCCTCATATCATGCCTTTACTAGAGCTGGTTCCTTCGCCATGTACAAATCAAAAATACATAGATCAGACTCTGGAATTTTGGCGACATCGAGGACGAGAACCGGTTGTGATACGCAAAGAGACAATCGGATTTGTTGCAAATCGTCTTGCCTTTGCTCTGCTTAGGGAGGCAGTCCATCTGGTGAATGAGGGTGTAGTTAGTGCTCGGGAGGTGGACAACATTGTGACAACGTCGATGGGCCCAAGATGGGCTATAGCAGGTCCATTCAAGAGCTATCATGCTGGAGGTGGTTCTGGGGGATTAGCGTGGTGGTTCAAGAATATTGGCAGCACAGTCCAGCAGTGTTGGGATGATATGGGCAGAGTAAATTTTGGCGACGGTGACTGGGAAGAAAGGATCTCAAACGAAGCGGCAGTAGCGTACGGTCAAATAGACACGGAGGAGAGGGACCGAAAAACGAAAGCCGTACTCAGAGCTGTTGTAGACAGTGAACCATAGGACATGCAGAACTTTTGTGAGCTGTCGCAATGCATCACGAGTGTCTTGAGTAGTTACAAGCCGCCCAACAATGAACTCATTGCAGTTGAAAGATAGTTAAACCATTTGTTTTGACCATTGAAGCCCTTTTCGTAGATATCACTTGAATCATGCAGTGGTTATTATGATCTTCTGTCCAATACGAACGGGTTTCACCCAGTTCAAGTTTGGCTTCAGCTTCTAGTCTGCTTCGACCAATCGTGGTAAACTTGCGCCAATATTCATCTTCTGCCATCAAACCAGCAACGCTGTCTCAATACAACAAAGCTCGTGGCCAAACGAGATGTGGGAACATGCTCTGCACGCCTCAAAAAGTGTGGATTTTTCCATGAAAGCAAAGCACCATGGGCAGCAATGAGTCTCCTTTGAGCAGGCCTTTTACACTTGATTATGCACAACCACGTCCCAAGGTGAGACTTTTTGAGACACACGCTGCATAGGACTACCACATACTGAACTCTTGCCTAGCTGCGACAGGCTACCCTCATCTTACCGAAAACTGGCGAGCGCATAAAGAAAGCATTCACACTGCGCAGCGTGCGCACGCTTTCTCCCAATGGCAATGACAACGGTAATGGAGGCGAACAAGAGCCGCTACTCACTCGTTCATCAAGTTTCCGGCCTTCGAAGCCTCGTAATGCGTCTTTTGAGCTAATTGAAGGCATACTAAAACATCAATACGAATTCTGGACATCCAACACGGGCATTGGGGTTTTTAAGTGCTCGCTAGCCTACACACTGGGTAGCCTTGCAACCTTCGTGGCACCCATTTCAGGTTTGCTGGGGCGTAATGACGGAAAACATATGGTTGCTACCGTAACCGTATATTTCCATTCAGCAAGAAGTGCAGGAAGCATGGCAGAAGCAACCGTGATGGCGATGATCGCCTTTGCATATGCAGCGTTCGTCTCCTTCTCCAGTATGGCTGTGTCCATTTTTTTCCGCCGCCAGGGCCTTCTGGAACTTGGTCATGCAGTTGTTCTTGTGTTTTTTTGTGGCGGAGGGTTGGGTTTGGTTGGATGGACCAAGCAACGACTTGGAAACCCGCTGGTTAACGTTGCCTGCTCTCTAACTTCTCTTGCGATAATTACCGTATTGACAAAAGAAGGTGCTGTCCAAGAAGGACGTTTCTCATACATCAAGGTGCTCCAGGTCTTGAAGATGATAGGAATGGGGATGTTTGCCGCCATAGCAGTCAATTTCTTAGTCAAACCGCAGCTCGCACGGCGAGCATTACGCCAAGATTTCAAAAGAATCACTGATCTGCAAGAAAACATCCTAACAGTGATAACCCGAAGTTTTTTGTCGGGACAGGAAAGCGATGTGAGAGGTGCCTCGTTTACATCACTGACCAGTCGATATAGAAGCACATTCAATTCGATGGTCAAGGATCTTCGGGAAGCAAAGTTCGAACACTATATTCAAGGCACTGAAAGCATCCATAAAGCAGAAAAGAAGCTCGTGAAATGCATTGAAAGACTTGGACAAAGTTTGACTGGTCTGAGATCTGCGGCCGAGACTCAGTTCGAGCTTTTAAGCAGGTCGCATCAGGGAACTAACACACCGGTTCCTCAAGAGCTCGAAACAGTATCTAACTCACCGTCAATCTTACGTCTTGATTTGGATCATATCAAGCATCTTCAACCCATTACAGAGGAGCCGGAAGACGTAGAATGTAGCGCCTTCGCAGAAACTTCTCGTCTAGCGCGAACAATTGTGGAGCCACAGACTTCTTCTGGGCCATCAGAGATCTTCTCTTTGTTTATTAGGGAACTCGGACCATCCATGAAATCGCTTGCCTTCACATTGAAGGGTGTTCTGAACGAACTACCCTTTGAACCAGGCTCAGAACATACCATAACAGTCAATAACAACTTTCGGCGAAGTTTACTTGATGCGAAGCAACTATTTTCTGAAGCAAGGCAAAAGGCTCTTGAAAGCTTGTACAGATCGCGAGCCATAGCAAGTGCGCAGTCACCAGAAGAAGCTGCCGACTACGAAGAAGTTGCCGCAAGCTGTGGACATTTCAGCTCTTCTCTTCAGGACTTTGCTGAAGATACCATCGTCTATCTCGATATTCTAGAAGAGCTCGATGCTATAGTTGACGAAAATCACAGGTCTTGGACTTGGTTATATTCATGGCATAAATGGAGATGGATACCAAGCAATTTACGATCCGCGGACCCAATTCCGGAAATGAGACTTCAAGAGGAGACAGCAGCTCGTCGCATGTCAATGGCCTTGCCAACACCCAGACAAGAAATCTCGCCTGGCTTAAGAACAAAAAATGGGCAGCTAAGGACCTTCTGGTACGAAATTATGTGGAGAATGTTCAGCTTTTTGAGGAGGGAGGACATACGCTTCGCGCTGAAGGTTGGAATAGGCGCTCTTTTATATGCCATGTTTTCATTCATTCCAGAAACACAGCCTATTTATTCTCATTGGCGTGGTGAGTGGGGTCTTTTGTCTTATATGCTGGTATGTAGCATGACTATCGGCGCCTCAAACACCACAGGTTTACAACGCTTTCTCGGTACATGTCTCGGTGCTCTCCTTGCTGTTACTACCTGGATCATTAGCAACAAGAATCCTTGGCTGCTTTGTTTTCTAGGATGGATAGTTTCCCTCGGCTGTTTTTATATCATTGTTGGACGTGGTAAAGGGCCTATGGGCCGATTTATCATGCTCACGTACAACTTGTCTGCGCTTTATGCCTACAGCTTAAGTGTTCGAGATGATGACGACGACGATGACGAGGGCGGTATCAGTCCTGTGATTTGGGAGATTGTTCTCCACCGTGTAGCTGCTGTCCTCGTTGGCTGTTTATGGGGTCTCATAATTACCAGAATCATCTACCCTATCAGTGCTCGAAAGAAGCTCAAGCAAGGCATAGCACTCTTATGGTTACGGATGGGTCTCATCTGGAAAAGAGATCCTCTTTCGATTCTGATCGATCACGATGAAGAGAGAAATCAATATATGGATATACGCGAGTCGCTTGAGTTGCAGAGATTTCTCGGGCATCTAGAAGGCCTGAGGGAATCTGCATCACATGAGTTCGAACTCAGAGGTCCATTTCCGAATGATTTAATGAAGAAAATCCTAGAAGCCACGAGACGTGTGATGGGTGCATTCATTGCAATGAACACAATTATTGTTAAGGATTTGAAAGCTAGTCCAGGTGAGGCGGAGCTACTGAGATACGCGAAGGATGAACGTACGCGACTTTCGGCCGGAGTCTGCCATTTATTCTCTGGTAGGTACACATCGCTCAGATTTCTTTGCCATGCTAATTGCTCTAGTCCTCGCCTCGTCCATGCAACTTGCGTACCCTATCACCGATGCTGTACCTAGCATTGAACCTTCCCGCGATCAATTCTTGGCAAAACTTTTTGAATTCAGAAAGAATACGCTTGGCAAAAATATTGCAAGTGACGAAGATTATGAGCTTCTGTACGCCTACGCACTTGTCACTGGCCAATTATCGTCAGAAATCGATAAAATAGCTGGCTTACTCGAGGAGTTGTACGGTATCATGGATGAGGAGAGTTTACGGCTTCGATAACTTAGGAATGTGTTGATGTGATCAACATCTCAAGGGGGTGTTGTACTTCTTGCAGGGAGATGCTGGCTCTAGTTCAAAGTTTGCGATGAATCACATATTCGATGTTTTCTAATGATGGCTACCATGCACTTAAGAGGGCCGCTTAGAGTCCATGGTGGCAGATGTTTGACTGCATTGGAAAATCATAATCAGATTGTATTTTGTCCAGCGTATACGATATGGGTAGTAAAATAGTCCTTTGTAAGACATCACAAGCCCTCCATCACTTTTACATATGGCCAAACTTACATAATGGGCTACGTATCTTGAGCCTGTGCATAATTTGTAGCATATGCTTAAATGTAATGTGCCGGAAGTTGCAAAGTGCTCAAGGCGAAAGTTAGCTCAATGAGGCAAAATTGATGTTCCACTATTCCGAGCTAGGCTCTTCTCTTTTGTTAAGCTCTTCGCTATGGTACACCAATATACATGAGATGTAAATATATATTACGGATTGGCAGAGGCATTCGTGACCAGGAAGCAAGGCTTACTCCTCCTCTTCTTGTGTCATATATCTCTGTTTGATATCTTTCCATTGTCGCTATCATAGTCAGCACATAGTCGAGAATTCATCAATTGTCTGGAGGAATTACGCCTTTGTTGATGCTGTCCCACACCTTAGTCGATCCTGCATCAAATGCTCTGAAGTACCCATTATTAGTGGCCCATGCATCTGTTATCATGTCTCATAAATCATCCTACATTTGAATGGCGAAAGCAGAAGTGAATACAGTGCACAGCATGACAGCATTGCTGCGGAAAAAGGTGCTGAACGAACAATTAGCGGTTGCGAAGAACGTGAGTAGATGACGACGGAGTACTTGTAGATGGTTGAGCTGAGCTGCGCAGGCGTCAATTACACTATTGAAGCTTGTAGAAGAGTTGGAGCACAACTTACCCCTGCCATTATGTAGTACGAGAGGCTGTAGGATGCCCTATGAATGATTGCGCGCGAAGGTGTAGTGTACGTACGTTGCAACGCAAAAGCAGAAGAAAGTCCGTGACGGGAGACTTTCGAACACAAGCAGGATTCACGTTTGATTGGTCCGTTCTGAGAACCTCCCCCAATTTCACCCGAGCGGAACTTTCATCCTTCGTGGAATTGAATTTAGCAAAGAAAAGTCCCATTCCTAAATATTTCTCTACTTGAATGAAATACGAATCCCACCTTCTTTAACTTTTCATGGCGAAGAATGACAGAATGCAGAACGTTACTAAATCAGGAATCACCACAGACGCAGACGGCACGCGTCTCATACCTTCATCAGTCCGAGCTGATGGCTCTGTACGCAAAGAAATTAAAATCCGGCCTGGATATCGGCCCCCCGAAGATATAGAAAAATACAAGAACCGAACAGCTGAGGCTTTTAGAAATAGAGGGAAAGGAGACGTTGTAGGCTCTGAGTTGGCCAACGAATACTCTATTAACAGCAGTAGCAAGGGGCAAGAGTACACAAGTAATGCCAGCAAAAGTGCCAAGCGAAGAGAGGCCCGAAAGAAAGAAGCTGCAGAAAAGAAAGAAAACAGCACTATAGATTCGCAAAAGTCTATCTCTGCGCTGGACAAAAACGACGACGTCTCCGAAGAGCTGGATCCCGAGGTCAAAAGGCAGAAGGAGGCAAAGAAGCTCATGAAAAGACTGAGGCAAGCAAGAGAGCTGAAAGACAAAAAGGAATCGGGCGCTTCATTGCTACCCGAACAGATCGAGAAGGTTATTCGAATCAGTGAACTGATACGTCAACTTGATGCTCTAGGTTTTGACAGTGACGGACAGAAGAAAGCATGTGTGCACAACAAGGGAATTTCGGAGGATCCCTGAGGAGCTCATCGCCACAAAAATTTGCTGTCTCATATAGTACTGTCAACATCATCATTATCAGCAGAACCAGCAGAACCAGCAGCACAAGCAGCACAAGCAGCACAAGAAGAAGAAGAAGAAGAAGAAGAAGAAGAAGAAGAAGAAGAAGAAGAAGAAGAAGAGGAGGAGGAGGAGGAGGAGGAGGAGGAGAAAATCATTGTGTCGAGTTCTGCGAAGCGCAAACTTCATTTGCTTGTTATGGCCAAAGAATAGCCGCAACTCTTTGACTGCCTTTGGCTTGTCCAAAATTCACAGTCGTGCTGCGATTCTTTAGCTATGTTTATGCTGCGCAGGACGTCGTCTGCAGTAGTTGAGCCCGAGGGGGGCTTTATCACGTTTTTGGCTGCATCGAATTCCACGTACGAGCTGCAAATGCGCAACTGCATGTTTGATCTCTGAGCTGCTCACAATTTTATGACACTGAGATACTACAGCGCACAGCTCATGCCGAGTACTTTAATGAAACAATTTTTTGACTCTCGTGTTCCGCGAACTCGACAATTCCGTCATGTATTGGGCGTCCTGAACCTAATCAAGAGTGCGCGAGTAATCTTTCTTTAAACGAACGGACTTGTTTAAGTACCTTATGTATGAATTAGTCGAGGCTACCGAGAAAGCGACACTGACAATAATCTATGGGCAAGCCATCACAATCCCCTGAAGAATCTGTAAGCTTTTTTTCCGAGTAGGTTTTTAAGCCCAATTTATTGCATGTTACATTGAATAGCAATAGCATCCCCTGCTTACAAATATATTATAGTCACTATACAAGTATCAAGCTCCAATCCCTGTTCCTAGCACTCGACTATCTAGTGAACGGATATCAATTTCTTCGAAGGGAATATTTATTCAGTCCCAAAATCGGTTTTTTTTTGGTGGAAATTTGGTTATCGCTATATGAGGATGGTCTTTATTTCTGCTTCAAGTGAATCCGTAAAGCCTCAACTATAGATTAATCTGATCATAAGATTTCAGCTTAAACCTAGGTATTATGATAGATCAATATAGAGTCATTTCCTCGATACATTGCTCATATCTTTGCCTTGGCAGGAGATGAAGTCATCCTGCCATGCACGTAGCTAATCGCTCTAAGTTTAGCCGCAGCCTCGCCCCACAACTCGTTTCTTAATAATGCGTATACGCCCATTTTCGACTTCGAGCGCACCTTTCTAGCAAGCTCTAGTGCTCTATCCAGCATGACCTCAGGATCTGCAACTTCGTCAACAATGCCATCTACAAGCGCTTCTTTACCCGTCCATCGATGGGCTTCCAAGAGCATCTTTCGCGCAACTTGAGGTTGTAGCTTGAGTCGTGGGAGTGTTCCGATGCCATCAAAGTGAAGCCCAAGGTTTACAGGTGGCATACTCCAAAACCCTCTTTTTGAATTCCTGTCGAATATTAGTGTTGGTCATGAGCGTGCAGTTTGGGAATTACTCGGCTAATGGCCTACATAATCCTGTAATCATGTGAAAGAGCAAACGGACAAGCTCCTCCAAAGGTGTGACCTGTGATTAAAGCAATGGTTGGGAATGGATAATCAAGAAGTGTTGCAAGAAGTGGAAAAAAGCCATCGCTGTTTGCATGTGGATTTGTATCCGATTCATCAAGTTCGAGGCCCTGCCAATAAATCAGAGACCGTTCAACGCATCTCTAGAAGCATGGTTTGTACGGTGCACCAAAATTTCTCGTCGTTCCCTATCTTCCTTTGTTAAGCTCGCACTAGCGGTAGGCAACTCTAGTAATCGAACCTTTGATAATGACTGCGCCCTCGGCGTCCTTGCCTAGTGCTTGCTCAATCGATCTCAATGCTTGAATCAACTCTTGAGCAAACTTGACGTTTATTCTGTTCTCGGGTGCCTTCTTCATTGTAATTATATAACTAGAGTATCGTTAAATAGTGAAGCTAACAACCTGACTTCCTGGACCTACATGTTGCCATCATGGCAGTCGATTGACAAGTTCGGTGACGCCATAGGTGTTTTCTAGTCTTTGGTCAAGAAAACAGTTATGTTCACCCTTAGACTTTATGAACAGCTGAACAAAATAATTGATGTTCGATGTCGACATAAAAGCTGTTCCTGCGGTTAACCCCGCAATAGTTTGATGGGGCATAGTCGGCATTTTTCGGTAATTGTTAGCCTTCTTTCCAGCCTTGTCACGAATCTTGACGAAAGGGTGCAAGTAATGTGAGGTAATCTTGCAGATAATGCCAAAAAAACAAATCCAAAAAAATTTTTTCAAACATAAAGAGAAATTTGGAAAGGTAGTCCTTAGCCATTCGTACGACCAGGGAACAACACTGCAAATACAAATAATGAAATTCACCAGAATGAAGAAGGTCCTTGCCAATCATTAAACAACCAATTACCAACTCCTCTGTACGGGTCTAATGACCACTGAGTGTCCAACAGTTGCGTATCAAAGGAGATGTCATCAACACCATTGGTTTCCGTACTTTCATGAGCAGTCTCCGTGTACAATTCTGTTAAGATGCCTGCAGTCATCAAGTCTCGGGTCGCCTGCTGCGAGCTCGCCCCAGGATACAACATATTCCAGCCTCGACAAAGATCTGGACCAAATCCATCAAAAAATTGCGCTTGTTCAATCGTCATGTTGTTTTCCGGAAAGTATGACAATCTTTGACACTTTAAAACCCGAGATCTTACATCGTTAAGACGCTTTAGAGAACCTATTGCAGTTGGCCATCTTTTTCCTAATTCTTCTTGTGATTTGAAAATGACCTCGAGGTCTCTTTCCGCTACGTGCCAGAGTCCTGCATACCTGTAGCTAGAAAGCAATGTGACTCCAGCTGTAAGCAGATAGAAAGTGAAGATCGGTCCAAGGTAACGGAGCTCGTCTCGAGCGAGGAAATCTTGAAAAATGCCCGCGATGAAAGATGATGCTAGCAGAGATGCAGTCGACGGACTGTTTGCTGGTGGCGTTGACTTATTTAGTATGGTCAGCACGACGAAGTACTGTACGTGCAATTGCCGAGCCTCGAAACTATAAGGACGAAGAGGTCGCTCGGGTTGAGGATAGCATAACTGCAGCGCCTCTGGTAAAGTTTTCACCCATCGAAAGGCCCTGTCCCCCAAAGATTGCTTCTTACTGCTAAATCGGCCTTTCTGAAGAAAGTATTGCGTAAGATCGCCTAGGATCATAGAAATATTCACATAGGCAGAAAAAGTTTCAGCTGCTTGTGAGTCGCCAGAAAAGTCTTCGACAGTCGGCAACCGTACATCCGTTGTTTTCAACGCAACTGAACGTGGTCTACCGTGGCCTGCGTTGATCAAATTATCTCGTGTAACCAGTGACCACCATAGACGACGTCGAAGTCCAGCATCTGGCTTGTCTCCGGGGTCACGATGAAGTCCAAGTTGATATGATAACCCAACAGCTATTCTTACCCAGAATCCACTTGTATCAATGGAATAATGTTCTGGACTTTCCGGATTCCACCAATTAAGGACCACGGATGCGACGGTCATGATCATGGGGTCTTTTTCAACCCCCATCCAAAAGAGCCTATTTAAAGTGAGTAGCTTTTTTCACGGTAGGATATAGATCTACTTACATCTTAGCTTTATTGTAGTATTCTTCTGAAGACCGTGTATCGACAAAAGACGAAGAAACTCTACTCCCAGCTAGCATCATGCTTTGTAGGAGCAAGATCGAAATTTCATTTTGAGGCCGACCTTCCAACCATTGTCGCTCGACAATTGGTGTCCATGGCCAACATCGTTTCCAGAAACTATCAATCAAATTCTCTCGTGTAGATCTTGGAGGCAAGTCAAACACCTTCCGCACCTGTAATATCTCCATGTCCTTCTCGGACAGTCCTCTTGTCGAGTGTGGAGGTGCGTCCTCTTCGTCATTAATGGGAACATCATCACCAATGTATTCTGATCTACCCAAGTAGCTAACCTTTGATGTCTGGTAGCTAAAACTTGGTCTTCCAGTCGAATGAGCAGATTCTGGTGCCGTAGATCCAGATAAATCCGTGGTGCGGTCTACATCTCGCTTTATTGGAGTATTGTTGGATCGTGCTGTTGGAACTGAAGTACCAAATCCATTCTCCTGAGGTAATACAGGTGCGATATGGACCGCATTTCTGACAGAACCCGGCGAAACTATCGAGTTCTCTGTGTGTGATGCAAAGCTGTTAGGCGACTGGTGGCTGCTCTCCTTTCGCGTCTTTGGAGGTGGTGATTCGCTGTCCAATGTGTATATACGCTTCCTTTTCCGTTGACGTGGTCGACACTCATACCCGTCGCGTATGCAAGCTGTGCATGGTTTTGTGGAACCTTGTATCAAATCACACTTGATTTTCTTCTTGTGACAGATGACACAAGCTTTGGCGGTTCGCCGGGGAACAGAATTCGAATCCATGATGCCGGCTAAATGAATATGGCACGTGTGCAGATAATTGATAGGACTCACATTTGCGGCTCTCGTAGTGCATGCGCTAAGGCTTTGTGATAGATTATGCGTGAGAGGTACAACTTTGGTGTGGAGAAAGACCAGGATGCGGGAAAGCGGGCTTGTCAACCCGAGCGGGGTTTGCGAAGGCCGAAGCTGTGCGTCTGGAACTTATGTGCACTGACCTCGCCAAAACACAATCAAATCAATCCACAACCTGAGAGTTCACATGAACAAAATCATTCAAATGATGACTAAGTCATCTACTGGAGGCGAAGACTTAAACTACATGGGTTCTGATCACAGCTTTGCCAATATATGCCTGCCACCATCTCCACTGCCTTTTACGATCTCATCACTTTCCCAATCCACGTTAAAAGTGACCTTGTTCAGGGGATTCTGTCGATGAGCGCGGTCCCAAAGATCTTCATACACCTTACCATCGGATCGACCAAGTGCACTGTCCAGCAGATAATCTGGCATGGCCCAGGCATCAACAAGCTTAACAGCGTGCGGGCGAATTTTTTCCGTCATAAGTAGCAATACCGCGTCCTCTAGCTCCTCTATAGATGAGGAAGTCACAGCACCAGTCGTTATGAATGAAAGTGGATCTTCATCCATGGTATGTAAAGCATATAAACGGTACAAGTCATTCATAACCGCGGCATTTGTGTCAGAGAGCGGCGAACTTTGCAACGCATCGTAAAAGTTCTCGACGAGCAACTTCTGCGAGTAGACTATGCTATTCTAAGTGATGATGTCTAATTCGGGCATAAAACTTACCATTACTTAGCTTATGCAATTTTATCAGTAAGCTGTTCCACTTCCTCTTCTTGACAACCCGGTCTTGATAAGCTTGATAACTCTGTGTTTCAAGGTTAGCAACTTCATCCTGCAAACAACGAACAAAACTTACCAACACAGCCGCACGCCAGCGGAAAGCTTCCATTATAGCTTCATTGCTGATGGAACCCTGGGAGAGAACACATACAGGTGTTCTATTATCCCTTGTTGAAAGATACATTTTGAAGAGCTCGTCTGTCTTGTCCGTGGCTGGAGCACTTGGCGTGTTGACCGCAGCCTCCATCTTCTTGATTAAATAGCTGGCTACCTGCTGCGTGATCATCCAATTATCTCCTTCCACTGTTGGCTTGGATAAATAACTGTTTTGATCAGACGTAGTAAAAGGACTGGAACATCAAGAGCTTACTCATTGTTGATTCCGATCAAACCGCTCCCTCCCCCGAAACCATGCCCACCCATAGCACGCCTACAAGTTTCAATACCATTCGCAGCGTATGTTGTGCATAAGCTTTTCAGTCCAGAAGATGTGCTGTGTAGTTCGGCGATGGAACTAAAATCACCCTTTTCAATTGCTGCCCTGGAACGATAGTAAAGATTATACATAGCCTCTCCAGTATAATGCAGCGCAAACGTAGTTGCAAGAAGAGGCAGGATTCTAATTTGAACAGTCGGGTAATCTAATACAGGTAATTCAGACGCATTCTTCGTTGCTGCATCACGGTCGCTGAATTGCCTTCGAATCGAGGTATATCGAACAGCAATAGTCACAGCCCGTGCAAGAACGAGTCGAGAATGTTGGACAATGTTTGCACGAACAAAAGTCAAACTTCCATACAGAGTTGCAGGGTGACCTTTTCGAGTGAACTCGCCAGTATTCGGGTTGACTTTGACATATCGTGAAAGCATGGCATCATGAGGCACCCTAAAGTGGTCAAATAGCATGTAGCCATTGTCCATACTTGTATAGCCGTATTTCGGACCAATATCACCAATAATGATGCCTGGAAGTGGCTGATGTGTTTTCTCATCTCGAATTTGCACAACAAATGACACATTGCCATGATGTACAAACTCAGTCGCTGTAGGGGAGTTATCTTTTGGAATGAGCAATTGCGCAACGACAATGGCATGCGTTGCTGTTCGACCCATTGTTCCATTCCACCATTTGCTCGCTGTCAAGTATGGGCTGTGAATAATGAACTCCTTGGCCTTAGGGTCCCATCTTGCTTCACATTCCAGACCTCGAACATTGCTTCCGTGTCCTAGCTCAGTTTGAGCATAGGCCCCTAAAATCTTCCAGCTGTCAATTAGTGGCATCCATGTCTTTTTCTGATCATCACTGGCTTGTTCTTTTATTGTATTGGCAAACATGGTATAATGCAAGTGGAAAGGAGACATCTCGTCTGTAAGATACTCGGCCATCTTGTAATCTTCTTCGTCCCAGCCATGTTCGCGCCCTAGCCGTCGTTGTGCTTTTGCTCGTGCAAGTCCCAAATGGTATCTCTCAGGTCGACTGAGATTCAGTTGCTGACCTTTCCTGAAGAGAGGCTCCTTCTCTAGGATGGCAGTAATCCTCTTTTGACGCTCTAGGAAATCGTTTCTTGATAGAAGATGTTTTGAAAGCTCATCCACCAAGATGTTGGATCTTGCTCTTTCCGCTTCCAGGATTGCGGTGCCATCAGACGATGGTTTCAAGGTGTCACTGAAGTCTCGCATTTCGTTCAAAGGCTCTGAGGTTTTCTTTAGGTTGCATGATTTACGAATGAGTTGGAAGCATTTAAGTGATCTGCTCGGCAGTTTGCTTCCCTTCTCCGCTCACGGCCTGTACTTGCTTAGCCGGCGAATCACGGCACTTCTGACAACTACCACTTTCGGGTCGCCTGACTCGCTCGGTTCGGTGAAATGCGTATTTAGTATTAATGAGCATTTCTCGGGAATGGATATACGCGTACGATCGTTAATGGCCAAGCTTACTCTTCGAAAGGAATGAAACAGGCTTCTGTGTTGTCAACTCCAGATCTGAAGTGGGGCAGTCGCTTGGTAGCGGAAGAATCAAACAACAGCACTAAATCTTTGATGTTTTTACATTGTAATACACGATAGACGCTATGCACTTTTCGCAAGCTTTCGTCGCCTTAGAAATCGATCCCATCCTTGGAATACAAGCAAGGCTCCTCAAAGAGAAACACTGGGACAGCTCCTTGAACAACCTCAGTCAACTTTAATAGAGCCGTATATTTTCAACACAAAAATCCACGAAGAGAAGAAGCCAATTGACCCTGTGCAATAACATTAGTAGGAAATCGCATGATGTTAAAACTGACTGACCTGTAATAATGAAAAATAATGCGCTGATAAGCAAACTGTATCCCAAGTAGAGTACACCACTCGTCCAACTTGTAAAGCTCAATGTCCTGAACCAGTAAAGAAGAGCGTAGGCAAAAACGTACAAAGCGCTTGCCCCAGCCGTGAAGAAGGATCGCCATTGCCAGTGATAATTCTCAGCGCAGAGCAAGAAATAAATCATCAACACTGTGACGGCTGCGCAGGTCATCACCATAAGTCCAAAACAAACGAATAGAAACCCAAACATGTAGTAAACCTTCCCTGTCCATATGCTATTCATGATGAAGTAAAGCTCAACAAAAATAGCTCCAAACGGTAGAATACCAACTAGAAGCATGCTAGGCATGGGTCGCATATATCCTCTTGTTTCAGGAATTTGTCTTGGAATCTGATTGGTCCTGACGGGTGCCTGAATCTCGGGGCTCTTGAAGCCAATCCATGAGCCCGCGAAAGATAGGGGCAGCGAGATGACAAACCATATCAAGACAAGCACAAGCATTGTCCCGAAAGGAACGGCACCACTTGCTCCACGGGCCCACACGAAAAGATTCAGGAAGAAGAACACAGAGAATACAAAGACAGGAAGGCAAACCGGAGTGTATACAAAGTTACGTTTCCAACCTTCGCCGTGAAAGAATTTGTAGACACGAGCAGATACATATCCACCCACAAAGCCGAAAACAGTGTAGAGCAGGATCATTACAGTTCCGAGAGAGCCCCGATTAGAGGGAGAGAGAAATCCAAAAAGAGCAAATGCTATCAAAGTCAGCCAATAATCAATCCTCTGCACGTCATCTAATCTTACCAATTGTCATTGCAGACATCATGAGAAGCTGGGCTCCATTTCCAACCATAACACTAAGCGGAAGCGGATATTTTGGTGGCCGGAAAACATCGCCATGTACTAGCTTCCAGCCGGAGTCCTCTTGCACCCCGTCATCCATAATTCCGGTCCCGCCAAAGTCGTCAAGAGGTAGCTGATCCAGCCGGTTGTAGCGAGCAATGTCCTTCCGAAGGAGTCGAAGCAGGATGGTTGACACCATCCCTACCAAAAACAATACGATGACAGCGGAATTGATCAATGAGAACCAGTGGATCTTGGGGTCATAAACGTGAAGAAGCTTGTCCCACCGCGTAGCGAAGGATGTTGGCGAGAGATTCCACTTCACACTATACGTGAAGAGAACTCGTGTTCGTGCAGTCTCCGATAGTTTCATCGGCACACTTGTGTCGCCACAACTCACAGCTTTGCCATCCTCGAACTTTGAGTTGCCTCGCGAGGAAGGATCAACTATTACGCCAACAACGCGAAATTGTCCTGCTCCCGCCTCGTGATAATCCACAAGAATGTTGTAATGGTTATTAAGAAGTGCAGTGCCATCCACCTCATCTACAGACCCCAACGGGAAGCCCGGGCTTTCAAATCTTTCCCCTGTGTTGGTCTCTTCTTTTATTTGGCCAGCTGGTAATCCGTCAATGAGCCAATTTAAATTGTAGTTCTGCAGAACACGTAGGTTGACTAGTTTTGCATCTGATCCCTCAAACACCACAGGTGCGCATACAGCCTTGCAATCCTCATCAATGCCCATTTTTAGCTCGAACGGTGAGGTGAAGATGCGGTCGCCGAAGATGATGCTTCCGAGAGATTCAGAAACGGCTTGCGGGCCGCCATCCGGCCTGCAGAAGTGGAATTCGGGGTGGTAGTAGTCGTATGCGAATACGGATTGTACATTAGGGCTTTGTTCGCTGTCTGCCGGCGTTAATCTGTTGACGTGCAGTGGGACAGAGTCCCCTATCTTGTACGATGTAGGCGCAACTCCTGGAAGGTAAAAAGACGATGCTGATGGCAAAAGAGCAGTTAGCCAAAGGAGAAATTTTCCTCGATGTGATGGACTCTGCAGCTGCATCTTATAACAAGCAAATTTGTAATGTTAGAAGCATAAGCACTGCAAGCGCGCGATGTGGTGACTTTAGATGAGGCAAAGTTGGACAGTTTGCTCCATTCAGATTGCGAACTCCGCAAAGGAGTTCGTCACTTGTGGCGTTTCAACTATTCAAGTGTCCCCTCCCTGCACGAAAGCCTCCATAAGTAACGACCCACGTGAGCAGTATTACTACGATAAGGTTGACTTTAATTTATATATATGAATTATTACTCTGGGGTATAAATAATTAAAAAATAGTTTGTTAGAATAAACAAACTTTTAAAGAAATGGAAGTGGAAACAAGGTTACGCATCCTTGACAGCCCAGTGGTTACTTCAAACACGTCGAAATCTTATGGCAAGCAATATGCCTCGCGCATAATTGAAGGATAAACTTCAGCTTAATCATGACCAAATATTAGGGATAATATGCTACCACAACATAAAGCACTCTCGAATGCCTTTTTCCTGTGGTCTTTCCTGACTGCTCCAAGAAAAGGCCAATGAATGTTGAAAAGCAGAAATTCCGCTGTGAAAATGCATCGTTTCCTCAAACCTCCATACTCAAAAACATCCATCGATCACTAGTTACTCCTGAACTACCAGACCATTCGTCCAAAGTAATAGGTTCGAAGCCTACCCAACCCAAGTCACGCAGAAGTCGTTGGCTAAATTGAGACTCAAAGCCACGATCTACGCATACTACTAGCTTTGAGCACTCTGCCTCTGGTACACTGCAGAGCTCCAGTAGAGCCATTAGACTCGAAAAAAAGTGAGCAAATACGTCTCTGGCATGCTATCGGGATTGGAACTTACCCTGGCTTAAGATCGCTGTCAAGAATACTCGCTTCAAAGAATATAAACATGCTTCTTCCCTTGACTCCCTCTACGATACAGCCTCTAAAACGTGAACCTCCCACATAGTCATACATCTCTAACCAATCCGTCAAACTTCGACGGCTGCTAGCATATACGGGTGCTAAAGCCGCTGAATATGGAGAAATGTTCGTGGGCACAGGCTGCACGGCTAGATTAGAGATTATATTCGTTTGATCGAACCAGCTGTCTGAATGCGTTCCCATCGCAAGCGAGTCCTGCGAGACCATACCTCCATCACCGAGGAAAATGGTCTTGAGTGTCTCGCAGAAGAGTCTCTCACACTCTTCCGCAATGGTGAACGCAGCCCCCTCTCTTTTCGCGCAAACATTCTTCGATCCAGAATGCTTCACATTGACAACTGTCGCGGTAAGAGGGGGGCTTCGGTCGGGAGATGACGTTCCTGAATGAACCTCAGGAATACCACCTGCGAAAAGCAAGTATTAGTTTCGAATCGCTATAAAATGGAATGAAGAGTTCCGATAAGGAGTTCAAGAAATGTTGCGGTAGCCAAATTTCATGGCCTCGAACTATATCCACAAAGTGCAGAAGCATCAAGCATTCATTCACAATCAAACTTACCCGACCCCGCCAGCCCCGGTAGTGTAATGGAAGCCCTCAAGGGCCATACTGTCATTATCGACGATATAGCAGCTGGCTCTCACTTGGGCACGAGAAGAGCTCGTGCTGCGGCGAGAAATGTTGTCGACTTGTCCACCATTATTACTACAACTTCCACTTCTTGTAGAGTTGGTATTTCGCGCCATGACTTTGGTCAGCCAGATTTATGAATAAAATGTGCTGCGGCAAGTGTATTAGATGGCGAGTAATACTGAGATGCAAATATGAAAGTTTGAGGCTTCAGACGATGTACTGCGCTTTGGAGTATGTGTAGCTATTTCAATGTAGTGAAGTGATGTGGACGGTTGTAGAAGACGGGTGCGGTGAGGTAGTAGAAGGAACGTGTTCGAAATAGTGTCTTTGCTCAATTCCCCACCGTAATTGACCCGCCGCCACCGGGAAGCGCTGCCGAGTCCATTTCACCCACCTCTTTCGTCCTTCCCACTTTAAATCACCCAAACTCGCTTTGTTCTATTACCTGTAAGTTCCAGATGATTCCAGAAAAGTCACATAGTTTACAAGACATTTCATATTCTGCTTTTTCTGCACTTACACGGTTATGTCATTAACTCATACTGATGTATAGGCACCATAGAAGATGGTTTAATATTTTGGATCGTCTACCACCATTTAGTCATGATTATTTGTCTATTGACCTCTCCGAAATCCGCTATCAAGGTGTTAATTCAGCCCCGACGAAGACCCTATGTCTCTGCCATTAAATCTCAGAAGCCTAGCAGTCCAGCTTTGCCCAGAGAACAAGATCTAAACACGGCAATTATAGCTACTAACACGTATCACTTCGTATCATTCCAGTTGCTTCTGCTTGAGTGAGTACATTGGGTTTTGTCGTATTCTAACAAAGCGAACAAACAGTCTGCACTGGCTCGAATTATTTTCTTTGCCGCGCTCTACGAGAATTCCGAGCCTTGCGCGATCGGTATTCGAGCAGTGCATTGAGCAACGGCGCGTTTAGCCTCCTAGCCGGCATGATCATATTCGTCGACCCCATCTCCACAAACATATTATGCAGATCTAGAGAATTTGGCTCATCCAAACCGAGCAGGTCCATATATCTTGAAACCGCTAGCAAACTAGGACCCTTAACTTCGCAGTGCGCTTCAAATCGAGGCACATCTGAATAGTGTCAGAGCCCCAAAAGCGTGTGGATATCCCACTCTTCATGTTGATCGGTCATTGAAAGAGGACTGAAGTACGAAACGAAACAATGCATAGAACCAAGGTTGGGTCTATATCTGGATCAATATGGTATTATTTGAAGGAAATTAAAGGAGCAGGCAACGAAGCAGGACCGGATTCAACTTCGAAATGCCACGCAGCCTTGTCTTAATTCTCATGAAGACGAGTTCTGGTACACACAGGTTAGAAGTGGGCAATCCATGTGTCAAATGATTCAGGGACACCGAATGCATGAGTGGCAACATAGGCAAACAGTCAAATTCTAGAAATACCAATTGACCAATCATTGACACGAATGTGGATTATACTGGTATCATTTGCCCATTGATGTAAACCGAAGACTCCTCGTGTTATGATACACCACAATCCCGTAACCCCAACCCAAGCCGTAGCCTTCCGGTCATGCAATAATGAGGCCCAGTAGAGGCGACCGGAGATGTCATAACCCATACATAAAGACAGAAAGCTTAACCACCAAAACCATACAGAGTGCGGCCTTGTCGCTTGAGAGCATAGACAACATCAAGCGAGGTAACAGTCTTCCTCTTGGCATGCTCGGTGTAGGTTACAGCGTCACGAATAACGCTTTCCAAAAACGACTTCAACACGCCACGAGTCTCCTCATAAATCACTGCTAATCGTCAGTGATGGTAAAATAATGCACTGGTCTAAAAACGTACTGGCTGAAATACGCTTGACACCGCCACGACGAGCAAGACGACGAATAGCGGGCTTGGTGATACCTTGAATGTTGTCGCGAAGAATCTTTCGGTGACGCTTGGCACCACCCTTGCCGAGGCCCTTGCCACCTTTACCGCCTATAGTTATGTCAGCAACCCAGCACTTCTATAAACACACATCGATGGCCAGTCATTAAGCGTTAATGGGTATGGCAACGATGTGAATGACATAAGGGCACTCACGTCCAGACATGTTGATCGAATATGTAAGAAATTTAGAATGTGATGGGTGAAGATAAGTCTACCTGAGACCTGTTTACGGTAGCTGTACGGATGGACGGTGGATTGGGATGAGAGAAGGGACAAGCAGATTGGCTGCGGGGGCTAGAGGTATTTGAGGGCCTGGGGTTGCGCGTCTGGATCAACATTTGGGTGACCAGCAATATCGCCCTGGCGCTGCTGGTGACATCAAGTGAGCGCTTGGCAGGCGCAGCCGTGCACAGAAACATTAAAAGTGTCAGAGCATCAGAGCGCGCTGCACATCAAAGCCCGACACCCCAGCGTGCCTGCCCGCTCAGGCTTAGCGCGCTCGACACGACAGAACATCAAAACTTCTCTGCACATCCATTGGCTAGCTGACAATCGCAAAAACTGTCAGCTTTCTGATCACTTTTCTCGCCTTTTGAAAATTGCGCTAACGGCCAAACACGGCTGCCTTGTGTTCTCCCATTTCTGCGCACCTGCCCGATCAACAAGCCCTTGCCACCCGCTCATAAGTACTTCTCGCCCGCCCACTCCGCCATCCTCCTTTCATCCACTCCCAACAAAACCCATCACATTCCATCTGCATCTCCACTTTCAACCACTTTCACCACAGTAACAAGTATTTACAATGGCCAGGACAAAGCAAACAGCCCGTAAGTAGTACTAATCTTTCTTGTATGCCATTTCTCGATTACTCGTTGCACTTGCAGTGACGAAAGTGAATCACTTGGTTCTTCATCCTGGTGCACTTGTCGCAACCCTTCACATTCACTCTTAAGGTTGAGCCATCTTGTTAATACGTTCTCGTAGGCAAGTCTACTGGTGGTAAGGCCCCACGTAAACAGCTTGCCTCTAAGGCTGCTCGCAAGTCGGCTCCTTCTACGGGTGGTGTCAAGAAGCCTCATCGTTACAAGCCTGGTACGGTCGCTCTCCGTGAGATTCGTCGCTACCAGAAGTCGACGGAGCTTCTTATCCGCAAGCTTCCTTTCCAGCGTCTGGTTCGTGAGATTGCTCAGGATTTTAAGTCCGACCTGCGTTTCCAGTCATCTGCCATCGGTGCTCTGCAGGAGTCTGTCGAGGCCTACCTTGTTTCCCTCTTCGAGGACACCAACCTGTGCGCTATCCATGCCAAGCGTGTCACCATTCGTGGGTTCCTACTGTCTTATCGATTGTAGATAGTATGCTGACATTTATGCAGAATCCAAGGATATCCAGCTTGCTCGTCGTCTCCGTGGTGAGCGATCCTAGATGCATTTGACGATATTGATTCATTATGGCGACTTGATCGGCAAGGATGGTGTGTCCAGTAAGGCGTTTATAGGTTGATGATTCACTATGGGAATGCGGGAATGGGTTGGTTTTAAACATCATGATTGCACCACATCGGTGCTGGGAGGGTGTACATTAGTTATCATGAAACAATGGACATTGATCCGATCCGATCTAGCCCTTACTCTTGCACTATTCCCTACGTCTTCTCTGGTTAGCTTTGCCTCATAATTCGTTGGGTAATTTGTCTTATGCGTTTGCGGTACATTGTGAATGAGAAACTCCCTGCTCCAGATTGCTTCTGTCATGCTCTATAAAACATTGATTCATGCATGTTGTGGTTTCCCAACGTTAGTGACACTGTCGCTTTCCCCCTTCATGGTAACCTCTAGCCTAGCTGCACGTTGATTTAGGATAGATAGGTACGTCTGCCATCCTATTGCGATGACTCCTGCGAACAGTCCTCTAAGCTCTAGCTTGATAAATGCAAAACTGAACGCCGTCACTGCAGGCCACAGCTTCCAGCTGTTGTACCAACTTCTAGGAACCGTATGTTCCACCCTTTTCACAATATCGTCCCATCCAGCGCCAGATAGCAGACTCTGCATGCCGAAAAAGTATGTATTGAATATTGGCGTAAAGAATGTCTGGTTGATGAGTACTTTGAGAGCAATGCTACCTGCCTTTGAGGAATAATTGAAGTTGCGAGACAGAAATAGAAACCAGTGGTATCCTGGAATGGCTGCCAGACCCCCGATCAGTAGCGCGCGCCCTGTCCTAGGCAAGTCGTACCATGAAACCCTCCAGGCAGTATCACCATCGTTCTCTTGTGGTGTAGGGGCTATGCTCTGTGCGGTCAAGTCGCCAACAAGGTAGATTATTAGAGTAGAGACAAGTTGAACTGTATGCGGTCGCCGTGCGTGCATGCGCGTGTATGAATTTAATGATTCTGTCCAGGCCCATATCGGTCCTGGTATCGACTTCTCGGAGGTGGTTGCTGGTGCGATTTTGCTAGCTTCTGTTGTTTCTGCTGACGTGGTTTGTCGCAGAGTACTATGTGATCTGGTTTTAGAATGACTAAACGGTGGGTGCAGTTGACAACGTCGAGAAAGGCGGTACGCAAGAGAGGCTCTTCCTATAAGCCCTGACGATATCATGTTTCATCATAGGCTCCTTTGGTCAAGGTTTTGGCGAAATTTGCGATCGGTGCTAACATTTTGTGCTGTCCGGCAGGTGTCCACTCTCTACTACGTCGCCTATCCGGGCGTCTTCAATCCTAATCAGGCAAAAAGCTAGCCTCATTCAGTCATCACAACTACTGACACCCAGGCTTATACCCTCAGGACTCGCAGTAAAGTATGGGAAAATCCTATATACCTTCTTAATAGTAGTTAATCTTACTCTATAATATACTATAAGTAAGGCGTTTTTAGAAAGATATAATAGATATCACCTGAGTGCACCTGTAAGGGCTTGACATAAGCGTGGTATCAAAATATGGAATAGTATATCTGGATTAAGTATTAACACTGATGACTAATGAAGTAAACTAAGCTAAATACTATATATAGTATAAATACCCTTTAATTATAGGGTATATAATTGTTAGGAATACTTTCCTGATACCGACTAGCTTCACTAATGTAAGCCACTTCGGAAGGGTTTAGCTTCCTAGAGCAGAGGAACAATGTATAACAAGAGCTTATTGTGGAAGGAATACAATAAGATAGTTATGTTTATGACTTAGAATAGTCTGAGCTTCAAGAGTATGAGAATGTATTTAAACTAACTACTAGGTAAACTAGACAGTTGAATCACAAAGAGGTGTAATGCCAGTAGGGACAGGATGTTTATATAGACCTTTGTTCCAGTGTCCTTGTTGCCTGATTCTCAGCGATCATTCTGATTATGAATGATCAGACTGATCACTAACTGCATTCCTGATTCGTTCAATCCTTCTGAGCGAATCACAACCTTTCGCTTATGCAGACTGATCACCTCGATCATGAATGATCAACATGATCGCTCTCCCTTCACGTGATCACCATGTTACCTTGTAACATCATTCCCCTCCTTACTAAGCTTGTCCCAAGCTTAGGCTAGTGCTTAAATAGTTATAGGAGTCCCGCTTTTTCTTATTCAAAGATGGCCTCCATTCCCTCTCTAAGGCGCAAACGACTTTTTTCTGAGAT